ATTTTGTTTCCACTCTGCTCTTCCAGTCTCCACTTATCAACTGCCAACAATTCAATGTAGGAATTGTTGTAGATTTGGCCACATTTTATCACAGTGCCGATCTCAGCCCAGGTGTTACCGTTGTGGACTAGGACATAATGGGGATAGCTGTCATGATCCTAATAATGAAGTTTGTGTTTTGTGTAGTGGTAATCATAGAGCTACTGATGACAAATGCCCAGAACATGCAAGGCAAAAGTCTATTAAAATGATCATGTCTCAGGAAAATATTAGCTATTCTGAAGCAGCTCTTCGATTTCCCCTTGCAAAAAGATCCTACACGGATGTGGTCAATTCCACCCCTCCTTCCATTTTACATCCTACCAACATCCACAATCCCATCCTATCCCCCTTTCCTCTTCTTCAACTATTCCATCTAATATTCAGGCATCTTATTCCAAAACTATTTTCAAATCTCCTCGTCCCAAAGCTCCTCTCGGTAAATCCTATGACGTTCTATCTCATAGAAATATAATTAGTTCTCCCCCATCTACTCAACCTAATGGTTGTGCTCTATCATCTTCAGAGTCTACCCCTTTGCTTACCCCCAATGATAATCTAATTGAACTTCTCATCTGCTCCCTTATAAATATGATTTCAAAGTTCTCAGACTCCCTACCGAACAATGTCGTTACTATTCTACAACAATTTCTCGATACTTTAATTTCTAAAAATGGCGACTATAATTCAATGGAATTGTAGAAGTGCTCGCCATAAGAAGTCAGAACTCATTTATTTAATAAATCGCTTCAAACCCGTGGTCCTCGCCATCTCGGAGACATGGTTAAAACCGGGGTCTGTTTTCAGGCTGTCGGGGTATTCATGTTTTCGTGATGATAGGGATGACGGAAAAGCAGGTTGTGCCCTTCTTGTGTCAAGATCCATCTGCTTCTCCCAGATCCTTATCCCTCCCCATAGTTGTAATTTGCACATAGTGGCGATTAAAGCTAAAAATATTACATTCATATCATGCTACATCCCTCATCCCAATAGTTCCGTGATTTCTGAACTAAACTTCATTCTCTCTTCTATTCCTGGTCCCCTCATAGTTTCTGGCGACTTTAACTGTCACCACCCTATGTGGGGCTCAAACCATTCAGATTCTTCCTCTTCTTTCTTCCTTGACCTGTTAGATGATAACAATTTGTGCATTCTTAATGATGGGTCTGCAACTCGAAGGACTCCTCCTGGTCAAAATCTGAATGCTCCTGATTTAACCCTTTCTTCCCCCTTTCTAATAAATACTATCTCTTGGACAGTACTTCATAACTCATATGGCAGTGATCATTTTCCTATATTAATAAGACTCCTACAATTTTCACCTCCCACTCCTAAGATTCCACCTTTGCAACGTTTTTAGACTCTCAGACGCTGACTGGGATAAGTATTCTGAAACTTTAGACTCCAAAATTAGTCTCCTCCCTCCTGCCAATCCTGATAACTTCCTATCTTTATACAATGAATATGTCGCTTGTATCATTACAGCAGCAGAAGATTCCATACCCCTCAAAAACGCTTCCTGTGGTCGTATCCCCTCTCCCCCATGGTGGGATTCGGAGTGTTCTACTTCCGTTCGACTTAGAAATCAAGCTGAGAAGACTTATGCGGAAGATTTGAGTATGGAGAACTTTCTTCTCTTTCGCAAGGTCTGTGCCAAAACAAAAAGAATTTTGGCAAGAAAGAAGTCTCAGGGGTGGCTTAGATTTTGCGAATGCTCACATCGTTATCCCCCCGTTCCTCTATGACTGTAGTATGGCGCAAAATTTCCCATTTTCGTGGTGTTTTCGCTGACCAAAACATCTGTCCCAGTGATTCTTCCGTTTGGCTAAACGATTTCATCGAAAAGTTAGCTCCTCCATTTGTTCCTTCTCGTGATTGTTTTCCCCTCCCTCCTTCTCTTTCTCCTCCACTCGATAGAATGGATCGCCCTTTTTCCTATTCTGAGTTCTGCTGTGCTCTTGATAATCTACGAGATTCTTCTCCAGGCGTTGACGGTATAACTTATTCTTTTATAATAAAATCTTCAAGTTCGTCAAAATTATTTTTTCTTAATATTATAAACGAAATTTTTTCTTCTGGATGCATTCCAGAGTCATGGAAGACCCAAATTATTATTCCAGTTTTAAAACCCAATAAAGACCCTAGCGACTCATCATCATATCGGCCTATTGCCTTATCATCTGTTATGGCCAAAATCGTAGAGCATCTTATCAAAAATAGATTAGAGTGGATCCTTGAGAATAGAGGTCTGCTCTCAAATAATCAATTTGGTTTCAGACGTGGTATGAGCACTATGGATAGTCTTGGCATCCTATCAACTGATATAAGACTTGCATTTTCTTGTAATAAGCATGTTATTGGGGTCTTCCTTGACATCTCGTCTGCTTATGATAATGTTCAGCTTCCAATACTTAGGCAGAAATTGCTCACACTGAATATCCCTATGAGGCTGATTAACATTATCTTTAATTTACTTACATGTCGTTCTATCCGTGCCCGCTATCACGGCTCTCTTCTTTCTTCCCGTTTCGTTTGGAAGGGTCTCCCTCAAGGCTCAGTCCTAAGTCCCCTCCTATACAATCTCTATACTGCTGATCTTGACTTATCTGTCTATAGCTTCTGCAAAATCCTTCAATATGCAGATGATATAGCCTTGTATACAACTTGCTCCTCCCTGTTTAATGGATGTTCTCAAGTAACTACCGCCTTAGGTTATCTAAATGATTGGCTCCAAGATCACGGTCTAAGTCTGTCTATTCCTAAATCCTATGCAGTTATTTTTAGTCGAAAACGGAATATTCCCCTCTTGCATTTATCTGTAGATGGGTGAACCAATTTTATTTAAGAGCCAGGCAAAGTTTTTGGGAGTCATCCTTGATTCCAACATGACTGGTATTCCTCATTTACAGTATATATATTCTAAGTGTGAGAAAAACACCAATGTCCTTAGAGCCTTATCGGGAGTTCGTTGGGGCTCTCATCCTTTCGTCCAAAAAATTCTCTACAATGCAATTATTCGTAGCCACTTTGATTACGGCTGTTTCATTTTGGAGCCTTGCAGTAAGCTGGCTCTTGGTAAACTTGATAAAATCCAGTCTAAGTGCCTGCGTATAATTACTGGGGCTATGAAATCTTCTGCTATTAATGCCCTCCAAGTGGAGTGCGTGGAACCTCCTTTAAACATCCGTAGACAGTTTCTTGCTGATAGATTTTTCTCCAAAGCTGTTCAGTTCCCCTCTCATCCCATTTTAAAACCCTTAAGTCTCCTTTCTCGCTCCATTAACTCGTCGCCTTATTGGTCAAACAAATCGCATCCTCTATTAGTAAATAGTTATAATAGATATAATTCCTCTCATTTCTCTGTTCTCTGCTTAGAAAACCACCCTCTTTTTACAATCAGTTATGATGCTTTAATTTTTAATCCTAATATTATTTTAAACTTTGGCATCGACAAGAATACCTTAGATGCTAACCGGAAATTTAACATGCTTGTGAGGAATGAATGGGCAAACTGGGTTCTGCATCAAAAACAGACTCGTCCCTTATTGGTGCGTCCGTTTATATACCAAAGTACAGTGTAGTTTTGAGTTTTAAATGTCCTTCAGAATGTTCAATTTTTACAGGTGAATCATTAGCCATTTTAGAAGCAGTTAAGTATATAGATTCTAACCAATCTCATTTTCGTAAGACTTTGATCCTCAGTGACTCCTGTAGTTGTCTGGAGGATTTAAAGAAACTTCCCTTCCACTGTAAAAGCCACTCCTCAATTATTCTTAATATAAAAGAAACATTATTTAAGTTACAAAGAGAGGGTATTGAAACTGTCCTAGCCTGGATTCCAGGCCACGTGGGTATTCTGGGTAATGAAGCGGCTGATTATTATGCTAAACAAGCTATTTCGATAGGCGATCCATGTCACTCTAACATCCCAGCTCGCGATCTGTGCTCTATGGCCAAACAAACAAATTAATGGAAACTTGGGATAATTTGTGGCAACAAACCAAAACTGTGAAAGGGAGATTCTTTGCCAGTATCCAGCCTAATATCCCATCAAAGCCGTGGTTTTTCAAATACAAATCTTTTAGTAAATTAATTACTTCTGTAATAATTCGCTTGCGACTAGGACATGTTTGCTCCCCAGTGTTTCTAGCTAAACTGCGCATACTGGACCACTCTCTTTGTCACTGCGGCTTAGCAGAAGGAACTCTGGAACACATGTTTTTTTCATGTCCAAATCTTAACGTCCCCCTATATGATATCCTTCCCTCAAAGTTCCCCAGACCTGTTTAATATCCCATTCCTTCTAACTCTTAATGACTTCCACGTTGTCAAAGTACTACATAAATTCCTTTGTATTAATAATATAAAGCTTTAACATTTCCATTTCTCCTCCTTGTAATTGTTTGTGTCGCCTTTATCATTTTAGTCATCCTTACTTATTTTTATTCATCTTCTAACAAAATGTTTAGTTTCTATTCAGGTATCTCAACCAATAAAGTATGATGTTCTAAATACCGTACAAAAGTCATCACTTTAGGAAATTTTATCAATAACAGTTTGTTTTATTCAACCTTGACATTGGCAGAATCATCAAGCTATCCTTGATGGAGCCACTATAATAAAAAAAAAAAAAAAATCAACGTACTATTGATCTGTGTTTTATTTTTTTTATTCTTTAGGATTCTGGGTGTATACGCGCGTATGGATGAATACTAAAATTGATTGTATGTTTCATTTATATTTAATATAGGTGTATTGCACGAATAATAAAAGCATTTTATTTATTTCAGGATCCGAAACAATAAAGTGTACTATTAAATAAAGCTACGTTTTCATAAAATAGAATATTTAAATATAAGTCAACTTTTAAGCTGTAATAGAATTCACCTAAGTACTAGAAACATCAACATTTACAAGATACTTAAAAAGTTTGTAAAATATTAGTTGCAGTTTTAGACGCAATGGCTCAAGATCTTATGGTACGTTTTTATGCTTTTATGTATTATAAATTAATAATGAGATAGACTTTTTATTTTAAAGAGTTGACAAGAGAGCGGTGCAGTTAATCGCCGCCCATAACTTAACAAAAACTGAAGTTACACCTTTATTTGCTCCACTGCTGGGGAAAAGCCTCCTCTGTACAGAGGGAATTAGGGCATAGTTCACCACGCGACCATCCGATCCATTGTGGATTGACATTAAAAAAAAATCTATATTTTTGTACTTAGTTTTTATTGACGTCTCAAGTTGGGGGTTGATATTTTTTTACAGAAAATTAATGATTTTTGTGATATCTATGTCAATCCCTACCTGTTTTATGTATTTTACATTATGTATTTTGAAGGTTTCAAATTGAGTTGTATTATTCTGATTTGTAATTCCTTACACCACATCCCATAATACTATATTCAGGCGTTGTCTTAATAAATAAAAATGAATGTTGGTAAGCACATAACTCAAGAATGGCTGGAACAATTTGGCTAATTTATTTTTTTGTATGTTCCTTAAGGTCCATGGAAGTTTTTCATACTATAAAAAAAAGGAATGAAGTCTAGGTCTAAACAGATTTTATTTAATGTCAAAAACATTAATAACACTGTAACAAAAACATTTTTTTAATTTTTACTGACATTCCTTGTTTTTCCCCTGTAGTCTTTAAATAAAATAGGTTAGGTTCAACTCATGTTTAGAACTGATTTGATTGATCCCAATTCCAACTGGTACGAGTCTGTCCTCCCACCTTTAAATTCGATGGATGTCAATGCAGTCATACCTATTTTTTTTATTACCATTTGAAAATTATGCATTTCCCCACAATATTTTCCTTTTCAGTTGAACTTACGATAAATCAGCACTTTAAATTACTATTGCCTGCAATTTGATTTGATCTTAGGTGTTTGAGCAGAATGAATAAACCCAAGGCTATCTTGGCTATTGCCCATCATAGGTTGTCCATCATCCTCATAAGAGGTAGTACAAGTGGTTGCATCAGGTTAATAAAAGCTGTGTTGACCTTCAAAAAGATTTCTATACAACAGTATAATTTTGAGAATTCAGTTCCTACAGTCAAATCGTTACAATTCTAGAACCCACCACATATTTATAACAAAATAAAAAATGACAATATTGAATTTTGTTTTTCAGAGCCAATTTTATACATGTTTCAATTTGCCATTGCAAGAAAGGTTATTGGAGCTTACGAGAATAGTAGACCAAACTGGCCCAAATAAAGATTTACAATCACTATTTCCACAACTCATAAATAACATATTTGCCCCATCATTTAATAATGGATGGGGTTTAAAAACAGTTACAGTTGATGGAAACAAAAATCTATATGATATGTTATTAGCTTTTTTAGAACCTCAAGGACCAATGTTTCAACTGTGTTATAAATTGTTGTCAGACCAACAGTTGAAATATAATTTGCCACTTAATGTACTTCCGGTAAGAATGTGGCATGAACATATTTATATAAAAATTAAAATATCATTAAAATGTAAAATGTTTAAACCTTTATTTTTCAGTTAGATTTGCAAATGACTTTAGAAAGAGGAAGGTGCCCTCAGTTTTATGCAGATTTGTTAACTGTGGATTCTCAATCTTTAAACATTGTTGGCCTCACCCTAAGTATCCTTTTAAAGTAATATTGTTAAAAAGAAATGGTTAACAATATTTTGTCTCTTAGTGTAGTAACTTTGGTTTAAATATCTTTGCACTTACCTGGCTATACTTTGCTGTGGATTATTTTATAAAGAAACTATTGGTAAATAAATGAGAAGGATTTTTCATTAATTTTAGCTGAGGATTTTACTTTTAATCATATAAATCCCTGGACAACAAAAAAAAAAACCACAATTTAAAGTAAAATAATATAATATAAATTTACAGATTAAATGACAAAAGTGTGTATATGTACTTTAGTATGCACATAATAAGTTATAATTCTGTAAGGTAATAAAAAAAAATACTAAAAATATTATCATATATAATAAACTCCTTAACCAATGGTTTTTTAGATCCATTTGATTACTACATATTTAACTTTGCTTTACATTTGGTAAATAATTGCCAATATAAGAGTTCATGGGAGAATTGGAATAGTGTATATTTTGCTCTGGCATGTGATTACTTAATGCATTTTTTACCAACTGATCCAAATGTACCTGTATTGCCACATATACCCCACTATACTGGAAAAATGCCGATGGTTGCTCCTTTACAAACTGTAAACAGGTTAGTAATTGAACTTATTCTTTTTTTTTTACTTAAATTACTTCTTAAATTATTAATATAATTATTGTGTGAAGGAAAACTTTCAATAAATCTTTAATTCCCGATTTTTATAACTGACAAAAATAGTCTTAGTTAAAAATGTTTTGGCTTTTAAAATAAGTTTACATTATGATGCCTTAAATTTATTTTAGGCCACTTTCACAATCTCTTTTGCTAATACCCGACCTATCAGGTATTAGTAACCAGCATAGTGCTTCCCAGACACAAACTAGAAATGAGGTTTGGCGTTCAGAAACTGTTTTGCAAGTTTTTATAGACATATGGATAAGTATTGAACAGACTACTTCCGGAAATATTGATGTAAGTAATTAAAATGGCTATTATTATTATTTTATAATATTAACAATATTTAATCAGGAAAAAAATTATTTTCTAGCGAAATTACCCTACCATATCTTCAAGTCCCGAAAGAGTAAGAACGGTTCGCGTTCTTGTTAAACACATTCATTCATTTTCGGCGAAATACCTTTCGGATCCTGCCACTCGCTCATCGGCGCTTCGAAAGTACGCGCGACAGATTATGTGCGCAAGGGCATATCATTATCTAAAACATTTAGTAACAACATGGCCTTTGGACGCGTCATTCAGATTAGTAATGGAATTGTGGCTAAGTTTAATTCAACCATGGAGGTATACCAATGACACAATTAGTCAGGAAAGGTAGTATTTTGATAAATTATAATTTTTTTTAAATAACTTTAAAGGGGATCAATATTGTTAAATTTTATCTTAAATTTATCAGAAATCAAATCCAGGAAGAAGCCAACTCAAACTCTTTAGATGCAAGCTATACATCATTTATTGCGGAGAATTTTCCTTCTTATACCTGTATATTCCAATTAGTATTACCAAGATTTATGTGGCTTGATTTGACTACATATAAAAATGCTGTAATGCTGTTTCGTCTAGGAAAGGTACAAACATTGCTTATTAGACACCTTTAACTATAAATCTCTAGCCCAAAAAAATAACTATTTAATTACTTTTAGGTATTTTCCCAGCAGCACCTTGTCCCCATCCTTTGGAATTTGGAACGGGCAATCACTGACACAGCTTCAGGCTTACATCATAGTGCTGAAAATAATTACAATAACAATTCTACATTAGATCAAAGGTGATTAAAATTATTAAATTTATTAGCTAATCTCTACTGGTAGTATGGGAATTATATTTTTAAATGAAATCTAATGATATAGATGGGATGATTTATAATTGTGGTTTAACATTTAAGACAGAAATTATAAAATTTAAATTAAAAAGCGACAATAAATGAACACACTTATTATAATAGTTGCCATTAATCATAAAAAAATTAAATGTTCATAATTAAAAAAAAATATTTTCAAAGTAATTAAATAAAAAAGAAACAAAATTTGTAACATCCTATATAACTACAACTAACTGATTCATACACTTTCATTCATGCAACCAATTTGTATGCTTTGTGACCTTTATAAATGAACTTTACGTTACAATTTTATATGAAAGGTGGTTCTAAAATGTTTGTTTTGAAAAATTTAATAACTGCAAATATTGATGTTTAAAGAAATTAAATGCTTAATACAATATTAAAAAGTACAATATTAATCCTCCATATGTGTGTATCATGCCTAATATCATTATAATACAATAATTTAATTTTATAATCTAATATTATATTTCCGATTTTGCAGCTACACTTATAATGGTATTGCTTTATATAAGTGGGTAACCATTGCAAAACAAGCACTATCAGAACTCAACCTATCGGCCAATTTTGAATACAATCCCATTTGGACTGAAAATAGGAAAACTTTAGCAATGGAATTTGTTAAAAAGATTCATACAGCAAAAATAGCTGCTGAAAAGAATGTTGAAGAACTTGATAAAAAACTTAATTGTCAAAATCCAGGTAATAAATAGAAGAAAATGTATGTTGACTGTGAAATTACGGACAGTGTACTGCCCCAGTGGTAAAATAATTTTACATAATGTGCAAATCTTCAATTGACAACATGACATCCGACATTAAGTTTGGCGTGGTCCATAATATAATCTATATAATTAAAATTTTAGAATTTTTAATACATTTTTAGTATGATTTATTTAATTACATACTTTTATTTTAAGGTATTTGGACTATGATAAAACAATGGTTGTTAATAGCAAACAACGATGAAGATATACTTGTTTTTGAAGAATTAAAAAAAGTACCAGCCTATCTCAATAACAGCATTCACTATTTTTGTCATATTTTTGGGGTTGGTATTATATCTATTATATTGAACACGTTATTTTTAAGTGTAGACATTAAACGATTTACATTTTCAGTTAAACGAAAATATGCTGATAACACCAGAAATGGATGTTGAAGAGGTATCTCAAGAAACCTCTTCATTTGCAAATTCATCCAATTTCGCTCTTTCAATTACAAATAAGGTATCTACATTTATGTATTTTTATAAACTATTTCATTTTACTTATTACTTTACTGACGAGATTATTATTTCTCCATAGTTAAGAAGTAAGGCGACGACCGTCCACTACATGGGAGATCCAGATCTAATGCCTATTGGTAGTTATGAAAATACTATTCTTGTGAGAATGTTTTACCAAATAGCATCGAGGTTAAATGAAATTGTATGTATTTATTATTTTATATGCACTCGTATAATTTTAATCAATTAGTTGAAGAATAAAAATACATAATTTATTGATTTCAGTATGGCCAAGAGTTTTCTACATTATGGAATCGAAATGATTTTTGGGGTTACGTCTGGCGGGAAATTTTACAAAAACCCTGTACAATACATACTTATACGAAAAATGTAACGAATCATAATAATATTGTAAGTCGCAATCTTCCCGCTCGATTGTCTTTGCGTCGGCTTGGATCGCACGTGTTTATCGTATGGGTCACTATAGGATATGTGCTATTCAGGTTATTTTCTAATAATTCAATATTTTATATTTTATTCCTGTGTGTATTATGGATATTATATGTAATATTTAAAGCATTCTTAAAAATGTTAAAGATTATGAAAGATGAATAAATTTTTTTTATTTGTGACTGGAAATTATTTAAATATACGTTTCAAAAGGGGAGAGCCTTCGGATACGCTAATAAATAATACAATGATAATTAAATTGAGCTTAACGGAATAGTAAAATATCAGAACTCTGCGCTGAGGTAGGGATGTGACGGATTTCTTTAGTGAAAATAAAAAGTTTTAATGTTTTTTCTCGAAAAAAAAAAAACTACATATATATTTTATTTATTTACCCTTTATGCACAAATAGGACTTAGGCGGACTTAATGCCAACGGCATAATCGCCCAGTAAACCTTGGGGTGGTACAGAGAAAATTAGGTAGTTGCACTGAAAGATTTCTAACAAGGAAAACGCTAACATACGTTACAAACTATATTACATATATGCATATGTTAAATAAAGTATAAAACATACTACATAAGAAAAATACTACCAAATAAACCTAACATATATACTCTGGTACTTAACTGTGGAGTTAATCTACAGAGGTTTTTGAGGATATGCACAAGAGCTTTATTTTTAAATACAAAGCGACTTTTAGCCAACCTGATTTCGAGAGGTAGCGCATTCGCACAGAAGGATAGACTGGATAAAGAAAGATTGACGACCCGAATGGCGTTGTGGGTAGTGTACCTGCCTCCTGCGCCAGAGGGTGTGGGTTCGATCCCCACTACTGGATAAATATTGTGTGATGAACATAGTATTTTTCTAGTGTCTGGGTGTTAATATATGTATAATATGTATTTATTTACAAAAGGAAAGTATGTTTAAGTATGTTTATCAGTTTTCTAGTACCCATAGTACAAGCTTTGCTTAGTTTGGGACTAGAGAATGTTGTGTAAAAATCTGTCCTAAATATAAAAAAATATAAAAGATGAGTGCATGAATGAAGTCAGAACGGGGAGGACATTCAAGAAGACTGTTATGTGAAGAGCGAAGGTTTTTGTTGCCAACTGCATATAGATACTGAAAATGATAGGATAAGTAAGTAGGAGTAGAAGGAGAGTTCAGGAAAGAATAAAGAGTAGTCTGTGCTCTTAGAAAACGTTGACGTATCGGTGGTCATACTGGCGAAAATTGAAAACAAATTGAATGCAGTAATTCAGAAGTCGGTCGAGTTTATTGAGGTGATCTGCATTCAGATCAAAGTAGCATCCGTCACCATAGTTAATTAAAGGGAAAATTAAGGCCTGCTCGAGCAATTCCATCGTTTTTGTCGACAAGAGATTTTTGAGGCGGTATAGACTTCCTATACTTGAGCATTCCAGCTGAACGTCATGTCAAGGTACACATCGAGGTTTTTAGCATTACGGCTGATTAGGATACAGGAACCGTTGAAAATTGTATGCAGGAGATCACTCAGGTCCACTTTACCTATAGTACGGGAACTCCCAACTATGATGGCGTGACAGTTAAGGCAAACCTGTCAGACCTCTTTTTGATGGCAATTAAGTACTTGTTTATATAATCAAAGGCAAAAAAAGCTTTGCGCCGGCGGACTACAATGTTAGATTTCATAAACCCTCGGCAACAATCCAAGATTTTACACATTTTGTTTCTGTGGTGAAATAAAAGAATAAAACAGTTCATCTCAAGTTTTATTAGCAATATTTCTTCAAAGTGAGTTTCGGAACGATGTTCATGGAAGCCAGCTCTTGGAAGAGTAACTTGCATGCGTACGGCATCTCGACGGTGGAGACGGCGGCAGAGGAACGGCACGCGTTGCACCACGCGCGGCTCGCCAGCCGCCCACACGAGCCGCAGATGTCTGCGGTGAACGCGTCCGACGCCAGCATCAGCCTCTCCATTAGCAGCATGCTGAGATGAGCGTTTTATTTTTAACAGTAATATGCCAGAATGACAGAAAGACATATACATAAAATATGTATATAAATTATAGCCTATGAGGACATACATCAGAATAGGAATTCTGATTTATAAGCTATATTATTGTAAGGTTTCATTAAAATCCATTCAGTAGTATTTGCGTGAAAGAGTAACAAACATCCATCCATACATACAAACTTTCGCCTTTATAATATTAGTAAGGATCGAGAGAACCGAGCAGTTGTCACTAGATAGTAAATGAGGATCGTCACCTATGGGCACTAATGAAAACCACATGGGGTCCACACGGGGGTATTTTTCCCTTGAAACTAGGAAAATGTAAAGTCGATTGCGCATATGGAATTTTTGCTTTTTTTTATTTTCAGTTATCTGATTAAAGTTTTCACCAACGAAAAACCCCTCATGGACCCACTTTCTTTGGCAAACTTAGTGAGAGTGGCTTCCCTTCCTCACTGGACGAAATGCAAGATTTAAACTACTTTTATTTAACGCCGATCTTCTGTGTGGTGTTATTTGTTCCCCATTCATACTAGCCTATGTGTGCAGAAGATTCTTACATGTAAGCTGTTGTTCTATTTAAAGTGCGTGAAAAACAATTATGATAATATGAAAATTTTAAATTAATATTTGCTCATCTTCCCCTCGAATTGCTGGCCTTGTACATGGACCTGCTAATCGCTAAGTCCTTATCTTTCATTTAATAAATATTCAGACTCAAAAGCCTGTGGTACCTTACGAACCTAAATATAATTTTTTATGTGAAAATCTGACGATTCATAATAACGCGCAAGCGTCTATTTGGATAAAGGTATATATTTGTGCTCAAGGCTAGTGAGGTTGGTTTTAACCAAGTTACGGTTACCAACGAGCCTTTCCGCAAGCCTCCATTGAGTCCAAGGTAGCAGATTGCATTTTGTAGGCCCAGCCCAGATATGGCAGCAGCACTCCACACAAGATCGGTCTTGAGCTTTGTATAGAGGAAGAAGCTATCACGATATGAAGTTTATTACCGATATAAGGATTTAAGGCTTATTACCGATGGACAGATTACTTACATACTGTGTACTGATGGGGATAATTTGCACGTTTGTCGTTCCTTTCGTATTTAATTTGTTACGTATTTAGTTAAGCCTCCTATATGTATGCTATGGATGAGCGGTGCTGCCAACCACAAGCAAATGTTTTGCTTAACTTAGTTAGTTTATCTCCAAATATTTGTAACTGTAATAATGTGTGAATGAAATAAATATTTTCGTAGTTTCTGTATTCGTTTCACCTGGCACCGTATCCGATGAGGCAGTCGCGCTCCATTTCGCCGAGCCGCAGACCGCCGTCGCGGGAGCGGCCCTCGGTGGGCTGCCGGGTCAGAACCGCGCGCGGGCCCCTAGCTCGGGCGTGCATCTTGTCCTGCACCATGTGCTTCAGCTTCTGGTAGTACACCTTCGAACACAATCGGAGTCAGTGGCGGATTTGTAGGCTTGGCCGCCCTCGGCCCCGGCCCATGGAGTTCAGCGTATCGTTACCATTGCGACAATAAATGAACACGCGTCTAACGCTACTTGCCAATAATTATAAAAAATATTAACGTTAAACAAAAACCATAATGAAAAAAAAATATTTCTCAAACAAACTAATTAAGTAAAGAAGAAAAATTTGTAACATCCTATACAACTACAACTGACTGATTCATACATTCAGAGACTTTTTCATTCGTTGCCACAGCGTCGCATTACAAGCCTCTCCTTCTAATATGTTTTGTCTCTTTTAAATTCATTCAACCCATTCATATGCTTTGTGACCTTTACAAATGAACTTTACGTTACAGTTTTATACGTAAGGATGTTCTAAAATTCTTTGTTTTGGAAAACTTAATAACTCTGTAAATATTGATGCTTAAAGAATGTAAATGTTTCATACAATTTTAAGAAGTTATACTCTATATGTTGTTCATTTATTGTCGCAATTGTGAAGACACGCTGTATATTGTTATCATCAGTGATTTTTTTTTCACGATTGGCCTCCCTAGGCCCGGGCCTATTGGGCCTTAGGGCAAATACGCCACTGATCGGAGTTGAAAAAAAAAAACAATTCTGGGTTCTATTGAATGGCTGCACAGGCGTCGCTGGGCGGCTGACAGCGTAGGAAGGTGAAAAAATAAATTGTAACTATAAAATCAGTAATACTTTTGATCTTAATTAATGGTATCATATATTACCTGATCACGTGAAAGTTAAAGTAGTTTGCCTGATTTCCTATTTACATTTGCAGCTCTACAATAACGATTACAGTATCGTAATAAACAAAAGGAAATACCGGTCCGGAATAAATGTACGCTTCCAAGGGTTCTCCAGTGAGACCCGAGTAAAATATGTCTTTGCCGTGATAGTTATAGCCGTGTTTCTCCAGCTCGTTGCATACGTCCCTGACTTTCGACCCACCGAACGCAGTACCTGTAAATGAAATACATATTTATTTATCTAAATCTTATCCTTTAAATGAACAATTCTTGTATATATATAATCGGAATCTCGGAAACGGCTCCAGCGATTTTCATGAAATTTAGTATGTGCGTAGATTCCGGGGTGAAAAATCGATCTAGCTAGGTTTAATTTTTAGAAAATGTCTTTTTATCCCTGTTTTCAGGGAATAAAAAATATTATTGTATATGACAGTAAATTTCGCCGCAAAAAAAAATGTTATAATAGCTCGGTCGGTAATCGGGCGGCCCCAAAACAGATGGTCGCGGTTCGTATCAGGATCATTTACACACTTATTTTTTTTTTACTTTTTTATACCAGATTATTTTCTTTATTTTATTTTTTTTATTTCCAAAAAACATGATTTACTAAAAAAAACCGAGCAAAGCTCGGTCCTCCAAGTACTATAGTAGTAGTATACATAAAACAAACAAAATGGTCCAGGACTCAAAGTTGTAGCACCGACGGTACACCAACTCTGATAAAGCCTACCTGATATATAGATAGCTAACACACTAAATATTGTTACAATTCCAATTATTATTTAAATCATTGGATACTCGAAGCCAATGATTGCTGCATTATAAGCCATTTTCGAATTTTTTTTCTGAAAACTCTAAAGGAGCAGATGTTTCGAAGTAACGGAGGGCAGGTCATTCCAAACTTAAAACTGCCTCGAGTTGCACAAGTTTCTTTTGGTAGGATAAGTGGATGGACTTTTGATCTTGAATTTAATCGCGTCAAGTCTTTTGACCAACTCGATTTACTGTATAAATGAGTTAGTGCTTTGAATTTTATCAAGGAATACAGAAAGCAAGCCAGCCTGAAGCTAGCTTTGCGTCTCATGTTATCCATTTTCAGCAAACCCCTTTGATTCATATTTGGTAAGAAATGTTGTCGTCAAGTACTTACCGTAATGAAATTTGCCTTCCATGAGTCCCGCTTTGCCGGCGAGCAATTCTATTGTTTTTCCAACCGTCATGCGGGAGGGAAAACCGTGTGGGTTCATGATCATGTCCGGGCATATCCCCTTGTCGTTGAACGGCATATCTTCCTGTTGGACTATTAGACCTGTCACGCCTTTCTGCCCGTGCCTGGAGCTGAACTTGTCGCCGATCTCCGGGACCCTGGTTTGCCGGAGTAGTATTTTGATCAGGAACGCGTCTTCCGCGTTAGACGACACCATTACCTTCTCTATGTACGACTCGACGGGGCCTTTGTAAGTGATTGGGACGTCTTTGTACTCGATTTGTTGCGGCTGGCTCTGACCGATGGGGTTTATGGTCGCCGGCGGCATCTGTTTATTTATAAGGACCTGTCTATTTTCCACCATTTCACCGGGCGCCGCGATCCCGTCGGAGTCGAGGACCTCGTGAGCCTTTATTATTTTTCCCGTGCTGGCCTCCTTTGAGGGGCCTAATATACGATCGGACGTCTGGTTGCTGTACCGCTTCATGGTAGTCTTTGCACTTTTGTACACCAGACAGCGTCCATATCCGCGGTCGATGGACGCTCTGTTCAGGATCAAAGCGTCTTCGATGTCGTATCCACTGTAGCTCATTACAGCGACTGTAGCATTTTGGCCAGCTGGTAGCTTATCGAAATTTGTCAATTCTATCGTTTTGGTTTTCACCATTGGGCACTGTGGGTAAACCAGATTGTACATTAGCGAATCAATTCTGTTCTTCTGGTTGTATCCGATGGTTCCTGGAAATATCGAAATATTAATTAATAAACACATATAATAATTATCCCTTGTTTTTTTAATTCCCTGTGATGTGAAAAGTTTCCAAGCGAGCAGACGGTTCACCTGATGTTAAGTGAATACCGCCGGCCATGGACATCTGCTACCCCCGAGGGTTCCAGATGCGTTGACAACCTTTTGAAAATTGGGATCCCTCACTCACCAGAAAACGCGAAAGTATTGTACTTTCAATTTACACCGGTCTTCTGTGAGGTCTTACCCGGACAAGCCTGCCCATTCGTGAAATGACGTTGGATTGAACAGTTCCTGAGAAAGCCTGACAACAACCTCACTAAACATGCCCTGACCTGGCAACTTGCAAGAAGTCATACATGGGGGTGGCCAAGTACCACATGACGGTGCTGAGCCGAAAAAGAGGCTTCGTCGTTGAACAGACGAAATTGGAAAGACCTAGAAACTGTAGTCCAGGACGGAGAAGAGTGGAATAATCTATTAAAACCTCTAAATCCCCGCTGAGGGATTGAATGATGAATTATGAATGATGATGAATAAAGCTTAAAGTTAAGTGATGTGGTTAAAAGTTTGATCAACTAGAATATATGTACCCATGGCTTGCTTGCCCATAGCGCACTGGTAGGTATTCCGTGGGCTTTGGTTGTGATGCGGGTAGGGCACCAAGCCGGCGCAGACGCCCAATATTGTGAACGGCTCAATTTCTAGATGCGTGGTGACGTAGGGGTCGATCTCCGCTTCTACGGTCGCGATATGGCTGTCGTTCTCTTCGTTCACGTCCAAATACTCGATGAGGCCGTCGTTAAGGAAGTCCTGGAACTTCCTGATGCCTCTGTTGAGCTCGTTAATGTGTATTTGCTGGACCAGCGGGTAGCCCTTCTCCACAATGATGTACGGCCGACAGAGCCTGCCGCCGTCGCTGCATATGTACACAGTGCGCTGAACGTGATTTGGATAGATCGACACAAAGGACGAGATGAGCCCCCGTCTCCTGAACATTCTGAACACTCGGATAAGTTTCTTGTACTGTCGCGTCACGCCCAGAATGTTGCCTGGAACGGTTACGTGCGAACGATTAGTGCTATTAGTATCATTTTAATTTCAAACTGTAGGTACATTCCTGGTAGATCACCGTTTAAGAACACCATGTAGACGGCTGGATGATTGATTTCCTCGCCGCCCAGGAGCCTGACATCTTCGACGCCGGCGTTGCAGGCCAACCGCGAGATGGGTTCTTCCGAACACTCGGTTGTTATGTGGGTCATTAACGCGAGATTCTTTACAAGACCACAACCTTCGCCCTCAGGGGTGTCAGACGGACACAACATGCCCCATTGCGAGGGTTGCAGCGAGCGAGGACCGGAGACTTTCCTAGTTTTCTCGAACTGCGAATTCACCCTGGTCATCATTCCCAAAGCCGATATGTAGCTCAGACGGCTGAGAACCTGCGTGACCCCGTGCCTTTCCATTTTGAATCTTTTAATCGTCCAATTTCCCTAAAAGCAATATAATATTTCACATTCATAAAATAAAGTAACTAACTTTTAAGACCGACTGAAGTTCAAAGGTAAAGTAACCCGTCTGTATTCTATTTTTGAATTAAATAAATCTTACTATGCACAGTTTTTGAGTTATTGTTAGCCATAGAGTGTCATAATCGCTTTATTCGGTATTACATTACTAACTTGACATAATATTGTTTGTATTTTTGAAGGAAATAATAGTGATCATGATCGTTAAAATATGCCCAGGTATGACGGTTTTCTGTCACATAGCTATTAATAAATTCAAAGAGCACCCACCGACGAAATCGCTGTGAACAGTCCATTAGCAATCAGATCGGGTCGCATGTGTTTCACTACGTCAAACGGGGCGGCCTTTACTTTTGGTATGATTTTATCAGCTATACACTTCAGCTCCCAATTGAACCTTTTGAACAGATCTTCGAACATCAGCGCCAATAACGAGCCCGCCAGCTCGAGCCTCTTATTACCGTAATAGTCGGGGTCATCTACGGCCGCTTTGTTGTTCTCAGCCTGGATTATTCTTTTCACCATTATCGCCAGATAGATTGCTTTCACGTAAAAGTTGTAATTATCGACCGCTATATGTGCTAGGACGGTTGTAGCTAGAAGCTCTCTAGCCTCATCGATCGGAGAGCGCGCTTTGGTATTTGCGGTCTGAAATCTACATGAACATTGTTATTAGCGGTAACTACAAAAGTATGATACATAATGGCACCAATGAAAATTTATTAAACTATTAGCGTTCAATAAGTAGTGCATTTATTATCCCCCGACTAGATGGAGTGACGACCTGTGCAAATGTGCGGGAAGTCCATGGATGCAGGTGGCTCAGGATCGTACGTCGTGGCAGTCTATGGGGGAGGCCTATGTTCAGCAATGGACTCAAACAGGCTGAAATGATGATGATGATGAAGTAGTGCATTAATGTCATCTCAGGTGAGCTTAGACACTACTCCATAGCCACCAGTAGCTTTAAAATAGTTTAAAATAAAATTACGCATTTATTTGTAGCTTACAAAGCACTCATTAAATTATCTTTCAATAACTTTTTTTAATATGAAATGGCGACAAGCTGGCAAGTGAGCTTTGGTTCGACGTCACTTTTGCAGTATTTATGTCAAAATATTATAACCGCCATAAACATTTTAAGATCTGTTGCCGTTGCTAGCTTGTAAAAATTTGGGCCCCGATTTCCAAACGCACCAGACGAAACACGAAACTTTAATACTTCCACTTCACGTCGGTCTTCTGTAACGCCATGGTACTTCTCCAGATGAGATTGTCTTGAAGCAATCAGAAGTAATCTGTAAAACATTTGTGACTCACCTTTTTACTTTAAGTTTACTTCCAATATATGTCAGGGCCTGGTTTTGTGTAAATATTTTTAAAGTATGACAATCCATAATGCAAGGTGCCATCTTTTTTGCGATTGCATCATCTGAACCAACTAGCTGTATTATTTCTTGATCACTACAGATGCCCATAGCCTTGAATGCTACAGCTATTGGAATATCCTGCAAATTAAACATAATATGGTGATGTTTATAATTATAACTGTTTTCAATACTTATAATCCCAATATACCAAGTACAAAGTTGGTAATAGTCATGACCCTGTAGAGACATTTCTACGTGTGCCCAAATTCACACAGGAGGTTCAGACTCGGTAGTATAATCTTTTATTGAAATTAAAACAAACTTTTAAAAAAAATTGCCAATCCATTCCCAAAAAAGAGAACTTGTTGACAATGCGGTAGCCATTCATAAATGCGTCGTATACTTTTGAAACGAACTTGTGTGCGTGTTGGTTATGAATGATCGCGCGTAAACTAAATGAGTTGCCCATAATTCACGCACTTTTCGAGATAAGTTTAAATGAATATATTTAATAATTTACGAGTGATATTAAATATTTATCATTTTTTATATAACACATAATTTATGTCTAGAATTTAATAAAAAAAAAATGGATACACTTAGAAAAGCCAACCAGTATAATTTCTTTAGTTATGAGTTCTGAAACATTAGAGAAGTACAGGATGTTGTTTTAAAGTGAATTATTGTATAAAGTTAACAAAAATGAATAAAAGTGAGCAATGAAGCTTTTTCTGAAAGATTTACCTTTTCGTGATGATTAGACACAAACTAAAAAATAATTTAATCAAGATAAAATTCAAGATGTTTTTTAAAAAAAAAAAACGAGATATGTTATTGAAAAAAAAAATATTTGTAATTTTTTTGACAGGCAAATATATTTTTCAAATATATTTTGAAATAAAATGTACTCGTTTAAGTATTAAATCATGCTACATTTTATTAAAAAAATTAAAATTTAACTATATACCATTCATAGTATTGGTATAAAAATGTAATATTGTTAAATAAATATAGAATTCTTGTAATTATAGAACTTATTTTGCAACCTAACATAAATAACTCTTTATAGTCAACAAATGAAAACTATAGACCAAAGTAATAATTATATAACACAATTACAATTAAATTAATTACTTTGATAGAATGGCACACATGCATTCAATGTTACACATACATATTTGTTTAAAACCAAAATTACATACATCTGAAAGTGCATTATGTCTCAAGACATATTTCCCATTTTTAACAATTATATTAGTTCTAGTTTTCTTTTCATGAGTGGAACTTGTAACTTGACATTGAATAGCACCTTTGAACTCATCTACAATCATCCTGTTTCTTGACAATTGTTCTTGAATTAGGATAACTTTTTCTTGACCTGGATTTAAATAAATGTTTTATAAGAACTTAATTAAAAAAAAGGCCAAATAAATGTCTTACATTAATAATATCTTTTAGGTAAAATTTATTGACAGAGAAACTGTACAAGTTATGCATACTCCAGTACTGATTATTTTCTGTAATAAGTGCAAAATACCTCTAATAATAAAATAACCTCCGGGGTCATGTGGGCATTCATTTAACTGTGCAAGTTCATAATCCGATTTATTTGTTAAAACGCAATTTGATGATCGTAGCATTAATGGCATTCTGTAAACATTAGAAATGTTTTTAAAATTGCATATAAATATTTACACAGACATAATATGATTAATTTTATATTAAAAATTAATAACAGATATTATCAATTCTCTGCCTTAAATATGAATGCTTTAAATTTCCATACCTTCCAATTAATTGTTTATTTTTTATGACCCTCTGATTGCCTCTGATATACTCAATATCAACAGTGATTGGTGCAGAATATGTCATGTCTCGTAAACGACATTCATGCGGTGTTGTTGGTTTTGTTATATTAAAACCTTCTTCTAAATCTGGAGTTCCAACATATGCATTTAAGTATTTAATGTAGAATAGAGGATCAGCATCGCAGAATACTTTTTCATTTGCCTGAACAATCTTTTTAATTTCCACATTGATGAAATAATTAAAAGAATCAATGTGCTGCTTTACTAATCCTTTCACTTGGAGAAATGATGGAACAAGTTTCCATTTATCCTAAAAACCATAAGAAAAATAAAATCAAATACATGAATTTTCAATTATTAACATCAAACTATCTTACAAGAGTATTACACTATATGTGAAAATAATTTACTTTTAGGCAAATTCAAATTATACAGTTAATTGTAATTTACTTACACGTACACTATTTTTGTCCCAAATATTTTAATATTGAGAAATACTAACTAAATTAAACATAATCAAACAAAGTTTTTTTATGTATAATTTATTTTCAATTAACCCATGCAGCATGAAGAAGCATGCCATTCCATGCTGAATATTTATTGACGTTATTATTATAATATTCTTTGAATGAGACAAAAATGGACTATCTAATCACCATCTGCTATAATCTTTTAATTTTATTTTTGTAACAAAAGTATATTTCATGTGAAATTAAAAAAAATATTTCATGATGAAATATTCTAACAAGCAATAAGAAGGAAATCCTCTCAATTTGTGCAGAAGAATCTGAAATATTCTATTATTAATTGGTTTTGGTTGTATGGTAGTGATGTGAGCAAAATGTCTGGTGTTGCCCTAGCTACATAACTTTCATTCCGTGCATTGCATAAATAATAATAAATATTTTAAATCACATTTTTAACCAACATTCTCTAGGCCCAAAACAATGTTTTGTGCTATGGCAATACACATATTCTCCATTTGTAAATAAATAAATATTCCACATATATTAACACCCAGATACTGAAAAAGCTCTACATTCATCACACAATATTATTCCAGTAGTGGGGATCGTACCCTCACACTCTGGCGCAAGACGCACGATCAATATATACATAGATTACAACCCGATTGATGTAGCGGATACATCAATCGGGTATAAATATGTATATAAATGCCAGAATTATGGGATGTGGTGTAAGCAAAAGTTCAAATAGGATATTGCAAATAATATCTTGTGGTATTTCGTTATTTTTTTTCAAAAACTACGCGTTTCCACATGTTGCAATTATGCGTGTGTTCTTATAATAATGTAACCTTTCTGTAAAAAATATCAACCTCCAACCCAACGTCAATGGAAAACTGAGTCGTTGGGAATGTCCATGGGGGGCGAATATCACTTAACATGAGATGATCCACCACCATCTCAATTGCCACCTTCTCATATAAAAAAGACAACTAACCTCCAGAGTTTTTATAGGTTCCCGCAATCCTTTCGTAGAATCCCAATCACTAAGTTTTTTATTGATTTCCCCCATCACAAGAAAGGCAGAATAAGAAAGTATAAATTGAGCTCTAAATTTATACTTCTGTTTACATAAAAAAAATATTGTCAGGATGTCAGGATTTAGAACATTCGGTAATTATTTGACATTGACACTTGACAGTGTTGACAATAACAAAATCGTGTTTATAGCGAGTGGCGTTGTTTTTTGGGAGCCGGCAGGAGGGAATATTTAAGATGCAGTACAAAGAACAAGCCGTGTTGAGTTGAGAATACCATAATCTTTTATTGTCAGTGTCACTCGTTGCTATAGTAATTTGTCAATATTAGGGTAATGCTCGACCGATGAGAGTAAGGGTGTACAAGATAAGAGCGGTGCTACACAGTAGCAAATGAGTCGCCACATCACCCCCCTACGGAGAAAATTAAGTACAAATTGAAAGCAAAACAAGTATAAAATGTAACAATCAAATAATTATACACTGTTATTATAAAAGTACAAGCTACATTCTTTAGGATAATTTTTACATAACTAATGGAATTTTAATTTATACAATGAAAAAATAAACATTGGACACTTAAAATTGAAAAAACTCTGCTTTAACAAAAATAACGTTTAAAAAAACTAGTACTTATAAATCTAAAACATCTTTAAATTTAACTTTGCGACCTGACCGCGTTGTTACCTGCTGTGCGGTCGTTTTTATGGGCACGGTCGTTTGGCTAATAGGAGGTGAAAGAGTAGGAAGGACGTCGGAGGAGTCGAAGGTACGTTGTTTCTCCTAAGTCAACGGTTCGTTATTCCGCGGATCTCCTCCAAGAAAGCTATTTCAGTTTATATGTCTTATTCTTATCATAAAGAAAGCTGTTAAATCCTCCGGGATAACAGCTAACTATACATATAATAAATATACATAAATATACATATAGAAGAATACGGATATAGTAAAGTTTGGCAACACAGAATTTTTTTCTTAGAGTGAGTGTCATTTCCTGCATCCTTTTCGTTGGCATCTAAAACGGCGTGTGTTACCGGTGCCGCCATTTTCTTTTTGCCCCTGTAGGCTTGACACTGGTCAGCCGCGGTGGGAAAAATTAACGTAGAATATCTCTTACATTTCGTTCTTTGTGACCATCTCAAAAGGTGTTTAGGTGATATAACTCACTTTTAATCATACGGTTTAGGTTAAAGTGATATTTATAGGCGTTTATAAAATGGGTGACCGTAAGTACCGAGTCAATTTAAAAGATTTCGGTTAATGATTTTTTGGGTGTCTACAAATGTTCTTTTTTTTTATAGCCTATTCATCAACTGATTACAATAATAGCGGATATTCTGCACATTATTCAGTTCCACCACCTGCCACATCTTCAGGAGATAATAATTACAGCGGGAGTCAGCAAGGTAGCTATAATCATGGTAATTACACTGGACAAAGTTCAGGCCAAGATTGGAGTCCACAAGGTTCAGGTTGGTTTCAACTATACTGTGGCCATCTGTTTTCTCGGTACTTCGTAGTATTGTAATTAATTTTTTAGATCAAATGTTTCATTTTCGTTATCGCCTACCACGTGAAACATTATGCTTAAATTATATTTAAATAATATTTTTTCGGACACTTTTCTAACACAACGTTCTCTAGTCCCAAACTAAGCAACGCTTGTACCATGGGTACTAGAAAAATTGATAAACACTTATACTTAAACATAAATCTATTATGTAAATACATACATATTATAGATATATAAACACCCAGGTTCTGGAAAAATAATATGTTCATCACACAACATTTTTCCAGTAGTGAGGATAGAACCCACACACTGGCGCACGAGGCAAGTTCACTACTCCGCACACCAATCGGGTCGTCGAAAATATTAATATGGCACATTTCTTAATACGTCAATTTATTTTTCAGGTGGAAATAACTACAGTGCAGGTGGTCAGCCTGGCAACAACTATGGACAAAGTTACAATTCAAACTATGGAAGTGGGGGCTATGACCGAAATAGCGGTAGTGGCAATAACTACAATGTGAGTGGAGGTGATCGCGGTGGCAGCAACTATAGTAGCAGTGACCGTGGGGGTGGCGGTTCCAATTATGGAGGAAGTGATAGGGGAGGAAGTGGTTACTCTGGTGGCGAGCGGGGTGGATATGGAGGGGGTGATCGATCCAGCTACAATAGAGATGGGGGAAATAGAGATAGTGGATATGGGTAAGCTATCTTTTTCTAATATAGATAAAACCAAACTATCTTTGCATTACTTCTATAGTAGTTGTGCTTTAGTTAACACACAAACATACACAAACTTTATGTTGTTAACATAGCATCTTTATTATTTATCCCTTGGTGGTTAAATTTTGTTAATCTTAATATTTTTTTACACTGGCAAAAATGAGTGCTTTTTGGGATTTAGTTATACAACAAGAATTTTAGGGAAAGTCTAATGTGGTAATAAACTTTTCTAAAATAATTATGTATTTTACAATAGACATGTAATTTATTTCTGAGAATTATTGTTTTACACACCATAAGTGTTAAATGAAAATGAAGGCTAGAAATTCAAATTCTGAATTTATTAAAAAATATAAAGAAATAATAATTTTATCATGAAAATTTAAATCTTTACCATAATTAGTACAATAGTAACTATACAATGAGAAAATTTGGCTAGACACTACTAAAACTTTGTTAAACAATTATTCTACAAACCCCATGTTCTTTATTTTTAGTTAACCAGATATATATGGGACCTAATAATATTTCATTGGTTGTATGCTTTTAAAAATATAAAAGAGTGCTTTCAAATATGTATTTTATTATGCAGGGTGTATTAAGTTTCTTTTGTTAATGCACTTATTTTAATACTCTACATTGCATTTCAAAGATGTGACATAATAAGTCATTTGATTCACTTACCAAATTTACATTTATGTAGGGCAGCAGGTCTTAAAAATGTGAAACTGCCAAGTTGGCTTAGATAAACACAGGTAAGTCTTGATGTAATGCAACAGTCAGCTACAATTACAATGGTCTTGAACGAATTGTAACTTATAATGTTGGTAATTTTGAGTGTTTAATTTGTCAGCAGTATAAAACTACAGCAGAAAGTTGAAACATCTTCTTCATTAACAACACCTCTTTACCATGACTTTGCTCAAGCTTAGTAATTGTCTCATGTTGAGAACCTTGTAGAATATAAGTCGGTAAATTGTTTAAGGGTCAATAAATAAGTTCAAAAATGTATGGTTACTTGACTAAAAAAAGTTCAAGTAATAAATGTTTTTGGTATGATTATTCACATCTACACATATGACTTTAATTTAATAAATTTTTTGCATTGCAAAATTTTCCTTATAACATTGTATGGTATTATCACCGACTCCTAGTATTTTACTACATTTACTTTACTCAAAGTTACCACAATGCATTGAACTCTAATGAAATGACAATTATAATAAATATGATTATAATGAATTTTACTTGTACCTTAATATGCATGTTGTTGACTACAAAATGTGCAACATTATTGTCTCCAACAGTTCTAAGAATTTCAAGGTGTCACGGTTTATCATTATGGTAAAGAAAAGGATTCATCAATGGTCTCAGGTTACTGATTATGGAACCTAGGTGTCAAACCATCTTCGTGCGCCGATCTGTGTGCCCCCAGCCCGCCCAGTGTAAACTAAACGGTCTTCTTATTGTTTTAGTGGCGGCGGCAGGGGGGGTGGTTATAATAAAGGTAAAGCTCCTCGCGATCAGTGAGTGGTGCTGTTGTCATATTTTTAATATGTTATTTACGAAGGGCTGCCAAACTGCGTTGGTCACCAAAGATGTTTATAATTAGTAGGCTGTTGACAAGTAAACATTCTTTTTAAAGGTGGGATGTTTGAAAAAATTGAGTATTAACTATGACTGTAAAAATGTATTATTATTGTAAAAATTTTTAGGCAATAGTTTTACACATTGCCCAAAAATTTTTTTGGATATGTTATCTATAGTAAAATATAAGTTAGTATACTGGATACATGGATTTAGACAGTCTAACCTTGGTCACTTCGGCGACAAAACAAAATGGTATGGGTTCGGTATATGGTTAATTTGCATTGAAATTATGATGGATTATTAAGATGACTTTGTTTTTGTTATGAGTTTTTGATATCCATTATTAGTGTGATATTGTTTTGTCTCCTTTTATTTATAATTATAGGGTAAAATAAGGACTTCAGGTTTTTAAATGATAACACAAGCAAGACTTATAGACAATAAGAGATAATTGTCAGCAGTCTTTTGGATGCTAAAGGTTATTTCTTCCCTCAGATTTTGAATGACAACTAATTTATACAGAGTTACTGGCATTGAGTCTTAACATAATTGTACTAGAGAGATGCGCTTCAGATTGCACTACTGGTACTAATGTTACAATTGTCTATTATTAAGTAATGACTCAGTGTTCCAGAGACACTGTATATCTATTTGGCAGCCCTGATAATATAACAAAGAATAATTTTTGGATGGTCATTTATAATGATTTTGTCGGATTTCACATATTTATAGTTTCATGTGTTACAATGTATTTAAATATAACTAGGAAAAAAGAGTTGGAGTAAGAACATATTTCTAGGGTTCACATTAAATGCTATGTCTAAAGAGTTTCAAATATTGTTTGATTCTTCAATTTTTTATGGTTTTATCAATATGTAGTTATAGGGGTTATTCAAATTTAAACTGCTGTCTGGTATAAAAGAAAAGGTATAATAAATAAACATTCTTAAGTAAATACAGGGTGAAAATACGTAATTTTATATTATATTAAGAATAATATTGAGCGTTATTGTGCATGGAGCACTTTTGGGTTAAAATTTTTGACAAAAAATTTGGATAAAGGTGTAAACAAAACCTGTTTGTTATGAAGACTACATGAAAACAAAAATAAATTTAAAACTGTTTGCTTGTTTCCATGAACGGTTAAAATTTTAAATTTCTGTAGGTGGTGGCGGAGGTGGTTACGGCGGCGGGGATCGGGGTGGAAGTGATATGATCACCCAGGAAGATACTGTTTTCATCCAAGGCATGAATCCTTCTACTACTGAAGATGAATTATGCCAGCATTTTGGAGCTATTGGCATTATTAAGGTATAATATAAGATTTTCCTTAAAAAATAAATTAAAAGGAGGTCATATCATATTATTTAATTTATTTTTTATAGATGGATAAAAAGACTCAGAGACCTAAAGTATGGATGTATAAAGATAAAGCCACAGGACAACCTAAGGGCGAAGCCACAGTCACTTACGAGGACAGTAATGCCGCTTCTTCTGCTATTCAATGGTTTGATGGAAAGGATTTCAATGGAGCTACAATAAAAGTGTCTCTTGCACAAAGACAAAACACGTGGGGCGGTAGCAAAGGGGGTGGCGGTGGTGGATTCCGTGGAGGCCGCGGCGGCGGAGGTGGTGCTCCCCGTAGCGGTGGCGGCGGCGGCGGAGGAAGAGGTGGCGGCGGTGGACCCCCGTCTGGCAATCGCGAAGGAGACTGGCGTTGTCCCAATCCGAACTGCGGAAATACTAACTTCTCGTGGAGGAGAGCTTGCAACAGATGTAATGAAGAGAAGCCCGGCGGCGGCGGTGGCGGTGGGCCACCTAGCGGCGAGCGCGGTGGAGGTGGCCCTCCGGGGCGTGGGGGTCGCGGCGGCGGCCGTGGGGGAGGCGGCTGGGGGGGGCGCGGAGACCGCGGAGGCGACCGTGGCGATAGGCGCTACGGGGGCGGGGGCGGTGGTGCCGGCGGCGGAGGCAACGGGGGCGGCGACCGGAGCGGCGGCACCGGCGGCGGAGCTATGAGGGGCGACGGAGGGTAAATTTTAACTATTAACGCAGTCTCCCCTCCCATAAACTTGAACTGAAATTATTGCAATGAAAAATTGTCTTTAATGAATTTATCATAATAATTGTTTTTTTTTTTAAAACGGTATAGTTTATTTTATTTTATTAATTTTTGCTCCACATTTTAATTAGCAGATAACAGCCCTTTCCATCTAAAATTACTTCTATTTTTTATTTGTTTATACTCTATTTTTAATTTGTTACAGGGGCAGAGACAGACAGAGGCCGTATTAATAATTTACAATAGTAATAAGTAGCATAAATATATTTTAATGTAAGTTTTCATTAGTTTGACTGATTGATGTAGGATTCTCAACGGATTTCTTGAGTTAATAAGTTGACATAAAATTTTGCTTGAAGTCAGTAACTCTTTATAGTTTTCAACTGTTTTTTATTGAGTAAATGTAACATATACAAAGCAAGGTATGTATGATTATACATATCCTTTATATCTTACTCTCTTAAGTTTCATTCACAGTATTTAAAGTTGAAATTAGTGAAAATAAAGTGAAGTTAATACCAAATGAGGTATTAATTTTAACAATATAAAGATTTTTATAGGTGTGTTAAAGCATAACTTGACTTTTAATGTTAGCTGTTAGAACAATGAATACATTTTAAAATAGCTGATGACAGTACTAAATACATTTTATGTACAGTACTGTAAATTATGTTATGACATGAACCCCTATGTACTAACTCATGACTAGCATGTTCTCATTGTCATCAATGTGTAATGTAATGATAAGCCACTTTTATGTAATAAATTTGTGAATATTTTGATATTATTTTTATTAAAACTGGTGTGCCACAAAAACTACCAATTAAAACTTAAGTAATTGAACCATCAATTTATGAAATAAAAGTATTGACGAGTTCAGTATATAAAAACAAAGTTTCTATTAAGTCTTGAAGGTTTTGCAAAGCTTTAAATTCGCAATAATTAAAATAAGTCGTAATACCCAGTCACTTCTACCTCTTCTTACGCGGACGTATGATACTTGGACTAAATCATGATAAAGAATAAAACAGGAATGTTAAGATGGTAGAGATGGGAAAAAAGATACATTTGAGGGAAGTTGTTTAGTTTTACAAGTCCAAATTTACCTTGCACATAAATAATATTAGGCGTACGAATTCGGTCATAAACCACTACGGGCCCGTATCTGCAAGACCACGGGAACACTTCCGCGACCCTACCAGCACCGGCCCCCTCAGTAGCCTTTCGGGGGAGCAACTCTCCTGAAAAATTCAGTGGACCTATTGCACGACCAGCAAACTCTAGTTCGCTAACTGATGGCATCCAGGACTGCATGTGAGCCAGTACTAATATTCAGAAAGCCTCCCAGCGGTGGCCCTATTGGATGGTAGGGAAAACGACACGCCTCCCCGCGACCCCACCACTACTGCATTAGCATTGCTCGCGGAACCGCGTTGGCTTATCCAACACCAATACTTATCTGGCTTATCCAACACCAATTCTTATCTGGCTTATCCAACACCAATACTTATCTGGCTTATCCAACACCAATACTTATCTGGCTTATCCAACACCAATGCTTTTCTGGCTTATCCAACACCAATTCCTAACTGGCTTATCCAACACCAATACCTATCTGGCTTATCCAACACCAATACTTATCTGGCTTATCCAACACAAATACTTATCTGGCTTATCCAACACCAATACTTATCTGGCTTATCCAACACAAATACTTATCTGGCTTATCCAACACCAATACTTATCTGGCTTATCCAACACGAATACTTATCTGGCTTATCCAACACCAATACTTATCTTCCCCCGCGACTACACCTCGGTCGTAGAGACTGGGAAAGTGGTTCCTCCTCTTCACTTCTTAGCACACACCCAGAGTAAGCTACATGAGCTCGCGGCGATTCTACTGACAGCTGTACACCACGTGTAAGTGACGAAAAACGAGTCTGTGTCGACAATTGAGCGAAATTAAAACGGCCGTTGAACAATTTAAGAATGGCAAAGCATCGTGAGAGACGGACAGCTGAGCTTCGGAAACCGGTACTTGTGGTCCTTCAGGAGCTCTTTAATTCTGTTCTTCAAAATCGTGCTACGCCAGAGGTGTTGAACAAATGAGCCGTAGTCCTGTTCTTCGAGAAATATAGTAACACTCTCTTGAAGAAATATAGATCGATATTCCTTCTGAATGACGTCTATGTTCTGTTATCGAGAATCATCTTGAATTGTCTCAATTCCAGGCTCGAAGCCTTCCTGAACAAGCCAGATTCCGAACCATAGACCACAAATAGATACTGACAGATAATACAGTTAGTCTTCGATCCTGTCGCAATTTGGTGCCAAATTGACTTTCGGTATATCGAGGTGCTGGGGTGTAGGTTTAACAAGGATGGGTCTCAGGGTAAATATGGATAAGACGAAGGTCATGTCGAATGTCCATGTCATGTGTATGGCGTTTCTTGTTGGGAGCACTGTGCTCGAACATGTTGACGAGAATGTTTACTTTGATCAGTTAATCCGGTTAGGTAAGTTCAAATTTGACGTAGAGGTCAATCATCATCATCATCATCGTTTCAGCCTGTTTGAGTCCACTGTTGATCCCGAGCCACCTGCATCTATTAACTTCCCGCACATATGCACAGAACAAAGGTAACCGTTATATCGCAGAAGATTAACAAGCTGAAGTGGCGATGGGCCGGCAACATAGCTCGTAGAACCGATGGAGAAGAAAGGTTCTTGAGTGGCAGCATTGTACTAGCCATCGCAGTGTAGAACGAGTCGACCCCCACTAGATGGAGATCAATCAACAAATAATAATAATATAATGAGCAGCGTTCGGGAACTTTGGAATATATTTTCGTTCAACATCCTATTTAAACGAAGTTAAATATGAATTTAGCAAAATTAAAGCGCGCATGAGATTGTGAATTTGACTTGGAATTATGTTGAAATTTTTTTTTTCTACTGATCTCATCTTTATAATACATATTTAATATTGTCATATATTATATACTCTACAAGGGATAAGTTCGAGTCACTGTATTCTTTTCGTATCGACACTTATGCATAGAGTTGAGGCCCTCTTTCTTCTTTATGCACCAGGGCCCTTGTCCACTTAGCTACGCCACTGGACTTTAAAGGCCTTCAAAAGTTGCTAGAGATCATCTCGGAACCAAGACGTAGAACTTCACTGCTGACCGTAAGAGGAAGCTAAAATTCACTTAGGGAGCTATGGTTAATATTTTTTATGTGATAGACTGCGCAATGCAGATATCAAAAGCAGAACAAGGTTAACCGACCTAACTCAGTAGATCGGTAAAGTGAAGTGGCAATGGATGGTTACATGGCTCTTAGAACCAATGGGGAAAAAATCTCGAGTGGCAGCCTCATCTTGGCCATCCCAGTGTCTACTGGATGGAACCTTTCTAGTATCATTCCATGATGATCTGTACAAATGTGGTACGTTGATTGATAAAAGAGGCTCACTACCGTGCTTCGTGGCAATCTGTAGAGGCCTATACAGCAGTGGGCCAAAACGGTGATGATGGGGTTACTAAATACGAAGAGTCTACTGCTAATGGTAACGCGGTCTATCTTCAATAAGCTAATTAGATCAGACGTATTCCCGTGGTGGCGATGGCGCCATTGTAGCTCTGTTGTCCGTTAAATATTTGATCAATTTCTAGTCGTTTCGGTTTCGTTCCAACAACCTGGGCCACCTGTATTATTTTATTCTATTTCTTCTAGTTTTCTCGGAATTTTCCATAAAAATTAGCGTTAACATTTTATTTTCATCTAAACATTTTTTTCTTTGATCGAGTTCTATTCAAACATGATAATAAATACATACATAAAAAAAAATATATATTTTAGTATTACCTACGCGTTCAATTTCTTGTATCCACAAATACCTACCTAAAAATACCTAACCTACCAAATAAATAACATATTATGACTGTTATACCTTACAGAAAGTTGGTTTGCTATAATAACTCACTTGCCCATGGCACGGCTTGATCAGTTCCCTGCGAAGTTCTTATTAAAAACTAAATCATACGTAAAATAATTTCATAAGTAAGAGAAATAAAAGTCAAAATGTCTGTGCTTTTTTTTATTTACAGAAAATAAGATACTATATGGAATAACATTTCTTTGGTTTTATTGTTTTAGCTGTTTTTTTCCAAGAAATGTATATTATGCTACTTAAATAAAACACAACGTAACACTACGAGTGTGAGGCAGTATCTTTGTACGAGTGGATTTAAAATTTATCTTCTTTGGAAGTTTAACATCTTGATAAGCACAAGACCCATAATGGTTGCCGCAGCGACGCCAATTCCTGCCTTCCACCACGATGAATTTTCCCCAGCTAGGCTCGCAAAATGCTTCAGGTGTCTGATAAATACAACATATTATAAGTGTTATTATGGTCCATACATAATCTTAAATAAACTATTTAATATTTATTTTATATAACGAGTTGTATTAAATAATATGATATTTAGCACATTAAAATCGAAATGGATTTAGGATAATACATTTGTCCATATGTATCTCACAAAAAAAAATTAAAGTAAAATAATAGTATTTCTTTTTCTAATTCAATAGAGATAATTGTACCAATCATTTTGAATACTTTCACCAGCTGTTTGAAATGCCATCTTTATTAAAAAAAAGTACCATGGTCAATGTACTGTATGTATTTTGCGTGGAAGGGGTTGGGTTACTACTCACTTACTAGTCTTTCTTTTGTGACTGATGTTTTTGTCTTACTAGTCCCAACGACCACTGCGATCTAAGAGGTATATAGTAGTTTTCCCTTCGAAAACATCTTCCCTTACTAAAGGATAACATTATTATGTATTGTATGGACATTTACATATCCGATACAGTTATTCTGTAGGTCACAGAAATAGTTGTACTATTTTTACTCTGGGATATTAAAGATGTAGATTGTACTATGGTAAGCTTATAAAAGAGTTTCTGCTGTTGCATGAATGGACTGGCTCATTTGGGAAAGTATAACAATTTAACAAAAGCCTGACTTTCAATTTGTGCTTAATTCTTGTGCATTTACACTATGTTTCGTCTGATGATGAATAATTAAACAAGTATAATATATATCTGTGTTAGTCTATTAATGATAAAATGATCTTCAAAATTGGTAGTTACCTGTGTTTGCTGAACAAAATCCAAGCAGCTTGAAATTGACTGACCAAAATAATTTAAATAGCATTATCAAAAGTTGATATAACATGAAGATATAATTATATAACTGTATATATTTAAAAAAATAGTCATAGAAATTGAATTGTAATTGTGAATTGAATGAAATTTTAATCATCTCTTAATTAGCTTGATTTTAAATTAATTAAACTCTTTTAGCCACGCAGCCACTTTTTTAATACTTTATCTCTGTTTTTTATTTTTTTTAAACATTCTAAACCATACTTACGGAAAGGCAGCCATGGTGGCAAGTTTTACGAAGATGTCATGTTTGTTTTCCTTAATGTTGAATAGTTGCGGAGATAAGAGTTGGTATTTGTTGCAAAACACCTCTGGTTGTAGAATATATTCTTGTCGGGTAATCAATGCGTCACCTTTTGTGCCTACTATCAATACGGGAATGTGGCTTTCGGCAAAATATTTCTGAAATTAATTTAAAATAAGTTCCTGTTCTTTAAAAAAGTTGAGTTACGCACCACAACCTAGTAAGTTAAAGGACTCTTCGCCACAAATATCGAAATTGAAGCATAGTACGTAAGCCGAACCGTTTGTACATACATTCCTCATCCAAACATTTATATCATAGTATGCCGATCGCCCGCAGCACGACGGCGGCTATGTTACCTTCATACTAAATAAACTACTGTTTACTTCTTTGAGTAATAAAAATAAAATAGTGTCATCTTGTGATACCTTGTTAATCATATAATAAATATCAAGGAACTACAGATTATCGGTAAGACGCAAATTTAACTGGTTGATTTATTATCATTTTGGACATTTTAAAATAATTACTCTCGGAACATATAACCACAGACGTACCTATATGTAGTAAAAGGGTATTTTTTTCAGGTATTGTGTAATCTATCAGCCGTTTAGCTCAGTGGCTAGAGCGCCAGGCCGCGAATGCCGAAGACGTGGGTTCGATTCCCATAACGGCGACAATCTTTTCGTACTTTTTCTACATGTTTTAATGTTCAATCTTAAGTGCAGAGATTAGCAATATAAAAAACTTTAAAATTTATTGTGTAATCCATTTTATCGCGTTCTTTGTTAACAGTAATGATTAAGATCATTTTATGAGTTTCCAAATGCAAATAAATTTGGGTTACAAATTCAGGTCCACAACAAAGCAGTTTCGATGGGTGTAATGTACGCTATAGTTTTATGCGCCTCTGCAGTTCGTCCGCGGTGATGAAATGCGCAGTGGTGCAGCACACACTTTTCATTTAGATTTTTATCTAGTCCCAATTTTGTACGTTTGGCGTACGGGCCATACGCGTTGCTTTCTAACACTAGCTTATGTGGGTAAAAGTTTGAAAAAAGAAAATGGGTGTAATTACTATATAAATCCTGGCGATGTATTCGAATGACCTGCTGGCGGCCACGTCGTACACGAGACAGGCAACGTCGCAGTTGACTTCGTGCGGCTGCAGCGGATCGGAGACGCGCGTTATGGGTATCTCCTTCAGCACTAAGTACTTCTCCTGGCCGTACACAACCACCGTATTTATGCAGCAATTCTCTGTGCTGTACCCGTCACCGCGCTCATTCGCATGTGGCTTGATTTTCTATGTTTAAAAAAAATATAGGTACTTTAACTTATGATACAGCATTCAAGTCCGTAGATTATTTTAAGCTTTACCGTAAACAGAACTCGTTGATTAATACCGTAATAATCAATATTTATTTCTTCTATCATTTCACCATAATTGCAAAAAGTGAATGTAATGTGTAACCTATAATTTTTGAATAATTTTGAGATAACAACAACAACAAAATTTGGATTTACGAACTCACCTTATGAGCTATTCCGAGAAAACTTCTGCATATGGAAGTTTTTCCACATGACCTTGGACCGATTACGTGACACTGGTACACGTTGCGACTAGATTGCTTCTTTGCAATGTCGACTTTCTTTTCCCGAGTAACTAAACAAATGTACCAAATAATAATATTGATAAGGTTTTATGTCATCATCTGGTAAGTCAGAAAACTAATCAAAAATTGGCGTCGCACCACAAAGACGAGCGCTAATCACTAACCACACGTTGTCCTGCCACCTTTTAAAATCGTCATATAAAAAATATCAGAAAGAAAATAAAAGAATAAATACTCACTATGTATAGCTATTTTTTGTGATTCATTTTCAAGGAAATTAAAGCCAAGGTAGGCCAAATAAGCGCTTGTGTTTTGCAAGTCTAATAAAGTCATTAATGTCCATCTGCACATCCAACCTTGTAGTGTTAAGAATCCCTAAAAAATATAATTTATAAGTTACATATACAATGGCCTTAAAATAACTATTTGTACGTGTTTTTTTAATGTGACTAAGTGGCAAACGAGCTGGCTGTTCATCTGATGTTTAGAGAAAACAACCGCTCATGGACATTCGCAACACCCACAGGGTTGCAAAGGCGTTGCCCCCTTTAAATAAAGTGGGCCCTGGCTACCTCACTCACCAGACGAAACGCAGAAGTGTAACACTTCTACTTTACGCCGGTCTTCTGTGAAGTCGTGGTACTTACCCGGATGGACCTGCCCATTCGTGGAACAGTGAACACTGTTGCGTCGCCCTACCAGTTATTTTGACTACTTACCTTGTCATTGGTAGGAACTGTATATCGTAAGTTATGCCACGGTACCCGAGGACAACAAGAGAAAACATTTTTGAGTTCGGTAGGATTTAACATGCCATCTTTGTCCCTGTCGTATTTTTCAAATAGCTGTGTAAGAAATTGTTGACCCTTATACGACAGCTCAGTCGTACATCCAACAGGTACTTTGATACTGTAATAAAATTATTAAATAATTAAATTATTTAACAATAAATGATTTAATAATCATAAATAATTTCTCGGAATAGCTCATAAGGTGAATTATAATTGTTCCAATTAAACTAAAACTAATATATATATTTTTAAATTAATCTTACTTTGCATACAAATAACTGTGTGACAATTCTAAACTCTCGTCATATCCAAATTTGCGCAGAACAGTCCATGTAGTTTCATTCCTGCCTCTTTGAATGAACAGGCAATGTAAAAAAATGAATCCTTTCATTGTTATGCATTCATTCTCTATTCCACCGGCGATGTTTTGCGCAATTACAGATTTTACTTCATCTAAAACCTAAAAAATGATGATTGTTGGAGGTCACATTAAAATGTATTTCTTCCTTTAAATAAAAACTGCATTAAAACAAATTTAAAACAGAGTTAATTTTTTTCCAAATCTTTTGCTTTAAAATATATACTAGTTTTTTAATTGACTCCCTCCTGTAGACAAAGGTCTCCCCCAAAAGTCCCCATTTTTCTTTTGTATTGACTATTGTTGTCCATCCACCACCTGCTATGGATTTTATCTTGTCCACCCATCTTCTTGGTGGCCTCCCTCATTTCCGTTTTCTATCTTGTGAACATTGGTTCATTGTAGATTTCAACCACTTCTCTTTACTTCCGATGGTATAACCTGTCCATTTCCATTTAAGTTTTCTGATAGTTATGGTGACATCCTTTGTTTTATTACATTTCTTGATATTGATGGCTCTTAATCTAATTATCAAATCGCTACAGAGATGAGTATGATGCGAAAGAGTTTGGTAGGACTACGCAACAGTGCTCGCTGTTGGATGAATGGGCAGATCTGTCCGGCTAAATATCACGACCTCCCAGAAGGTCGAATAGGATCGTCTGTTGAGTAAGGTAGCCGGGGTCCATTTTATTAAAAGGAAGCATCTGAAACCCTTCAGGTGTTGCAAATGTCAATGGGCGGCGATTATCACTTAACATCAGGTGAACCGCCAACTCGTTTGCCACCAATTCAAAAAAGGGGAGTGATGCTTTGAATATTAGTACATTATTCAAAACATATTTTATTTTTCATTTAGCTAGGAAAATTAAGTTATTTTAACGTGTAAGTAACATAATTGAACCAGCAAAAGTACATTATTGAAGTAAATTTTCTTTAGGCCCAACTAAGGGGTAACTGATTGCTTTGGACGATGACAATTTAAGAGAAACGCGTTACGGCGAAACCGCATATTATAGCGTTCGATTTTTAAATATTCAGACTGTATGTATGTACCTGAACTCTCTCTCTCTTCCTAGCTATATGTCCCACACGGTGGTGGGGTCAGCTTTCCGTACTTTTTCTCTCCACTTCGCTCTATCGTCGACATGTTCCTCGGACACTTGACATTCTACTAGGTCCCTTAGCACTACATCTTTCCATCTTTTTTTGGGCCTACCTCTGGACCTATTTTCAGGCACAGAAAGTTGCAGTGCTAAGTTTCCTACGTAGTTTGGTGGCCTCCTCTTTACATGCCCGTACCACCGCAGCCTACTCTCCTGCATCTTATCGGCGATGTCGCGTACCCCTAGGCTTCCTCGTACGTACTCGGTACGGATTTTATCTAGCCTGGTAACGCCGCACATCCACCTCAGCATCTTCATTTCAGCTACTTGAATGGCACGGACATGTTTTCGGGTTACGGCCCACGTCTCACTGCCGTACATTAGAACTGGCCTTATGATGGTCTTGTAAATCAAGCCCTTGAGTTTAACCGGCATTCTAATGTCACATGTAACGCCAGTCACTTCGCGCCATTTCTGCCATGCAGCGGCTAGTCGGTGTTGAATGTTGTATTTCAAATTCCCAGAATTGTGCATCATCGTACCCAGATATTTATAATGATCGCACATGGTAACTCGGCCAATGTGAGCTCGATTTGTTAAGATATCATCTATCTGTGATAGGGTTTGACCACTTTTGTACGTGATTTTATGTTCTGCATTCTTAGTATGAGTTTACAATGGCAAGATCGAAAGCTGTTGCTGTTTCGAGAATAACCTTGCCAGCATCGTTCAGAGTGCCATATGCGCTACCTCCGTGCACTCTTTTAAAAGCGTTGTTTGCTTCTCCAATGTGGCCATTTAGATCACCGCCTAATAAGATGGTATCTTTTGTAGGTACATGTTGGAGTATAACTTCTAGAGTTGTCCAAAAATTATCCTTCTCTTGTTGGCTACAACCTACTTGGGGAGCATAGGCGGATATAATATTGTGAATCTCTCCTCCGACCAGTACTTTTAAAGACATTTGTCTGTCGTTTATATGATTTACCTCTAAGATGTTACTCAGGTATTCTTCTTTAACAGCTATTCCCACGCCATTTCCTCCATGCTTAGCGCCTACGTACATAAGTTTATAGCCCTCTCCGATGTTACGGGATTTAGCCCCAGTCCAGCGAGTTTCTTGCAAGCAGATGAAATCTAACCTTCTACGTTTAAAGAGATGTGCAAGCTCCTTTGTCTTTCCTGTTAGTGTTCCTACATTAAGAGTAGCGAAGCGGACCTTTAGAATTTTGGACTAATGTCTTTAGCCGAGTCCGTCCGTAACTCGGTAGCCCTCGCATATTTTTCGCAGATGTAGGGCGGTATGTCTGCGCGTCATTTTGCGTTGACGCCCTAACACTTATACTCGCCGCATTATGTAACCTTCTCATTTCAGTTTCACTTCGACATCGATTTGGCGATTTTTGGATTTATTAGTCCAGTACCGATTGCCATCTGACGTACAAAAACCTTCTCGTTCGAGATAGGAAAATCCTCGAATATTAGGTGTTACATTCGTGCACAGGTATTTCCACCTGTACGCAGGTAGAGATGTCTGGTTTTACCGCCAGAACGTTCGGTCGCCAGAGCCTCGTTTGTCAATCAGCAGGGTGCACCACGGGCAGGTGAGGTTGACATTTGGGCTGGTAAAGATGGTATCTCCACACCCCATACACCCGTACATATGTATGTACCTCAACTATAAATTTTAAATAAAAAATATTCATATTTTATCAATAATTAATTCATTAATTTAAAGATTTTTTTTAGTTTTACTTCAACCATGTGGAAAGGTTACACACTCATTTTATTACATATGATGCTAAATATTTTTGTAATTGGTAAAATTCAATTTTAGGAGGATCATTACAAAAATTTTTAGTCACAGGCTATATTACAAAAAGTATTACATTAAATAATAGCATAATTTATAACTAATAACACTACCCTTACAGTAGGGGTATGGTTATTAGTTATCAATTATGTAATTGAATAGATGTCAATTTGAATAATTTTTAATATTAGAATAATTGAATAATTATTCTTAGTACCTGAAATTTCAGGTAGAATCCATAAGGTATCTAATGTAATCAAAAACTCTGAACTCAAAATTATCTTAAAAACAATGTAACTAGATAAGAAAAACCAATGCTCAAACCTGTAATTGTAAAGGGGTGTCGAAACATTTTTTTTGAAATACTGTTATTTCATAATCATCAAGGAGTCCATCTCCGTCTAAGTCACAAATTTTAAATATTCTCGAAAGTGCTTTTTTACATCTTTCCGTCAGCTGAAATAAAGGAAAAAATTAAGGGAAATAAAATTAGATGTATTGTATTTACATTTAGGAATAGTTACCTCTTGCTCCTCAATAGAATATATGGGTCCAATAGGATGTAACACAGCTTTTTGTGCATTGTAAAACATTTCAGAGACATTTGTTAATGTTTTTGCAGAACATTCTATACATCGGTCTACCTCTGGATACTCCTCAGCAATGTCCCAAATATTCTGTAAATTTAAAAATTACAAATGGAAAGAAATTAGAAGTAAAAGTTACAAATTACAATAAGAAATTGCAAATAAATATTTTATATAATATTTTGTTTCAGAACATTTTAGTAAGGTAAAATTAAAATGAAACATTATTACCTAATATGTTAAATTTAAAGAAAACATTATTATAAGAAAATATTTTTTCAACATGGAAATTCAAGCATTTCACAATTTAAATTCAAACTAATTATAATTTATAATTACTGTTGCAGACAAACAAAGTTGGGGTAACAGTTTTAGTTGTAATTGATGTATAAGTGCAAACAGACAAAAAACCAGGTGAAATACAATCTTTATGATAAACAAAAAATAAAAGTCATATCAAGTAAGATAACTTTATATACTTTCCGAATATTATAGTTAACCTTTATGCTTGAATAAATATCTTCATTTTTTACAAAATGATGTGAACCAACAAACACAAAAAATGTATCATATTTTTTACTCGATTTTACATTCAGAAAATAAAGTTTACTCACATCTAGAACAGAATAGTCAATGAGATCAATTTTATTTCCCACCAAAATAACAGGTTTTCTAAAATCATCAGCACAATTATCTCTCACAAAAGGAAGCCAATAAGAAGCTACTTTATCGAGCGTTTCTTGTTTATCTACAGAAAAAACAATGCATATAACATGGGCCTTTTCTATTTCTTCAGACACTTGTTCTAAAGACTGTTCAGCAACTGGAAAGCAAAAATAATAACATAAGTAAAAGCCTATGTTTCTGAAAGAGAATATATTTTAAGAGGTAATAATGAAGACTTACGACACACATCGACAATATTCGTCGGAACCTGTTCCGGAGTAACGTCCGCGGGTATTGTTATCTCTTCTGCTTTTGGAGGTACATGTTCTGTAAACTCTTCAGTTACTAGAGACAAAATTAAAGAGGTTTTCCCAACTCCAGGCTCTCCTAATAAAATAATGCGAACAGTTCGCGGTACAGTTTCATATACCATCTTGGTAAAATGTATAATACTTTTGTCATAATACTAGTTCAAGATTTTCAACATCTTATTTTTTACATTCACAACTAATACATTTATTTATTTCGGTGAGTCTTACTCATAAAAATAAACCTCAGAGAAAATTTTGCAGACGACATAGACAGTGATATCGAAATGAAAACTGCCAAACTCAAGTGACAGAATTGAGTAGATAGACACAGGATAAATAAGAACTAATTAATGTTATTCTCTAAAAACTGTAGACAAATATTACAAAAAAATTAAGTGTAGGTACGGAAGTACACTGTTATTCTTGCGGCTTTGACGGAAGAGGTGGACGGCTTAGGAAAGAACAACAATAGTGAAACCTAGCCGTATACAAAGTAATGTGGACTATTGTGGACGAATTTGCAATCAAATCACGAGACAATTACTGTCCGACTATTGGAACGTGTCAATTATTTCACAATAAACGTGTGATAGAATTTATGACCCGACTAGGTAATATATCTGCTACATTTTGTTATATTGCATTATCAGGCACTAATCAAAATTCATGCGTTGTCAAATTATTAGGCGTGAGTTGTTGAAGACACTGGCTGAAAATTTTTACTACATCATAGAGTTGTTTTGAGTGTCATTGTTCTTTTGTTGATGTCTGTTCTTTTCTGTGTATGTAATCATTTGCCGAACCTCGAAGCAGTAGGGTTACCTTATGTTTCCAGGTTGGCCAGTTTGCAGCACATTCCAACTTTCCAATATTAATTTCAAATTTGTTGATGGTAATGCTAACGGTCTGCTACCATATTAAGGTCCGATTTAAGGTTTTATTAATTCAAATTAATATTTTATGAAAAGTTGTATATTGACATACACAGAAAAGAACAGACATTAACAAAAGAACAATGATACTCAAAGAGAGAAGTTTGTTATTTGAAAGTGAACGGCAAAGTTAAATTAGTTGGAAAACGAGTGAAAAACGGAGGGCTGTACAAGTTAAATATTCAATGTTTAACAAACATCGCTCCTAACTTAAACACTGTTGAAGCAACTGATAACGTCCTGCATCTTTATCATGAAAGGTTTGCCCACCAAAGTAAAAGGCATGTTAAGAAGGTTATTGAACACGAGCTTGGACTCAAAGTTAATCTGGATTCTGAATTATGCACTGGCTGTATTTATGGAAAAATGGACAGACGAAAATTTGGACACCAGGAGAGGTCATTCATACTGACGTTTGTGGACCTTTTCCGGAATCCTTCAACAAAAATAAGTACTTCGTACTATTCAAGGATGATTTTACCAAATATCGTCATGTATTTTGTATCAAACATAAGTCTGAAGTACATTTGAAACTACAGCAAGTACTACAAGAATATAAAGTGGCCGGATTTTCAGTTAAAGAGATCATCTCGGACAATGGAGGAGAATTTGACAATGAGAAAGTGAGAAAAATACTTCGACAGGAAGGTACATCTCAAAGACTTACAATGCCGTATACGCCGCAACAAAATGGAAGCAGAGAGCGTGAAAACCGGACATAAGTCGAGGCCGCCAGAAGTATGATGCACGCTCAACAATTACCCGTTGCCACCTGAGCTGAATTAATATCAACTGCGACGTACATCCTCAACAGGACTGGACCTACTCCAGTACCAAATAAATCTCCATATGAACTATGGTTTAATAGGAAGCCATCAATCAAACATCTGAGAATAATTGGCTCAGAATGCTATGCATATGTTCCTAAACAGAAACGAAAAAAGATGTCCAAGAAAGCTGAAAGATGTATATTGATTGGCTACGATGGAGATGATGGTTACCGTCTTCTAAAACGTGAACAAAATGGAAAATATATTTTGATCAGATCTAGAGATGTTCAGTTCAATGAAAATGTCATTAAATCTATTGGTCTCGAGGAACCTGAAGTTTTTGAAGAATCTTCTATTGAAATAGAGCTATCTTCAAACAACGACAATCATAAAATGTATGAAGCAAGGGAGGAAGAACGTGAGAAACAATGCGAGCCAGAATTTAATCTGCCAATATCTGAAGTTGAATCTCAATCTGAAGTTCACATTGAACCCACTTGCGATGTGCCTCAAACATTTAATGATTTACCTGACCAAACTGTAAATGAGCATGAAGATTCAAATGACGATCAAATCTCTGAATATGATATACATGAAGATGAGATACCTGTTGAATCGAGAATGCAATTGAGAGATAGATCTCAACTACGACCACCAGTTCGATATGATGATTATGTTTTGATGTCTGCCGCAAATATTTTATCAAGTGGTGAAGATCCAAAGACATATAAAGAAGCCCTTGCAAGTCCAGAAAAGAAACCAATGGATTCAAGCTATGAATAGTGAAATGAAATCACTTAAGGAGATGAAAACTTGGATTTTAGTGCCACTACCTAAAGGCAGAAAGCCAGTTTCATGCAAATGGGTATACAAAACTAATACAAACGCTGATGGATCTCTTGATAAATTAAAAGCAAGGCTTGTAGCTCGTGGCTATACACAAAGGAAAGGCATTGACTACGAAGAGACATTTAGTCCAGTTGCCAAAATGGCTACAATACGTTCAGTATTGAGCATAGCTGCAAATGAAGGATTAACGCTAATACAATTCGACGTGTCAACAGCTTTTCTGAATGGATCGTTATCTGAAGAAATCTTCATGAAACAACCTGAGGGTTATAATGATGGTTCAAATAACGTATGCAAGCTTATGAGAAGCCTTTATGGTTTAAAACAAGCGCCACGGTGCTGGAACAAATGCATCGTTGACTATCTAACATCTATTAACTTCAAGCAATGTGATAATGATAACTGTCTGTTTATAAGAATCACCAGGAATTCTAAAATCATATTGGTGTTATATGTTGATGATGGTCTTGTTGCTTCAAGTAATCCACAAGAATCAAAAAGATTTATGAAAGAGCTGACACGACGTTTCAAACTAACTTTCTTGGTCTCGAAATCACAAAAACAGAGTATAGTGTTAAACTTTCTCAAAAGCACTATACTGAAAAGCTCTTAATACGTTTTGGGATGAGTGACTGTAAAACAGTTACAACGCCTATTGTCAAAGAATATGAATGATATGAATGATTTGGAAGAAGAGTCAATAGATGGAAATACATTTCCTTATAGAGAAGCTGTAGGAGCCTTGGCCTACCTTATGGTTGGAAGTAGACCAGATTTAGCTTATGCTATTAGTGTGGTATCCAGAGCATTAGATAAGCCCATACCTGCAGACGTTTTAAGGGTCAAGAGAATTTTGAGATACATTAAGGGAACACTGGACTACGGTATTGTCTATAAAAAGGAATACAGGACAGGCATCCTAGAATGTTAAGTGATTCAGATCATGCGGGTGATGCATCCACAGGACGTTCAACGTCTGGAATTTTATGCTTATATTCAGGAGCAGCAATTTCATGGTGCAGTCGTAGACAGACTTTTGTTGCCATATCCAGCACAGAAGCTGAACTGGTTGCTGCCAGCGAAGCAGCTCGAGAGATAATCTGGCTGAAAAGATTGTTTAACGTTCTATCACCTCTCAAAGAGGTACCTCAACTCAAAGTTGATAATGATGTAGCTGAAATGCATAGAAGAATTAAACATATTGCTATACGACATTTCTACATAAGAGAACTCGTAGGAAATGGCGATATTACAGTAGAGTATGTACCGACAGAATTTCAATTGGCAGACATTCTGACAAAAGCGGTCCAAAGACCAAAGCTTCTTCAGATATCCAAAGAAATTGGACTCACAATGATGTAGTCAAAAAGGGAGGATGTTGAAGACACTGGCTGAAGATTTTTACTACATCATAGAGTTGTTTTGAGTGTCATTGTTCTTTTGTTAATGTCTGTTCTTTTCTGTGTATGTCAATATACAACTTTTCATAAAATATTAATTTGAATTAATAAATCCTTAAATCGGACCTTAATATGAGTAACAAGAAATTAAGAATAGCATCTTATTTTATTACTTTTAATTGCCATATTTTTGTTATTATTTTATAATTTCCCTTAATTAATTCATTTATTCACTAGAAATATTTGAACCCTGTAAAAAATATGTTGAATCTAAAAATTTACCACAGTTGTAATTAAAATATCGATAAATTTTATTTAAGTATAAATACAACCCTAAGAACTGTTATATAAAATCTTGTATCTTGTAAGAACTGATGTTAACGCTTTCAGTCCAGAGACTATTAAAGCTTCATCGAACGCAGAATCGGAATCCCTCCTCAGTGGGTAGGGCCGTACATGTACTCAGTGCGTTAATTTATGGCAGTCACCTACGGGCTATCGAGGTTCGGTGCGGACCGTGACCGATGGCCGTTGACTGTGTTTGGTTAGTCAGTGGCTGGGGGCAGTGAGACCGCCCAGGGACGCGGGTGTACATATTGTACGCGTTGTGTTGGTTTCGCGCTGCTCGAATGCGAGGACGAACTATGGTGTTTATTGAAGCACTAACTCAGTGTGTAGTGTTATTTGGCGGGACCCCCGACGGTTGGTCCGACGTACTTAAGTCACCTTCCTCGGGTCGATTTAGACCTTGCACTGGCGACGCTTGTTGATGTTCACGTTAGTGTCGGATTGGTTATTTGCTGCGCTTGCCACCAGAGGGTAGGGATGATGTTCAGCTCTGTCGAAGAATCGTTACCGTGCAGGTCGACGTTGCGTCGATACCACTGCGCATCGGTTGCGCGGCGGATGAACTTATTTTGTACTACTTGCAGTCATGCACGCGTAGGACATCATAGGTCATACGCAGGCCTTATATAATAATAATTTGTACCTTAAGGGCATTAACTTGATGCATTGGTTAGGTTAGGTTAGAGTCGGACGGAGACGAACGCGGCTCTAATTTCTAATGTTAATGCGATATGAACGTCATGCATCAGTCGAAAGTGACTCCTACATATTTGACCTTTTTCTCCCAGGGGGGTGGTTGGGCGTAGAGATTTTTTTGTGAAGTGATGAGATTTACTTCTATTCTCCATTTGCGGAACCGATCGGAGGCGCTTTGGGTGGTTAATTGATTAAGATTTTTATCTATGTAAAAAAGCGCGAGATTGACGTGTGGGTCTTTTGGTATGTCGCTCATGTAGAGCGTAAAAAGCATGGGGGAGAGGCAGGAGCCTCGAGGAACGCCCGCAGTGAGAGTGCGGTTCGTAGAGATATTATAAGCAATTATTATCTTTAACGTCAAGAGATAAGGACGTTTGTGTCTGTATCTTACATTCGTGACATATTGTAGCGTCGAGTGGCAATACTCCCCTTATTAGGGGCCGTCCATTAATCACAAGAGGCTCGAAAGGGGGGAAGGGGGTTTGGCAAAAATCACGAAATATCACAAAGGGGAAGGTGTAAGAAGATATACTTTCCAGTGTATTTATTTTTTCATCATACGTGTCATTCTGAACTAAAAAGTGACGTGTAGTGTGACCTTGACTCAACATTACATATTTATCATGTCCCTTAATTTCAGAATAAAATTAGATTATACTTACCTTTACTTATAGATAATATTCTAAAAAATTAGGATTTCTTGTAGGTACTAAAAAAAAAATGTATATCCTAGGGTAGGGTACCTATAGGATAGCCTATAGGCATTATGAACGGAACGAATAGGCAGCATTATGAACGTGTTTCCAATTCACATTTACTAATTTCCAAAGGCGCCACACTCATCGGCAAACGGCATTGACAATTGCCAACACTTTTGATGCACCATAAAATATTAAGACCCTGCTATCGATCATCGGCCTCAGTAGCTTTTACCTTAGTTGCCTCTCGATGACTTGGTGGCGCCGGCGCTAAGCTATAGGCTACAGCATGATTCACATGTTCTGGCGACCCTACCTAGGTGGGATACGGGCAGGATGATGCTGACTTTAGCGCCTCTTACCACAGGAGACAAGTGGTGGCAGATTTCTTTACAAAATAATGTGCACGATATATTATATACAGGGAGATTTTTTGAGAAGTGCCCAAATTTACGCAGGAGGTTCAGACTGGGTAGTTTAATCTTTTTTTTGAAATAAAAATAAAGCTTTTGTTTTAAAAAAAATGCCATTCTATTCCCTAAAAAACAGAACGTGTTGACAATGCGGTAGTCCTTCATAAATACATAAATTTTACTGTGCACGAACTTGTGTGCGTGTTAGTTATGAATGATCGAGCGTAAAAATGACGAGTTGCGTATAATTGACGCACTTTTTGAGATAGTTCAAATGAATGTAGTAATTAATTACTTACGAGTGATTTTAAATATTTATCATTTTTTATATAATATTATTTATGTCTAGATTCTAATAACAAAAAAAATGGATACACTTAGAAATGCCGTGATAGCTCAGTGTGAGCCGTGATAGCTCAGTGTCCGAGCGTTCGCCTTTAATTCAATATACTCGAGGAACCTGAGTTCGATCCCCGGTGGCGGCACCAATGAAGTTTTTAACTTTAAGTGCTGACTTATCACGTGCTCCGCGGTGAAGGAAAAATCGTGAGGAAACCTGCATATTTTCGAAATAATAACAAAAAAAATATATATTTCGAAAATATGTGAAGTCCGCCAATCCGCAGTGGGGCCGCGCGTGGTGGACTATGCCCTGATACCCTCTGTATAGAGGAGGCCTTTGCCCAGCAGTGGGACATGTATTGGCTGTTACTTTACTTTTTTTTTACTACACTTAGAAAAACCACCCTGTATAACTACGACGAGATAATAATAGGCTGGGGAAAAAGTTTCTTCGCATTTTATATGAAAATTCAAAACATTTTTAATAAAGTTTATTTACAGTTTACTAAAGTATGTAGGTGCCATGTTGTTCGATAACTTTCTACCATCTTTTAGGTAGGGACATTATCCCATTGCTATAGAAATTCTGGGGCTTCTAATGAAAAAACCGCGTCAAGTGGTTTTGGCAGTCCTCTCGTGATGTTAATCTGACACTCCCTAAAGAATTCTGGATCTATATTTCAGACAAGTTTTCATTATACGTCATATACTTAATTTCTTTTACGCACCTTTTCCTTCGTTTGCCCTTATTTTGTTTTCTTGGTAATAAGCCCATGGAAATTATATTGAAATACTAGCTGCTGCCCGCGACTACGTCTGCGTATAATAGGCTGAAGGCGTAACATTCAGACGGAAAGACAGATATAAATAAAATATGTGTACAAATTATAGCTTATTCTGATGTATAAGCTATTTTATTGTAGTTTCATTAAAATCCATTCAGTAGTATTTTCGTGAAAGAGTAACAAACATCCATCCATACATACAAACTTTCGCGTTTATAAAATTAGTAAGGATGTTTTCAAATGGGTATAATTAAAAATACAGATTTTGAAAAAAGGATTAATGTTTACATTTATTAATAACAAACTTTAGACAAGAGTGTACCAGTCTGACCTTTTGATAGTTATATAAGTAGCAGTTATTAAAATACAAAGGTTTACAAGTGACTGAACAAAACTTTATGGAAAGTTGATATATCTGGCTCTACATTCGAATTAGTGCTATATAATGCAGGTTTTGTGTTGGACCTAAAAAAGAAAAAGCAACAAATATAAGTACTTAAAATATTAATACTTACAAGCCATGTTGTCATTTAAATACTATACTAATAGTTCTGTGATGCACAAATATAATTTTCATAGTCTGGACTCGTAACTATTTATTATATTGTAATCTGACGTGAATTTACTATTTAGAAAATTATAATTAATTTAAATAACGCCAGATTTAAATGTTTACCATTTATTTGTTACAATGTCAAAGTTTTCGAGATCACTAAGCTTACGGCGACACACACAGATGAATTCTTCTCACATTAGTGATTATATTTTGTAATTTTTAAAGGAACTTTGATAAGAATCTCACCGAGTTACTGCAGATGTTGACCTTGGCGTCACAAGGAGGCAATTCATTGGTTGACCATCTAATTGACGATTGTGATATAAATCTACAGCTCTCTGGGCATCTTCTAAACTTTTGTAAATTACTTCAGCTGTGCCAGGACGTACTAACCGAGATTCCAACATTCCACCCACATCACCAAACAATTCCTAAAAATGAAAAAGGAAATTTATATGATACTATAACAATTTATTTTTTAAATTAAATTAGTTTTAATGAACTAAACCTCCATGGAGTGATGGCTTAATAACTATCCCTAATTTTCCTTGTTTTAAGAGGCTATAGTAGAGGGAATCGCAATCTAAGAACTGCTTGTACTTGATTGTTGACAACTGACAAAAAATTGGATTTGAAGCCTATGGATAAATTGGACACAAAAATCTGAAGAAGATCTGCTATGTTGAGGAAATTGTTCTGGCCCTTGGACACTTAAAGAATGAAAAAGCTCTAGAGGGTGAAAAAATCATTACAGCTTCTTAAAGCATTACCATAACTTTTAGTAGATTGTGTTAGCATATTTATTACGCTTACTTCAATATCTCCTCCTGTCACAGTGTTACGCAGATTACTGACAATTATCCTATATTCTAGAGCCGGTTTATCAGATTTTTCCTCTTTCTTATCATTTCGCAAAGCAGCCATTGGTCGCTTTTTAAGGATAGATGCTGGTTTTGGCGGGCTCCATTCTTTTTCTATATTTGTGCTTCTGCAAAAAAATTAGGTTAATAAAATTTTTGCGTAATTCTTTTTAAAAAAGTAAAGGAAAATATTTTTTATATAAGCAGCTATCATAAAAAAGGCGAAAATTTTAAAGAGATTAATGCTTTGTATTAAATAAAATAATTAGAAAACAAGCAACTCTTTTTTTGTAACTCTTTTTCCTCTCAGCAGAGGGATCAAACTAATCACGCTTACTTTTAAAATCATATTGCGTACCATCCATCAGTGGTGTCACAGATATTTTTTTTATATATCCTTCAATACTTAAAATTAACTTAGTTAAAATTTTTATATATTTTTAATGGTCCATAAAATTATATGAAATTGGTTAACTCGAACTCGGAAAACATTGATTTAAAATTTTTGGCATTCGACTTGGGATTAAATAAATTTATATTTAATTAAAATTTTTCGAAGACTCTGTGGCGCAGTTGCCAAGGTATTGCTTTCAGCTTCAGGGGTCGTGCACTCAATTCACAAACAGGACAACTATTTGTCCCACAGATGATTGTTTCGCATTTGGGTGTTTGCCAACATGAAATTTATGTTTGTAAACCATCCTTACAATACAGGATAATGTTATCCTAAAGTAACGGCAGTGTTTTAAAAAAATTAGGCTTGTGTTGACCACTATTTTCGCAATTTGGACAATTTTTTGAAAGGAATAAAAATTAAATTGCAATGGGGCGTTTCAAACTATCTTCAAAGATTGATTCTCGCTCCCACAAATTTTTTAGGAACGTAATCAATAAACTACGTATAAAACGGCGAAAGTTAATAGATGATAATGGTATATACCTTGAAGATTAAATACATAATTTCATATATTTTTCACCTTTATACTTTTTCCATATAAAATGCCAATTTCATATGTGAGGACCTGATATTATTTGCATATCTGTATTGTCATCAGAACTCAGAATATTAACTATAACTATAAACGTTAACACTAACACTATGATAAATACCTTTGAACAGCTGAAATTTTATTGTTGGGTATATCATTATTATGCGCAATTATTTTTAACTGTACACTTGCTTTCCGATTAGACAATGACAATGAGTTTTTTCGGGGAATATATTCTTCCTCCATAGGGTCATCAATAATTTCAATGTCATTTTTAACAGTGCGAAGTATAGGTTTTAATATAAATGTATTAACTGAAAAGGATATAAACAAATTTTTAACAGAAATTTTAACTTTGTATTTTTTATATGAAAATTTGGTGATGACTTTCAGCTATATATAGAGAACCTAAGGGTATGCCGAAGAAATTTCAACCTTGAATATTGTGCTCCGGTTATCTCACTCACCAGAAAAAATACAATAATACTTCTAGTCCATCCCGGTCTTGTGAGTTCATGTTACTTTATCCTGCCCATGTGTACATGTGTACAACAGAAGTAGCTAATGCATAGCCATGGTATTATATTTTATAAAAATAAAATAAAAAGATACTAACAGAAATGATCAAAGAGATTATGAATATCTTTTCAATTTACAAAAACATTATAAATAGTAAAAATAAAAAGTTTTTTGCCATTCATGCTTACAAGAACTTCTTATAACTATAGGATCTACATATTATAAGATTCATAATTATGAAAATAAATTAAATGTTAATGCCATAAAATTCGACAAAGTTTTACAAAATAAAACCTTTTAAATATTACCTTTAGCATGGGATTCAAGAGCTTTATTATTATCAATAAACCTTTTCTTGCTATTATTTTGAGTTTGGAGTCTTGATGATGATAGTTTACTTAAAGAAAGAGGTTGAGATATTACCTGCCTCGATGGGTCAACAAAAACTGCAAAACATTACAATGTTAATAATTATTTGTAGCCATTTAAAAAAATAAACAAAACAAAATTATACATAAATATTACCTCTATCTCTTCTTTGATTTGATTTAGAAAACATTTCTTGTCCTTGAAACGGTCTACCTTGTCTCATCCCTCTGGTCATTGCCATCTTTAACATAATAATATAAATATTATAAGCAACAACCCCATCAGCGATGCTCTACCCGCACTGTTATATATAAATGACAGCAAGCCACACCGCTATCACAGTTGAGCATTCACACAGTAAACTGCACATGACTATATACAGTACCCTGGGCATTATTATCAGTTTTAGACTATAGTGGTGTAGATTTAATAAAGTCTTATAAATAAAGTCTAATTTGGTCAAAGTAATAGCAAAAAAATTATTTTAAAGGTATGTGAAGTCCACCAATCCTCAGTGGGATATTTATAGGCTGTTAGTTTACCTATACATACAAACATAACATGCTGATGTGATAACATTCAATCTCAAATAACTTTTCAAAACTTTTATTGGAACAGTGGCTCGCTTAAATAGATTTATTTTAAACTGGGTGGTTAGCCTATTAATTACAAAATAATCAATATTTCTCTATCAATTAAAAATATTTCTAAACTAAAAATGCACATGCCTCTTTATGTAAACAATTACCTTTTATTTTATGGACTGGTTTAATAGTTAGAACATCCATAAGATAATAGAAAAATGATTAATTAATAAAACTGCTGTAACAGTTTATAATTGAATTATGAAATGTATCATATCAATGTTTTTACATCACTACAATTTAATACTTACTCTTTTTTCTCGTGACTGCTGTAATTTTAGGCGAGCATCCTTTTGTTTAGCAAGTTCTGCTAGTTTTTCCCTAGCATCTGTAATTTTAGTCCTTTTTTTTGATATTATTTTATTCCTTGCGTCGATAATTTTTTGTTTCTGGACAGGCAATCTCGTTTGAGAAGGCAATTGTTTTTTTATCTTATTTTTATTCCTATACAAGAAAATAATAAGATTTTTAATTCCTTTATGGAAATTAATTGTATTAAAAACAGTGACTCCTCTGAAAACGAAGCTTTCAAAATAATAACAGCCACATTTAATCATAATAAGGTAACAACGGTTTGGCTCAATAAAATATAGAACTTACTTCAAATTTTCTCTCTTCTTTTTTTGAATAATATCTTCCAAACTCATTTCTATAAGAGAAGCCATATTTGGAGTTTGTGCATAAACGATATACAGAGCATAAGTAAGTGCTAATTACAGCTCTAAATTCTGTGGTGGAGTTTGAACAGTAGTAAAAAAATTAAAATCAAAAATGCTCCGAACTGAATATGTAATTGATCTATCAATTACGAACACAGACAAAACATCACAAATTAGTTGGACAGAGTGACAAAGAGTAACAGAAAATATCAGACGGCTAAAATTATGTTTGGTAATTTAATTTATACTTGAAGACTCGAATGTATTTTCCCTAATAGCAATTACTATTATGAATTATTTATATGCTTCAAGGCTTCAATAATTAGTATCACAATTCAAATGAAATCATTTATTCATCGAAATAAGAAATAGGTATACATTTCATCTAACGTCAGTTTGAGTAACTTTGAACATTTTTTACAGAATTTGTGCTAATACAATCTGATTTAAATCTATTACACCTTTATTTTATTGAATGAATACTGTCCTTTTGAGTTGGTTTATTTTGCCGACACAATAAATTTTCAAAAAACAACAGAACTATCCATAATTTCCCCCCAAACTCAAATTCAAAGTTATCGTGAGTTTAGGGTAACTATGAATATATATTTTTTTGGATGTAAAAACCATAATTATTGGAATATTTTAAGGTTTGGGTATATGACGTATTAAATAAAACCTTATCTCGAAAAATTACATCTAAATTAACGTTTAACACGTTAAACGCCATGGGGGACATCATGTGCCGGCAGTTTACTTTATGCATGGGCCACACGAAATTTTATAGTTTGGTTAAAAATAAAACATTGTTTTTTGTGCTTAATTGATAGAATTATAGTAATAAATTGCATTAAATTAAAGATATGTCCGATTGAGATAAAAAGTTAGACTAATATTGAATGTCACTCACGGGTGACCCCCATGGCCCATGCCGAAGCAAATCCATTTTTATTATACTGCTGGGCCATGCGGTCACGTTGTCGACCACGCCACTATTTCGCGCGCCTTTTTGTCTTTATTAAACATACAATGAACATAAAAATGAACTATTCATTTAAGAATGTATTTGAGTGCCGAGATACCAGCGGTTTCGTAGAATAAATACTAGTGACAATGAAAATGAGACTGCTTCATATTTCACTTCGAAAAACTGTTCATCGACAGGTTTTTCGTCGCATTATTTCTCGCCTACACTATATTCCTACCTTACACTAAATTTCCTGGGCTTCTCCCGAATCTTCTAAGAAATATGGTTGAGAAATCTCTCGTCGATTTTTATTTTCTACTAGTACCAGATGAAGACTATAATGAGCCGTAATCGTTTCTTTCGATTACTTTCTTTTGTTTCGAATTATTGTTACATGATCAAAATAACGTTCTAAAGATCATATAAAATACCTTTTGAACAAAGGTCATACACTTTTCACAGATAACTGGTACGAGTATAGTAGGTCTGGCCAGAAAACTATGAAAAAGTGGGTACTATCGGAAAAAACCGAAAGCACCTTCCCAAGGACGTGATGACGGCAATGATGGCGTTACAGTGATGTAACTGCGGGTCAGGAGAGAAATATTACAATTTCAAACTGGTTTAAAATTGTAATATTTCTCTCCTTTAAGAGCAGTATAAAAATTTCGGAAAATGCGGCAAATTTATTTCAAAACCTAAAATAGTGATTACTTTAACAACGCTAAAATCTTTCCGATCTAACACACCTCTTAGAAAAATCTAAAAAGTGATATAAAAAACTTAGCAATTAATATCTTACTAAATACAGCTGTCGTGAATTCATTGCTATTGTACCAATCTGTTACGGACAAAAAGATCCGGACATGAGAAAAGAGATACTTAAAAATTTGCGTGCAAGGAAATTAGGAGTATTGCTCCGTCGGTTCAGGGCTCTCGACGAGCGACACGTAAATTGGTCAGGGAATCAGGTCCATTCAGGGTTAGTATATATAGACGAAGTTGTGTTAAATGTAACAAAGATATTGTCTTCACAATGGTCAGAAATTTAGCCAAAAATAAGATTAAAATGGTGAACACCTCTTGCGAAGGTTGTTCTCAAAAGTCTTTCTTATGTATCCAATGCTCTAATATTACTTATCATTGACGTTTCATTTTAATTTCATGGCTGATTTTGATCTCAAGACAGCAGTTCCTACTTGGTTTTTTACTTAGAAATCGAGGAATGTTACGTTAGATATAAGTAATTGTTTTCATAATTTTATGTTTTTAACAAATTATATATTGGTTTAGTAAACATTTCTTATAAGAGTACATAATAATATCCATTCATTTTTATATTTGAAAATAAATTAAACTACCCCTTACGTAATTATTTTTTATGCATCGTCACATGTTTTCACGAACCATGGTAACATACGTGTTCTCCTAGGCCAGAACGGTCATATTGCATATAAATTTTCTTATATATTATGGTATGGTAGTCGTAAAAAATAAGCGGTTCAAACTTCACCCTACCTTGAGGACACGGGTAACCCCCATGACCTAAACAGAGTTGTTGTTGTCGGACACCGGTGTCCCCCCTGGCCTAAATGGAACTATATCGAAAATCTTGATGACGTTCATCGTATTAAATGTGGTATTGCATTGAAAGTAAATTTTTTTACTTTTCGTTATTTCAAAAAATTTTGCGTTTCGTTTTACGCAGTTACGCTATTGAAATAAAAAATAGTTTTCGTGTAATAAATTAATAAATCTTTTTCCAGAGACGAGAGTAATTGGTGGGGATCTCAATGGCCATGTAGGTGCGACCTGTAACAGGTTCGATAGAGTGCATGGAGGTTGTGGTTTTGGTCAACTGAATGAACCTGGAAAAACTATCCTATCTACTGCCATTGCTCACGACCTTGCGATTGCAAATACGTTCTCTAAAAAGAAAACGGTACATCTGATTACGTATAATAGCGGCAACCACAGTACCCAAATAGACTACATTCTCACCAACAGGAGCAACATCGGGAGAATTAAAAAAAAAATGTGTGCGTGTACTAGCGTACACTCGTAAGAAGTGAAACTTTTGTATGACGTTATTTTTCAAAAAATAATTTACTATATGCAACTTTACAGAAATTGGTTAAATAAAGTTAAATTAGATAAAGTTTAAAAGGCTTTTATTATCATAGACATAAATACAAATTCTACAATTATTTAATTTTAGCTTTGTATAATATTTAGTTTCTTATTTGTAATACATAGGTGGCGTTAGTAGTAAATTAAAACACACTATGGTTTGACCGTTGTAATTAGTAGTAGTTCCGCAAAAATTGTTGATTAAAAAAAGCCCCCAGTCAGATAATAGCTACCGATCGAGCCGAGGTCCGGCCCTCTCGGGCACCCTCGAATCGGAAAATCGGAATGCTAAACGCGTGCTGAGTGACAGCCCAAGCCGAGGTCCCCTCTCGGGGACCCTTGAGCCTGATCACTCCATGGAGCGCCCGCCAAAGCGCCCTAAGAGCTTGGCGGCCTCCCAAACCGGTAACAATAATAGCGTGACGGCCCGAACCGAGGCTCCCCCGGGAGCCCTCGAGCTTAGTCACCATAACGCGTAATAATAGTACGCCGAGGTTCAGGCTAGGCGCCTCGTGCGCCAGGCCACCTCAAGTCCGTCAGATCTGTGAAGGCCCCTAAGGCCAACAGTGGCTCATCCAGCCAAAAAAAAAAAAAAAATTGATTAAAAAACTTGCAACGTGAACCTTGTTTATTTCAATTAACCTCACGGACCTAAAATACAACCGCTTTGAATTTGTACATGGTAGAAGGCAGACATTCGACACGCGCGCGAGTGTTGTGAGTGAAGTTTTTTTGGAAAACCGAACTTGCGGGCGTTGGATCGACGTCGCAACCGCAAGTTCCAGGAGCCGATCGAGGCTTCGAAGAGCATCATCGGTCAGCTTCAGATTGTGTCTATTATTACTATCATTGATATCGTTATAATATATATGGCTCATGGTAACTGAAATACGAAATATATTGTTTACATTTTAGAATTAGAATTAAAATAAACCCTTTGATTTTGCTGATCACTTTAATATAACATATATATATATATATATATTGTTATGAACACACACAAAGGAACTAACGCCATCTAGCGTCAACTATTAAAACAACTAAAGAATAAAGACGACATAAAACCCCCTATTCAACACTAGATGGCGTTAGAGGAACATTTTAAGATAAGAACAAGATGGCGCGTAACGCAAAAATGTTACACTAAATTTTTTTCCAACCCCGATAAAGAAGTTTCACTTCAAAAATTGCAAAGTGATACCTGGTGAAAGCGTTACCTCGCAACATCGTTTGGTAGTCATGGACAAATTGGAATGGAAAAATTGCTGCAAAACCAGAAAAAGTAACCCTGAGTAAGTAAACCTGAGATCACAAGGTGGTGGTTATTTAAAAGTAAAAAGGTAGTAGAATTTAGAAAAGAACTTGAAGATTTGACTATTAATGCGGAGGAGGACGTCAATGTGGAATGGCAAAGGCTTTACTCGCAAATAACGAAAGCAGCTAACAACATCTTGGGTCGTACGAAGCCTGGAAGAAAAAACAACAGAAAAACTTGGTGGTGGGCTGAGACTATACAAACAGCTCTTAAACCGAAAAAACAAGCTTTCAAAGATTGGCAATCTTCCAGATCGCAAAATGATAGAGACTTTTACAAACAGGCCAAGAAGGAGGCGAGGAAAGCTGTTGCCATTGCTAGAAAGAACGCTACAGGAGCAATGTAGAAGGACAAAAAGCCATTTATAAACTAGCAAAGGCTAGAAACAAGGCAACAAACGATTGCGTTAAGTCGAGGGTTAAGGGAAGAAATGGAACTGTGTTGTACAAAGATAAAGACATTCTGGCAGCATGGCATGAATATTATGAACATTTTTTAAACTCAGCACCTACAACTGTTGACCTTCCTGATGTGGATAAAAATATGGGACTTATATACCCAATACAACCACAGGAAGTAAAAATTGCCATCAAAAAGATGTCAAACAAAAAAGCAACAGGCCCTGACGGTATTCCGATTGAAGCATGGAAGTGCCTCGAGGAAGAGGGAATTTACTTCCTGACACATCTCTTTCGTATGGTATTTGAGTCTTCAAGTATACCGGATGTATGGAGGCTCAGTACAATAGTTCCACTTTATAAAGGCAAAGGCAGCAGATACGAATGCAACAATTATCGTGGGATAAAGTTAATGTGCCATACATTCAAACTATATGAAAGAGTAATAGATGCCCGGCTGAGATCTGAAAGCACATTATCTACCAACCATTATGGCTTTGTTCCTGGCCTATCCACGATTGACCCGATTTTTGCTTTAAACATGATTGTGCAGGAGTATAAAGCAAAACAGCAGCCATTAAACATTGCCTTTCTAATGCCTATGGAAAAGGCATTCGATCGCGTACCTAAGCAGACTATTTGGTGGAGTCTTCGAAAGAAAAACGGTACGTCGTCATCATAGCCGACATTTATGAGAATGTGCGATCAGTAATAAGGACTACGGTGGGGCATACAAAGCCAATAGCGGTTACGGAAGGGGTACACCAAGGTTCTGTGCTCAGCCCTTGTCTTTTGATTGGTTATGGATGCACTTACGGAACATGCTCAATCTCTTGCTTCCTGGACTTTTATATACGCTGACGATTATAGCGGTATGCACAACATCACGTGAGGAACTGGCAAAAACCCTAGAAGAGTGGAAGCGGCAGTTAAGAGCAGGTGGTCTAGTGCTGAGTGTTGCGAAGACCCAATACATGGTGTGCAATGATCCAAATACTGTCGAAAGCGGCCCACTTAACATCGATGGCCAACAAGTCGTCAGATGAAGAATATAAATATTTGGGCACCATGTTGCACAGTTCGGGGGAAGTGGAACTACACATTCAGCACCGAATTCAAGCAGCCTGGCTTAAATGGAGGGAGGTAACTGGCGTAAGCTGTGACCCAAAAATACCTGTCAAGCTTAAGGGGCTAGTATATAAGGCAATGATCAGGCCAGTTCTTACGTATGGAAGCGAAACGTGGGCCGTGACACGGAACCAGGTCCATACTATACAAGTAGCAGAGCTAAAGATGCTACGGTGGATGTGCGGAGTGACGAGACTCGACAAGATATATAACGAGTACGTGCGAGGAAGTCTCGGAGTCCGTGACAACACCGACAAGCTCCAGGAAAGTAGGCTGCGATGGTATGAACATGTGCAACGTCGACCTTCTGATTACATTGGAAAAGAAGCGTACCATATCGACATCCGAGGTTCCCGGAGACGAGGAAGACCAAAAATAAGATGGACAGAGGTACTGAGAATAGATCTTAACGCCTGCAATATGACTCATGACGATGCGATGGATAGAGCGAAGTGGAAGTGAATGACAGGAAAGTAGACCCCACTACCGTGTGAGAGAGAGAGAGAGAGATGCAACCAACGCAATATATTTATATAGTTTTTACAGGACAAAGTAAATGGATGGCCGGTCTGTAAAGACTTACAAGTTTTAAATAATATCAACCCAAAATATGACTGGGAATTTTTACGACATTTAAAACTTTAACTTTGGCAGCTACATCTCACTTATTTTCCGAATTCGCTAAAAACTGCGCATCTCGATTGATGAACTTCAATAGTCACATTCAGTTCAACGTGATTTTTCTCAACCAACCTTCGACTTCCAGACACAAGTTTATTCCGACACTCATCGGTGTATTCTTGAGGAATATTTGCTAAGCAACATACATAAGACATCACCTGTACAATATATAATACTTATATTATCGAATATTGCTAATATGCAACAAGTCATTGATATTCGGAAATAACAGCGTAGAAGTCAGAACATATCCTAGTGGGAGATTAGCAATCACGAGTTTTGTGAGAGAGCATGCAGAGCCGTAAGAAAATAGATCTGAATATAATGAAAACTTATCCGTTATCGTATAACTTACACTTAACATACTTATCATAAAATTATTTCTCACTAAGTGACATATGAAGTGATTTTGGAAAGATATGCTCCGTGAAAGGAATCCATTATTTCGGAAAACAAAGAGTTCGACGAATCCGAGCGTCTTCTGTTGAAAGCATCTACGACATGCATACTTATCCTATTCCTCTACAATGAGTGTGATACACATGATAGTTGCTATGATCCACTGTCCAATGTGATTAAACGATTGAATAATAAGTGATATATTCGATTTTATTTATAAATATTGTTACGTGTTAGGGTTCGAAGGATTTGGAGAGAAAGACCTGCTGACTCTTTTGAAGACTTTATTCACTAGCGCTAGGTCCAACACAAAGCACTAGGTCCAATCACTAAGCACTAACGATGTCCTAGGTTGTAGCCAAGTCGTAAGTTTCACTGGTATCGCTCTCGATCACTAGTTTTCACTCCGAAGTCGCCTCGAAGGTAGCTCAAACTGAACTGTGTCGTCTCGCCTCTCTGCGGCTTTTTATATGGGCCGAGACGAGCCCCAGACTATTCCAGAAAGTTCCTTCCTGGACGTACCCGACATGCGCGAACATGATCGTGATTCCGGAAAGTTCGCGAATGTACCCGGTTTTCGAGACTATAGTTCCACAGCAGTTCCTCTAACGCCATCTAGTATTGAACAGGGGGTTTTATGTCGTCTTTGTTCTTTAGTGGTTTTACTAGTTCACGCTAGATGGCGTTAGTTCCTTTGTGTGTTCATAACAATATTTAACATATTCCGATTATTTAAGAAAAATACTGAAAAAAAACTTCTTTTTAAATAAAGATGTGTATCTACTACCCTTGTCCTATTGTTTACGGTCTATCGACAGACTGGACAGACGATGGACAGACGATGGACAGACTAGTGACGACATATCTAAACGGCTTTAGGCAAGCGAAGAAATATATTGATATATATAAAAATTACAAATATCAGTCTCGATATGTCAAAGAGAAAATAACGATACATCGTTATATCGGATGGTCCTTGAAACTCCGCTGTCCAAAAAAGGTATATCAACTAGGACACCTAAGGACTCTATGAATATTTTGTATCGATATATCGATATATCGATAATTTTTCGGATCATCGATATATTTCCCTAAATGGATTGAGATTTGGATTGCCTGATGAGTCATTATACATATTAACACTCGTGAGAGTATTACTCTATTATATACTCTTTGGTATTAGTGTTCTGTGCCTAATAGGTACTTATATAGGCATATGATTAAATAGGACATATATTGAAACTGGGTCTAGTATATGAACAGGGATGCCAACTTAGGAATTTTCTTCCTAAATTTAGGAAGAAAAAATGTACATTGGAAGTTTTTCAGGAGGTAAATTCTTTTAGGAATAGTTTTAGGAGTTAAATGTATTTACACTTTTGAAAGAAAAACTACACAAAACTACTTATTTTGAAAAAAAAAATAATTTAATTGTGCTATGCTTTGGTGGACGTCAGGCCAAGACCTGTGTCTTGTATGTATATTTTGAATTATCTCGCCCTAAACTATAATATTGAATATACCTTAATAATATAAAAAATCGTGATTTTAAATTTAGGAAGTTTTTATTTCAATTTATTCAATTTTAGTGGGTTTTCGAACTAATTTAGGAGTATTATTTTTGAACAGTTGGTAACAATTATGAATGATTGCCTGCCTGCTGCTGCCTGCGTTCAAGGCAAGTGGCAATGTTGATTGTAATTTGTAAGTAGTAAGTTTGTAAATAAAAAGTTATAAAAGTTATTTTCAGGATTTTTATTATATTTTCGAAAAAAAATCGTATTACATAAATACAATGGACATGGAGATAGAAAGAGAAGAAGGTGAAATGAGTGACACTGAAATGGTTGCTGAAGACGTAGCTGTTAAAAACGAAGACCAAAATACACTAGTGAGTACCACTTTAATCAAAATGTAGTTGTAGAATTTTCAAACTTCTTCAATATTATTTGTTTGCAGTTATTTAAAAGAGATCAGAATGGATTCTTCAATATTATTTGTTTGCAGTTATTTAAAAGAAATCAGAATGGATTGATCATTGAGCAGCTGGAAAAAATAGACGCGTTTAAGTTTGAGGAAAGGGCAAGGCGATTTGGGGTTAGTCTTACGGGAAATAAGGTTATAACACAAAAACAAATAGATGAACTATACTACAATTTTGGAATTAAAGATGGAAACGAAAGACATTTCCGCTTTGATACTTTATATTTGACTGAAGTTGATGGACTAACTACAAAAGACATTTTTGAATACCTGAAAGATTACAAGCCAGTAGCCATTGAATGGATTGATGACAACTCATGTGAGTAAACAGCATGCTTGAGTGAAATATCCTAATAATTGTACTGTCCTTTATTAACATGCTTAACCTGTACTTGTATGCTATGTGTCATCTATTATACATGAATATCTAAATGAACTTTCTAATTCAATTTTACTAAAAGTTTTTTGTGAGATACATGTTTTGATGCTTTAAAATAATTGATAAAATTTTTGGAATTCTTGGACTCATGTTCTAAGTATGTTAGACTTGCAATTCTCAAATTTATTCTGATCTTGAACCACTCAAGTTTATTTATGTACCCCAAAAGGATTAAACAGGTGTTAATCATACTCCATATCTACAGATTCCTTCCAGTTGATGTTAGTTCTTATGAGCAGGCCACATTCACATACCTAACCCTCAAAAATAGAATATACTTTAAGTTGTTAACAAAATTCACAATAGCCATAATTAAAAAGAATGAAACAAACTTTGTAACATCCTATACGACTACAACTGACTGATTCATACATTCAGAGACTATTTCATTTGTTGCCACAGCGTCTCATTACAAGTCTCTTAAGAATATGTTGTATCTATTTTAAATTCACTCGACCCATTTATATGCTTTGTGACATTTACAAATGAACTTTACATTACAGTTTTATGCATAAGGGTGTTCTAAAATCATATGTTTTGGAAAATTTTATAACTCGATAAATATTGATGTTTACAGTAAGTAAATGTTTAATACAATTTTAAAAAGTTATCCTTTATATGTGTGTTGATTTATGGTCGCGTTAGTAGCGCCATGTTGTATATGCTTAACACTTGGTATATGAAACACTGATCATCATAGATGTCAACTAATCAGCTGTCAAATGGCTTTTCAAATTTTATTTAAGCTGCCAAAAGGATGGTTAAATTCTCTGAATTGACCAGAATGATCTTCTAATGATCAGAATGATCAATTCAAACAATTTAACCACCCTTTGGCAATTCAAATGACATTTGAAAAGCCATTTGACGGCTGATTAGTTGACATCTATGGTGATAAGTGTTTCAGAAAGTGGGAGCTACTCTATCATATCGTTGAAGTAGATAATTACAGTGGTGTAGCCATTGGAGAATAGTGACTAAACTTGGTTTGTAAGTTTCCTTGCAACTAAATCCAAAAATATCGCTTTTCTATTTCGTGTTGCAAGTACACGTCTCGCACGAGCGCTTAACCCCCGCGCGGTACTTGACTTGGCGTCGATTTTAGTTTCTAAATCTTTTTCGACCGTTTTTGAGGTTACTTTTTTTGGCGCGTTTAGATAAATTGATTTGAGATATAGATTAATTGATTAGAGTGAATTTTTACGATGTACTACACCCAAAAGCGACACCAACTTCATGGTATTACTATGGCAACCAATAAAAACATTTTGACATTTATGTGTAGTTCCAAGTTATTTAATTATACCGTTATCATTTGCATTTAATGTCTGTCTGTCTGTCCGTCCGTTCGCCCGAAGCCTGTCTGTCTGTCAATCTGTCACCAGGCTGTATCTCATGAATTGTGATAGGAGTTAAAATTTTTACAGATGTATTCCTGTTGCCGCTATAACAACAAATACTTAAAAACAATAAAAAAGTATTTAAGAAGGGCTTCCACACAACAGACATGTTTTATTTGCCGTTTTTATAGATAACTAGCTGACCCGGCAAACGTCTTGCCATATAAATTATTTCTAAGGAATTTGTAGGGTAGAAAAAAATATTTGGGGTGGACCACCCTTAACATTTACGGGGATGAAAAATATATGTAGTCCGATTCTCCACACTGGCCGATATGCACACAAAATTTCACGAAAATCGGTTGAGCTGTTTCGGAGGAGTTCTACTACAAACACCGTGACACGAGAATTTTATATTTTAGATGGTACGGAACCCTTCGTGCACGAGACCGACTCGCACTTGACCGTTTTTTTTTTAGTTTTTTTCGTTTGTTACACTAAAGAACTATTATATTCTTAGGTGCGTACATAAGTACACTAGGTTTTTTAAAAACGACATGATGAACATTATGTTTCTGTAAATAACATGTGCATTTGAAAACTAAAAGTCTTAACCATCAGCAAAAGTATACAATTAAGTTAATGTCATAATGTCAAAAGGAAAAATATTTTTATTGACGCATTTCCTTCTTTATTTTTTAGGTAATATAGTTTGCCAAGATCACATATCAGTGGCTTTGGCTCTTTTAATACACTCACATGAAATAAATAATGATACTCTAAAAGAAGTTTGTAAAAAATCACCTTACCATCTGCGGGTAGGAATACCACATTCAAAAAAAGATCTGATTTTTATGAGATTTTCTACAAATGGTGATAAAAAAATAACTAAAAAGAAGTTATATGAGAAACAAATGGAAGAATTTGATAAAGAAGCTAATTTAGATATTAAGAATCCTTGGGAAGATTTATGCAGATCGTGGGGAGTATATGATCATCAGGAGATATTTAGCCGTAAATTGCCTACAGATTCGAACGAGAATGATAATCCAGAACTAAATAGTAAAATACAATTGAAAAATAAAAGACTTGCAATGAGACTTGGAAAGAGGCGTCACAAATCTGAGGAACCAGAAGAGAGTTTGTCTGAATCAGAATGGAGGAAAAAGTCTAAAACACCAAGAATGAGAATGCGTGCAGATGATGAAGAATGTAAACTTAAACGACCGCAAATTGAAAGTAGTGATGAGGAGGCGAATTCATACGCACCCTTATCAATCGAAGTAATTAATACTCGTAGCACAAATTATACACCTCGGCCTACATTAAAGTTATCAGAAAAATTCAAAACTCATACCAAAACTGCAGTTAGTCCGGTGAAAAAGAGTGTACGATCACGACTAGGTGCAAAAGTGGCATTGACTCTAGACAACAGTTCAAGTGATGATTCTGCATCAGATCACTCAGATTATAACATAATGAGTCGGGTTCAGAGAGTTACTAAGAATAATAGCATAAACAATTCAAATAGTGTGTGGTCAAGACTTGAACTTAAAACGAATAATAGTGACACGCAAAATGATTTAAGACAAAAACTAAAACTGAGAAAACAGAGAAATACGGATGACTTACGAGATGTTCTTAGTAAAACCAAGCAATCAAATTTAAGAATTGAAGTAGACAATAATTATCTTAATAAATAATTTATTTTTAAATTGGTGTTTTATAATTTTACCTAAAATCATAGTTAAAGCGTCTATTAGTCCATGTCTAACATGAGGATTCAATTAGCAAGTTTGTTTTCAAAGACCTAAAACAATATTTTATATTTTTAGGTATCAACATGTAACAACAACTGCATTAGTATGGACGTGTAATATTTTTATGCTTTATGTTTGCAATGGAAATTATGCGAAAGTGTAGTTAATAGAATAATTTTTTAAAATTCATTAATACAATTACATTTTACTTGCATTGATAATAAAAATAAAAAAAATAAAATAAAAACGCCTTTATTTCTTCTGTAGATATTTAAAAACTTAAATTTTTGTAGTAAGATTTGTGTAATATTTTTTTTTATAACTACTTTACTTATTTAATCTAATACTTATTTATATACTTATAATAATAAATAATATATATTACTTATCTAGTATATTTATTATTATCCCTATCTACAGAATCCGTAGGTGTGGGTAAAGGCCTCCTCCAAAGACCTCCATTTGTCTCGGTCTTGTGCTACTTGTTTTCAGAGTGGGCCAGCTGTTTTTTTTATCTCATCTTCCCAGCGTGAAAAGGGTCTGCCCCTATTTCTTTTGCCTTGTGTTCCACGCCACTCTGTTGTCGTCAGTGTTCATCTCTGGTCTGTAAGTCTTGCAACATGGCCTGCCCATTTCCATTTCAGTTTTTTTGCATAGTTGAAGAAATTTGTTGCTTTGGTTATCGCCCTTATTTTAGTGTGTTTTATTTTGTTTTTTTTTATATATTGAGCATACTACGCTCCATTCCCCGCTGACAGGTATTAATTTTGTTTTTCGCTCTGGCGGTAAATTTCCATGTCTTGAGGTCATAATTTTCGTTTTGGTCTTTATTGGCATGATACTTTTTAATATCTCTTTAAGGCTCCAGTATTTGTTCCATGTATTTTATGCTCTTCTGTCTATTTCCAGTTCGTTATTTTTTCTGTTGAAAGTGATTTTCTTCCCCAGATAGATGTAGTCGTGTGTATACTCCAGTAACTTGCTTTCGACGCTTATTGGTCGTTGCACACTATTAGTCATCACCATAGTCTTAGTTAAGTTCATTTCCAAGCCCACTTTAGCACTAGCCGCACATAACTCTTCGATCATAAACTGCTGGGAGCTTGTCTCTGATAGAATCACCAGGTCATCCGCAAATCTTAGGTGGCTTAGGTATGTTCAGACCAGATTTGTTCCAATCGAGCTTCTTGATGATAGCTTCCAGGACAGCTACAAATATTTTTGGAGATAGTGGATCGTCCTTGTCTTACTCTTCTCTCTATAGTGAAGCTTAGGCCTAAGGTTTCTAGTTCGATTCTACTTATATTCATATGATATACACTTTTGATGACTCCTATGTATTTGTCTTCTACTACCCATATGCTTGCGTGTGATATCGTATCAAATGCTTTTTGGTAGTCAATGAAAGCGATATATAAAAGGCTTTGTCGCTCTTAATACTTTTTTATAATTAATTCCAGTGTGTATATGTGATCGATTATAGAGAACTACTGTCTAAATCTTGCTTGTTATACGGGTTGTTTAGCTTCCAATGCAGTACTGATTCTTTATTATGGTAGAGAAGAGTTTATAGAGGTTTGGTAGCAAACTTATTGGTCTGTAGTTGGCAATATCCTTTTTTATAGATAAGTATGATATTTGATCCCGACCATTGTTTGGGTGTTTCAGAATTTCGTAGTGCCAAATTAAATCAAAATCAAATATTTTTATTCAATATAGAAGCATTCAACTTATTGATTGTCATAATGCTACCACCGGTTCGGAAAGATAAGCCACTGACCTGAGAAGAACCGGCGAAAGAAACTCAGTGGCTCTTTTTTTTATGCCATTATTTATCAAATAAAGACATGTTTACAAATGTATTAAAGTAAACTTAAAACAGCCTGGACCGATCATTTCATTTCCAGGGTGTGTTATCATTTAAATAAGAACTAACACTATAATAGCCTTTAAGACACAAACGTTCCTTTACAATTTTTTTTAATTTAAAATTGATTCACTGTGAACGTTTTTTGGGATTTTGTTGTAAAAACGTATACATTGTCCCATAAAAAAATTAGTTATTCTACGCAGTCTAGGTGTAGGTAGAATTAATTTATGTTTCTTCCTAGTTTATATCATACACATTCGCATATCTTGAAAATTCATTTTTGTTTTTATGGACATACACAACATTTTCAAGTATGTACTGAGAAGCAAGTCAATATTTTAATCTCTTTGAACAAATTTCTTAGCGATTCTTTGGGGCCCAGTTTATAAACTGCTCGAATAGCTCTCTTTTGGAGGCCAAAGATAGTATTAATATCCCAAAGTAGAATGCCATAAGACGTTATACTGTGGAATTAACTAAAATATACTAGTATAAATATATATATATATATGTTAAGTTTTGGCCACTATTGCTGAACAGCAGTGTACGAATGGACATTGTTGTAATATTATGCACACACAATAATAATAAAATACTTGATCACTGTTATAATTTTTTACTTCAAAGTACACACTATGAACACTCCGAACATAATGATGTAGCTTCTTGTATCTTGTATTAACTGATGTTTTTGCTTTCAGTCCCGAGACTATTAAAGCTTCATCGGACGCAGAACCGGTGGGCTAGCCAGAACCCACGGGTTTGGACCCTCCGCTATGGGTAGGGTCGCGCATGTGCTCATGCGTGCGTTTAACTACTATGGTGTGTCATCTAAGGGCCGTCGAGGTCGCCCGTTCGGACCGAGACCCCGACGGCCGTCGACTGTGCATTTAGCTAATCGGTGGCTGGGAGCGGTGAGAACCGCCCCGGAACGCGGGTGTACCTTGTGTACGCATTGTGTGGGTCTCGCCGTGCTCGGAGGCGAGGGCGAACTGGTGTGATTGTTGTTACACTAACTGTGGGTGTAGTGTTATCCGGCGGGACCCCCGGCGGTGGGTCCATCGTGTCTAAGTCCTCTTCGTCGACCGGGTCGGTGAGGACGTTTCGCGGGCGACGCTTGTTTACGTTCGCGTTAGTGTCCGGTAGGTAGTTTGCTGCGCTTACCACCAGAGGGTTGGGATGATGCTGGGCTCTATCGAAGAACCGTTTTGTCAAATCTTTAAAATGAGCGCGAATCGTCGGGAGTCTGCAATCGCTGTGCAGGTCGACGTTGCGCTGATACCATTGCGCACCGGTTGCGCGGCGGATAAACTTACTTTGAACTACTTGCAATTCGTCAATGCGCGTAGGATTTATGTGTGCGAAGATCATGCATGCGTAGGACATGATTGGCCTTACGCAAGCTTTATATAACAATAATTTGTGCCTTAAGGGCATTTTACTATGTTTATTCGTTAAATTGTGTAGCCGGCCGGAGACGAACGCGGCTTTATTTCGGACTTGATTGATGTGCGTAGTGAAAGTCATACGCGAGTCGAAAGTGACTCCTAGATATTTGACCGTTTTCTCCCAGGGGAGAGTTTGGCCGTATAGTGATATTTGCCCCAACTTTCTGTACTGGCGAGGACCTTTGTAACGGTGTGGCGGATGGGGGTTGGGGGTGCTACGGGTGAAGTGAATCGCCACACTTTTTTCTGGGTTAATATCGATTCTCCATTTGCGGAACCAATCGCCGAGGCGGTCGGCGGCGCTTTGGAGTCGAGTCGTTAATTGGCTGAGGTTGCGATCTGAGTAAAAGAGCGCCGTGTCATCCGCGAAAAGCGCGAGATTGACGTGGGGTCTCTAGGTATGTCGCTCGTGTAGAGCGTAAATAACAAGGGTGATGTAGCTTGAAGCAGACGTCGGCTTTTATACTATACAACACGTCACTTGGTCTAATCAAAACAACAACCAAATCAACGACAATTAATCTTCAACAATTATCAAGAAATTATTTACTTCGTAATATAATGAACTCACATTTACAATACATCAAAATTATAAATACACCGAGATTACAAATTACAATAATCACTTTAATAACTAGCAAATTATTGTATTAATTTAACACAAGTTAATAGCTATTCAGGTTAAATTAATTTCTGCAGTAACTAAACTAAACGCTATATACTAATATAAATATATATATATATATATATATATATATATATATATATATATATATATAATGTATAATAGTCTGTATTTTGCATAATCATTTCTTATTAACTTATTGACTATCTTGTTAAGTGCGGTCAGTTAATTTTTCATAGATCTTGTAGTTCTTTAGTAGTACGTGCCCATAATATTTTATGGCATTTTTGTTCCTCTCTTCTTGCACTAACAAGTTTCAGGCTATTAGTAATTGCGTTTATTATATTGTCATAATAAGTTTGAACCGAGTTGTTTTCCCTGCAGAAAGATGAACATGTTAGCATTGATGATAAGTTTTCCTTGTAGGACGATATTTCTCTTTCACTCTTTAGTTGACTTATTTGGTTATTTGTGAATTTAGCTCTACTTATTTTTGGTCTGGCTAGTTTTACTGTTGCTCTGATTAACCTATGGTCCGACGGGAAGATTAGGTTAGTAACAAATAGGGAAGTTTAGTTAGTTCATAGTTCCAAAGTTTTTGAATATTTTCGGCTGGTTTGACAATATATAGTCAATTTCGTTTTTAATACCTTTCTGAGATCGCCATGTTCATCTTCTACATTGCCTCTTTTTGAAACAAGTAGTTATTTTTGTTAATTTGTGTTTAAGCGCGAATTCCACGGGACTCTGACCTCTATTCTTTCTTTTGCCATATCTATACTTCTTGATAACCAAATGTTCATTAATATAATGTTCTTGTGTGTAGTCTCCAATGCTTTTGCAACCATTGTGTAAAATTCATCTAATTCGTTCTCACTTGCTGATTTTGTTGGTGCGTAAACTTGTATTATCGTGAACGTGTAGCTTTGAATAGCCATGTTAAGTATTGCAACCCTTTCTCATACTCCAGTGAAGCTCTCTATGTTGTTCTTATGTGACTTATTTATTATGTAACTACTCCATAATTGCCTGGTGTGTGTCCTATGTAGCACAGCATAAAGTTTGCGTATTCTTTCATTCCGGTACCTAGTCTTTGCACTTGCCACAAACAAAAATAAAGAAAAGGTAAAAACTTATACAGCGTCATATCTTTATGTAATAGGCTATTGAGTAGGAAATAGTTTATTTTAATTTTTATAGGAGACATTAAAAATATTATTAAGAGTGTTTATAATTATGTATAAGTAATAAAAAAGTTATTTAATCATTCACACAGATTTTATACCTATGTTGCTTTTGAACAGATTTTTCAATAAATACAGTTGTCACATTCTAAATAATTATATGTCGTCAATTACGCATATTCCCAGCCAATAATAACATTTTATACTATACTGTAGATATGATGCGTGGGTCACACTGAAAATAATTAGAAAATCATAAAAGGGCTTAATATAGAACCGTGCCAATACTTTGTGTTGTTTGAATTAGTCTCCATTCCTCTCTATACATCTTCTCATTCGATGGAATCGTTGAGAACAGCAGTGGGCCCATTCTCTCTAAGGTGCTCTACTACGGCATTTACGCACTCGCCGCATCTTCAGGGCTCGAATCTTAGGAAGTTTATCCTTGTACGGACTATACGGCGGAGATTCATTATCTCGACGTTTCGCGTCGTGCGCTGAACCATTGTCGTGGTTGAGGACGATCCTGCATCGAGGACTTTGCTGTCGAACATTTTCTAAGACAACAGTCAACATTATAGTCTGCAGTAACTGTCCTTCCATCTTCCAGTACTAATATCGCGAAACGACCTTTCCAACCCAAGAACGACCCATCTTTTCTGCTCGACTTTTTCCTTTCTTTCCTTTAGTTGCCCGACGCTCAGAAGGAGAGTCACTGAACAGATTGGCTTTTGATTTAGGATTCGTAGAAATATATTCAGCTTTCAAAATTCTATATATCTTTATTCCAATAGACGCTTACGCATTCTTATGAAACGTCGAAGTTTACATAAATAATTAATACATAAGTTCGTAAGTAGGTAAGTTACCACCGGTTCGGAAGGCAGTTTCTGTTGAGAAGAGACCGGCACGAAACTCAACAGTTGTTTTTTTTTAAAAAAAAGATCAGATTACAATATAATATAATATATATAATAATCTTATTTTACCCTAAGTGTGTATTAATTCCACACATTGGCATCGTCGAGATATTTCGCAATGATATATGATTTAGCGATAAGATTACATTTAATTCTGCGTTTAAATTGGTCAAGAGGCAGACTTATTATCGACTATGGGACTTTTATTATAAATATTCGCGCACTTTGCCCATAAACGACCTATTTACTTTTTGTAGAACAATGGCGTAATAAGTTTGTTCCTCTTTCTAGTGTTTAATTTATGTCTGTCACTATTCTTTAGATAATAATTCATATTATGTCTTACATACATAACATTACAATAAATATATTGAGACGCAACAGTGAGTATATTAATAACAGCAATTAGGTATAGAATTTTGTCCATTTCACTAGTTTTAAATTCACTAGGATTAAATAGTTGAATAACTTGTCTTTATTTATTTACTTATCCTTTATGCACTAAAAGTACAAAGGCGGACTTAATGCCGAAGGCATTATCTCCCAGTCAACCTCCACAGAAAGACAAAAAAAGAAAAACTACAACTGAAGGTACATATCTGATATTATTTGTATATGTTGAGATAAGTAATATTCTAAAATTATATATTACATAAGAAGATCATAAACATAAACGTAATACATACTAAAAATATAAATAAATACACAAAATATATATAATAAATACATAAATATGTAACAAATACATATACATGTCTTTACTTAATAGGTTTTATTCTTACCCTGAAAAAATATTAGGTCTAGATTAAAACAAGTTTCTCTATATGTATTGTTTTTATGTGAGAAGGTGGCAAACAAGCTGGCGGTTGACCTGATGTTAAGTGATAACCGCCGCCCATTGACATTTGCTACACTCGTAGGGTTGCAGATGCATTGTCACCTTTAAATAAAATTGGCCCAGGCTACCTCACTCACCAGACGAAACGCAGAAGTATACATATACACTTCTCCTTCACACCGGTCTTCTGTGAGGTCGTGGTACTTACCCCGGCGGACCTGCCCATTCGTGAAACAGAGGATTCTTTTGCGTTGCAAAATTCAATTGTTCAATGAAAAAAAATGCTATCATTATCATTTCATCAACCCGTTCGAGTAGTGATAGCTCATCGTCCGGGCGCTTGTTTTTAGTTCAATATACGCGAACAACCCGAGTTCAAATCTATGTGCGTCATTGAAATCTCTCGTTGTGCACCAATTCTTCACTTGTGCATCACGTGCTCTTCTAAAGGCTTGACGGCCAACACGTTGCAAAAATCTTCTCTTCCTCTTCCTCCTTTAAGTTCCCCACGGAATTGTCCGTCTAGCGTACTACGGGCCCCTTTTAGTGGACCGAATTTTGATCGTTTTGCGGTTAAAATGTTCTAGAAAGTTTTGAATTTTGCTATCTTTTTAATAACTTTCTGGAATAAGGGATCGAATTTCGATCGTCTCTTTAATAAAAAGTCTTCTTTAGTAAAAACGTTTCACCCTACACCACTAATTTAAAATTAAGTCAACTACGTCATTCAAAAGTGTCATCGAAGGTCGTTGACACTTTAGACATCGCCTCCTCATCGTAACATTATCCCTCTCCAGGATGTGCTCGTTCATTGCATCATTAATTGTTCCGGAAAACTGTGGAAGAGTATCTACGTGTACAATTTTAAAGGTCCTTTGCCCTTTTGTATTCTGTATGTAACGTCTTTGAACCTTTTTAATGATTCAGTACGGACCTTCCCAGCCCAGCTTAGCTGAAGTTTTGGAAATCTTTCTTTCTGTCATACAGTATTCTTATGCTTTACGCCATAAGCTTCGCGATCATATCTCTCTTCATTCTCTCACTAGCTTGAAGATTTGCTTCTCTTACATAAATGCATCTTACATAAATGTCTTGCATTCTCTCTTACGCAGAGGGTAACTGTAGGCTTTCATGAACAGTAGTTCCATAAGACATATGAAACAATGGAATAAATGGACTCGCCCCAATCTTTCTGATGGTCTACTAATTTGGCTAAGTGGTTATTTTAAGGATTGGTTTAAACGTTTAACCATTCCATCAGACTGTGGATGGTATGGAGTTGTTCTTTCGGGCCATTTTGTAAAATAAAATAACAAAATAATCCATCACCACGACTTGAGTGATGCTCCTTAGCGATCCAATACACCCGGAACCGTTCGAGTCTGGGGACATGGAGAAGTGAGGTATCGACATTTTCTCCGTAGAACTCTCTGAGAATGCGATTGGCACCAACAGAGCAGGTTCCGTTGTCCGAGAAAATAGTGTTTGGAGAGCCCCGTCTTGCAATGAATCTTCTAATAGCCATGATTACAAAGTCAGTCGATTATTTACCCTCTCTAGGTGAAGGGCTCTGACAGTTAAACAGGTGAAAAGGGCCAAATAACGTTTTTCACGCCTGCGCCTGATAGTGACGCTTACGGGACCGAAGTAGTCCAGGCCCGTAAAAGTAAAGGGCCGTCGATGGTGAGCTAATCTTTCAGGTGGCAGATCTCCTCTTTTCGGGTTCACTGGCAAGGACTAATTTTGCAGCGTAGACACTGTTTTGCTGTTCTTACTGTGTTCTTCAGCCTTAATAACCAGAGTTTTTGTCTTAATTCGTTCACGACTAGTTCATAATTTGCGTGACCCGTTTTTCGATCATAAAATTGTACCAATAAACGTACAATTGGGTGACGACCGTCAAGGAGGATGGGGAACCTTGTGTCAGGGTCAATGCCTTCTGCGGCTTTAATTCTTCCGGCTAACCGCAGTAATTTGTCCTTTCCCAAAGCGCGTGACAGTTTTCTGAGACGATTGTTCGAAGGAATAGGCTTCGAGTTCAGGATATGAAGAAATTCTATGGAAAAGCTCACGAGCTGTGTGTGAATTCGTTGCAGAATTTGCCTTTCAGCGGCCTTTATTAAATCCGTACTAAGCGGTGATAGACTAGTGGACGCTGAAGGATGGCGGGCACAAACAACTTTCATTTTAGAATTTCTAATGGAAGCCAAAATTACACCAAACTTTGCCGCAGCTTGAAGTACCCGCGCTGTGGCACGTAATAAGCGCTGAAAATTACTTAAATTAGCAAAATTCGAGGTTAATTGATCGCGTTCTGGTAGCCTCATCGGCCACATTCAAGTCTGTTGGTACCCATCGCCAGTCTCTGATGCAAGAGTTTTCAATAATTTCGCCTAAACGATGGGCAACAAAAGGCTTAAAAGTGCATCACTACGTAACCACTGATGGACTGTCATAGAATCGGTCCAAAAGAAATTATGTGCCGGTTGTTTTCTATGACTGTCCTTAATGGTGATCGCGAGACGAGAAGCCATTAAAGCGGCCTGGAGCTCTAAATGTGGGATAGGGGTAGGTTTCAAGGGTGTAACTCTTGCCTTATTAGAAATGACAATGAGAGAAAGCTCGATGCTGCCATCTGAGTACAAAACGCGCCAATAAGCGACACATGCCTACGCGAGTTCACTTGCATCAGCAAAAACGTGTAACTCCCTCTGAGTTGGTTCAGAGTTTTTAGTGTTAGAATACCAATGCGGAATTTCCAAAGAAGTTACTTTTGACAACTCCTGAAACCAATCATCTGTCAATCTGACCACCTTAATGCTTCCGTGGGTTGAAACTCGGTGTTCCAGTCGACATTAGACCTCCAAGTTTGTTGAAATAAAATTCGACCTATAACAACTATTGGAGCTAACAAGCCTAACGGGTCGTACACACGCATGATGCGACAAAGAACTTTGCGTTTTGTGAGAGGATTTGGAAATGTTTCACCAAAGCCTGAACGGAAACCTAAATTATCTGTTGTGGGATTCCACCTTACTCCTAACGCTCTAATATTGTTTGCAGAGCAGCTGCCAAGATTGATTTCCTCCGACGACGGTTGAGTGGCCCTAAGATCAGCAGGAATAAATTTTAGCGCTGATGGGTCGTTGGAAATCCGCCCCGCATTTCGAAGCAGGCATCATTGTGAACGGCAAAAATATCAGCCGCCAGTTGTGCTGCCTCTTGAATGTCATTGAGTGAGTCAATATAATCGTCCATATAATGATTGTACGAAATAGCATGAGCTGCTTTAGGAAATAAACTTTCGTGCTCATGAGTGTTTTTATTTTTAATAAATTGCGCTATAAATGGGCTGCAGCACGCACCGAAAATGACGGCTGTCATCCTAAACTCCTTTATAGGTTGGTCTCTGCTTGACCTCCAGAAATACCGGATACCGGATCCCTATCTTGCTCCCCGATCCTTACTTAAACATTTCCCAGATATCAGCAGTGAGAGCAATTGGGCCCTCGCGAAACCGTAAAATATCTAACAAGGACTGAAGTAGGTCTGGACCAGGTAGCAACAAAGAGTTTAGGCTGACGCCCTCATTTGTGGCTGCGGCGTCGTTAACTACACGAAGCTTACATTTCTGAGGGTTGTACACGCCAAAATGGGGTAAATAGAGATTTATTTTTAATAAGAACAGAAAATCAAGCAAACAAAGAGAAATGTAAAGGTAATAGAACAGAACGTCAAAAGCAAAAAACTAAATCAGCTATTAAAATAGCAAAGAGGTCTCCAACAGATACTTTAAAAATTTTATTGCAAATTACTATTAAACAAATGTAAGCTATTCATTTGGATAAATTCTTTTAAGACTTCACAAACGAGAGTGATCTTATAAGGCTTACCTTTTGAGGTATGGAACCCTTAAAAAAAAGAGAAAAATAGCCCTACAGAATTGACTACTACAGATTCTATGTACATGTCTGTATTGATTGTCCGGAATTGTCCTAAAAACTACCTTGAACTACCTTGCATTCCCTTTCTTCAAAGTGCTGTCACTCGTTTTTGTTCGTAGAATCAACGAAAACTTTGAAAACTTATTTATCGACACAAACAGAACCACAAAGAAAATATTTTTTTGTCTATTCTTGTTAAAAGTACAACAGAAACTCTGATAAATTGTACATCATTATATTTTTAAAATAAGGATATGAAATGAAACAAAATATTTGTTAATAGAATGTATTTTATATAATAACAAATTTGTGCAGTTAGTGTTAAGTGCTCTTATGTCTAAATACGATTGTTACATATTTATATTATCTCTTTGTAAATAGCATAGGTTTGTTAGCGCGTCAGTTGTAGTTGCAAAATATAATCATATATTTTTAGTGATAATAAATAATAAAAAGCAATATACCATTAGATTACTTTAAAAATAATTCGGTAAACAAGAGTATCAAAGTAATTTATAAAATTTTAAATACTAATCAAAACGATACAGATAAACAATATCTAGGGTTTTATATTCTGGAAAATTTAAATGCAATAATGAAAAACAACCTTGGGTCCTTATTAATTTATATGGTGGGTCTATTTAAAATAATATTACTTATATATACATAAAGCTAGTGAGTGTTAGTATTTAGCACAGCTAAGTTTCGTTATAATTATATTCGAGAACCTGACGAAACAAAGTTAAAAAAGGAAAATTAACGTCAAATTTGTATGTTGTAAATAGCAAATTTATTTTTTAGACGACACTTACGGTCTTGCCAAAATTCAAAAGTAGAAACAATTGAAAAAAAATTTTGACAAAAATATACATATACAGCATGTCGTTACAACCGCGACAATAAATGAACACACATATAAAGATAACTTTTTAAAATTGTATTAAGCATTTACATTTTTTAAACATCAATATTATACCCAGTTATTAAATTTTCCAAAACAATCAATTTTAGAACATCCTTACGTATAAAACTGTAATAATAAACTAATAAAGTTCATTTGTAAAGGTCACAAAGCATGTGAATGGGTTGAATGAATTTAAAAGAGATCATACTGTGAGAAGGAGAGATTTGTAATGCGACGCTGTGGGAACGAATGAAAGTCTCTGAATGTATCAATCAGTCAGTTGTAGTTGTATTGGATGTTACAAATTTTGTTTCTTTTTTATTTAATGAGTTTGTTTGAAAAATAGTTTTTTTAGGTTTGGATTTTTTTAACGTTTATATTTTTTTATGATTATTGGCAAGTAGCTTTAGACGTGTGTTCATTTATTGTCGCGGTTGTAACGACACGCTGTATATAGCGCACTCCTCAAAAGGAGAAACCTCATATTAATGATAATCACCTACATGTACATACATTTTGTATTTCGTACAAGTAGCTGTTTTCTCTTGGACCATTACTTTTAAAATGTCTGGTACCATAAAACAAAAAATGCAGGAAGCATTGACTTTTAGGTTTGCAATTTTTGTAGCTTTGGGCCCATAAGCACCATGATTGGAATGTAAAGAGTTATAAATATTAAGCAACTAAGTAGCTCCTAAGGGTTAAGCAGTGAAGTCCACAAATGAAATATCTTAAGTAAACATTAAGTACTACCACTTAATCTGGCAAAAGTTCGAGACGACGACGTTTTAAGTTATGTAAGTGAAATTTCACTTATTAATACTGCTGACACTCAGAAAAATGTACCAATGTTGTTTATAATGTCTTATTGCAACGAATACGAATAAATAACGATGTTTTCTAAATAATAGTTCGTGCAATGATTGAAATGAATGAAATATTTCAGTCTTATAAATTATCTAACGTAAATATACATATGTATACATATATTTTAATTTTAAATACATTATACATTTACAATAAAAAATAAAGTGAAAGATTTAATTGTAAGTTGCAACAAAAGTTATTTCGGTTTTTTATCTTTATCGGTTTTGTCTTCATCTTTTTTCTTTGAAATCAATGTATGTTTCGCCTTTTTTAATTGTTTTTTCACTTTGTCTCTGACTTTGCTTTTTTTAGGAGTAATTACGGCTTCCGCAGACTTGATTGAAGAAGCGTTAGAATCGCTATTTCTTTGTGCTGAAAAAAAAAAAAACATTTATTTAATTTACATACACTTATTATAAGTTTGGTAATGAATAATAATGGATTACAAAAACAAATGTGTACAGTATTTGTATCACATTGAATTGATTGTACCTTTAGTATTCATAAAACTGTAACTTTTGTGTTTAAAAACAGGGAGTTGATGCGAAATCGAGCGGTTTACTGTCAAATATCCGCTTACCTCGTTTGTTGGCTATAGAAGTGGCAATGGCGAGATCTTCTTGGCGCTCCCGCCTTCGCTCTGCCTCGATCTGCTGCACCAATTCGTCTCGCATACGTACTATCTCGACAAGGCGTGTCACTAACTCTTCCTCGCGTGCCTGTGGGGAGAATTTGTTGATTTCATAATTGCATTGGGACTTAAAAAAAAGCTAAAAAACAATATCGATTTTACGTAGAGTCGCTAAAATTCAACGTTGGAAAAATAAAATTGCAAGACGTCACCGAAATCGTCATCAGAATTACTTTTAAGATCATGATGCAACGAGCGGACAGAATATTAATCGACAAGATATATTTCTTAGTTTTGTTGATTGATTTTTGTGCTTATTCCTTAGACCTCTTATTAGCTTCATCCGACACAACGCTTGTGGAAAGGCAAATTTTCGTCGAGCTTTATATTTTTGACAGTACAAAATTATATTATTATCATTTTGGGAAAGAAAATCTTGAATATTTTTATTATTTTCATTATTTCTACGAAAATGTGTAATGTCATCTTAGATTTTATATCTATTGGATTTGTTATTAAACTTCTCGCGTTTATTATCTTAATCTCTTTACTAATTTTAAACAATTTACCTTATCTGCATCAATTCTATTGACAGCTGGCCTTGATTGGATAATTCTGATTTCATGTTCAATATCGGCCTGCTCCTGCTCTAGTCTTTGCTGCCGACGTCTGTGGAGATAAAGTAAGAATCGATAAATATTATCCGTGATAATTGATATATTTGTTACTGTTAGGCTATTGGTTTTATATTTTTTTTTAAACTTGGATTAAAAAAATACCTGGAAACTGATGGAACTGAACTGACACGCGATTCTGACCGTTCAGGAGGATCGTTGACGAACTACAACAACCCTCCGTTAAGCCATTTATTAAGGCTATTGTTGCTCTACAACAGTTGTGTGTTGTTCACGGTAAAATATTTGCTATTATTTACGTTAGGCATTTGAGGTATCTATCAAACAAATTAACAGTTTTTAATGTCTATTAATAAATAATATGTATTAATAGACATTAAAACTGTCCTGATTCCTACAGAGGCGGAAAAGTTTTCGTTCCTTTTTTCTACAAATTTTTATGCTATCCTTTTTATACCATTTGACACGTGTATGAGAAAGCTTTCATAACTATGAATGAAACGTGTGAATATGTGCTGTCACTGTGTTTGTATCACTAGATCTATGATTTCATAAGCGTATAACATATCTATAGTATAAAATATCATTGTTGCCTGATAATAAGGGAAGTTGACTACAAGCACAAAATCCGTTTAAAAAATGTGTAATACCAAAACCGAATAACAATATTATGTGTGTACTATGTATGTACAATATACACGCAACTGTGACGCAATGTGTATAGGAAAGAAGACAAATAACGAATGAGACGGCAATATTCTCTTACCCGGCTACTCTTCAAACATTTATAGGCTGTACTGCAAAATGTCTTAGTCGAACTTTAGACGCGCATTACCGTATGTCTGTAGATCGTTTTAGATTAAAATAAACTCACATATACATGAGTTCAGTCTGCTTTCTGAATAGGTCGTTCTTTTCGTTCACCAGTTCGCACAATTGTATGACCAAGTCTTCAATTTCCTCTTGAGGTACTGTTGGAGCTTCGTCACCTGTAATTTAATAATTGTATTAATAAAAAAAAAATATATTAAAAAGGTATATTTTATAGATCAAACTATTTTACGGATTTTATCAGTGTGTCCTTTGACCATGAACGCTGGAAATGGTTCGAATTGTCGGAAATAAAAATCTAAAGAATCTAAATTAAAGCACGATAAAACCCGTAAAATAGTTTCATTTAATAATTATAATATTCGCGTAAAACAAAGAAATCAATTGGTTGGAACTCGAGCAGTTGACTGTATATTTTGAGCTACATTTTTCAGAAAAAAATATAAAAAAACTTAACTTTGTAGCGACAGGAGTTGAAAGGGTGTATATTTTCTCATTATATATAACCAGCAGTTATGTATAAATTACCCAATCAAATGTTTTCGAAAAAGTGCATGGAAATTCATCATTACGGCAAATGAAACAATTTCATCTTTTTTAATTAAAATTATGATAACAAACAGTATAATAATTTCTCAGTGAGAAATCATCATTGGCCGTAATGACCTTACGGTAGAAATGTGCACAAAGCAGCGTTTACCCTCACACTTGTCGCGTATCATTTGCTCAATGAGGACCCCTTGCCTCTCGAGGCCGAGCTGTTGCGTTTCCAACATGTCAAGTTGCACTTGCAGCTCCTCGGGGGACATTTGCATTTTCACCTCCCTCCTCTCCGGAAGCGGCAGGCCGGGTGCAGGCCCCTTCACCCGGCGTCCACCTTAAGATAGGGCAAATTCTATTTTGAAACCACCGTTTGAGCTTTAATACTTGTAAACTAAAACGTCGACGAAACTTTTTTCATTGATTACTTTGACATTGAGCCGTGATAACTGACGCTTGTTTTCAATGCAATATACTCGAGCAACCTGAATTCGATCCGTGGATCCGCCACCAACGAAGTTGCCAATTTTAAGTGCTGATTTATCGCGGTGTAGGAAAACATCGTGAGGAAACATCGATGATATGTGAAGTCCGCCCATCAACAGTGGGGTGCATTATGCCCTCTGCACAGAGAAGGTCCTTTGGCCTATATAGGCTGTATAGGCTATATAGGCTTTGGCCTATATTTGGCCTTATATAGGCTGTTAATTTACTTTGATATTGAATTAAAAACCGAGTCTTTAACAACAATAGTATGGATTTGCTTATTTCATGATGTTTTTATTCTCGCAATTTATAATTTTTATTGTTATAATAAGTTTTAAAAATATTTCTTTTGTTCTCCAGGCCTTTCAACAGAACTATGTTATATTTTAGAGACGTATTTAGGAAATTAAGAGTGATTAACTTTTAGCGCTATGGAAAATTGTGGTAGGCTAAGGGAACTAAATACATGTGATGAATAGTAATAATTCTGGAAATTTTAATATGTAAAGACCATCAGAAGGGCTGCTACGTGTTCCAGAAGTATCAATCCCTTTCTCCGTAGACTCTCCATAGCCAGAATGTGTGGACAAACTATCTAGTGGTGTTGGGGCAGGTCTTTTCTTTTTCATTGTCGGTGTCATTGTACTGTATGATTTCTGAAACAAAAGAGGTTACAAGTAGCACAAATTACAGAGAGATTCTTTCATTTTTCGTCGGTCTTTACAGTGGTCTCCACAGTGAAATTGTATACATATATATACAGCGTGTCTTTACAATAGCGACAATAAATGAACACACATATAGAGGATAACTTTTTAAAATTGTATTAAACATTTACTTTCTTTAAACATCAATATTTACAGAGTTATTACGTTAATTTTTATGATTATTGGCAAGTAGCGGTATACGTGTTTTAATTTACTGTCGCGGTTATAACGACACGCATGTATATATCTAAATCTTTCTGCACTAAATTAATGTTTGTGTACAAGCGGCACTATGATTTTTAATGCTAATGGCTATCTCTGCCATTCAACCAAACATTAACATAACATAACAACCTTTTTAACATTAACATTTTAAGAAAAATCAACAAAAAAATTCGGCATTGTGGGATTCGAACATGCAAAACTGTAACGCGTCCACAGTCATTACCAACTAAGCTTAACAGCCGATAATACGACGGCCCACATATTGTTCAATGTTATGATAATTTTACATGAATTAAGCGTAGAATTGAGAAATTTTATGAAACAAAATTACAAAATTAATGATACTTTGAAGTTTCGTTTGCGTTTTTGTCCTATAACATGTTAGTAGTTCTATTTGGCAATCATAAAATACTAATCTACAGTAAGTTTTGTGTCACAGTGCAGTATAGGCATTGAGTCTTAAATTTAATTGTACCATAGAATCAAATTGAAATTTCATTACTTACACAATTATTTAAAAAAAATCTATTTATCAAGATAAACAGATATCTGACTTGTTAAGTGATATATGTGATATAATGGCACTATAGCTTAATACTTCCCTGAAGGAGATATGCTTGATAAAAAAGAACTTATTCAAAGAAACCGGCCAAGTGCGAGTCGGACTCACGCACGCAGGGTTACGTACCATTATCGTATAATTGTATTTATATTAGCGCCCATACAATTCAGAGGACTCTCGTAAGTGGCGTCAACTATGTATTTACGGGGGGGACACCCTTTAATTTTCAACTTTTTGAAATTTTTCCTTTATTTGTGCTGTAAGTCCTTGCTTTTTGCCATTTTCGTAATTCTAGATCAACGGGTAATACCATATAAGTTTTCGACCATAAACCTATTACTTCCGGTTGACCAACAGTTGTTAATTTGCGGTAAAGGACTTACAGCACCGGTGAAGGGAAAATTCCGAAAAATAAAAAAGTTAAGGTTAACTCATTTGCCCGTATCTTTCTATCGCGTTGACTTAGGTCCTTTATTCTCAGTCTCTGGTATAAATTTCAACTTACTAGGTCCCCCCGATCCTGAAAAATCGGTGGTGACACACAGAGTGATTTTATATGGGTTCCTTTTTAACCTTTTGATTTAAGGAACCTAGGGAACTAAAAAAAAAGAAAGAGCACTTCAGATTTGACTATTATGTACATATGTTTGTATTTATTCCAACATATGTACGTAATAATTTCTATCTATGCATAGCATACAGGTATGTTTTGACTCCATCATTATCAAACCACATTGTTAGGAGAGAATAGATAGTTTATTGGAATAGATAAAACCAATTGGTAGGTATTGTTTTTAGCCACGCAGACGGACAATACGTGAGGAATTGTTAATCGCAACGGTAAAAACGACTGATGTCATGCTTACATTACTCATACTTAAAACAATACAGGTATATTTATTGCCAACTGTGAAAACCACCAATCCACTTGTCCTGATTTAACTAGAATATTGCATACCTTTTTTATTAATCTTTAGTATCTGAGCCAATGATATTGCTTAAATAATAATTAAAAAAAAAAAGTATTGCTATATAAGTATTAAAATTTGTAGAAAGAAAGACGAAAAGTATTTCGCCGCTGCGGGAATCGAACACTATGCTGTACGAAAAATTATATGTATGATCGTCGCTGAATGGTTTCATATTTTATGAAAAAAGATATTTAGATCTTTAAAGAATTAGAAATTACTTTCTATGTGAATATCGAACCCCCGGTTACCACATTTACGAGAGAAAACGCAAAACTTTCACTAACATTTACACTTCCATTTCATGTCGTTCTATATGTACTATGGTTCATTTCATTCATTCATTATGGTACTTCGACGAGGCTGGTTCATGACCTCACCACAGTAAAAAAGTGTGTGTGTAATTTCCTAATTAAGTATAATTGAAGCTATCTAACCTGATCAGAGTAAACTGTCGAATTGTGGGAGCTAAGAGATGATATGCTTGCTATGTCGTCCATTGACGTTGAATTTCTATCTGCCGGCTGAGCGCTGATGGTGATCGTTGGTGGCGGAGGTGGAGCCTTTGGTTTTTTTCGCCTTGGGGTGCTTGATGGCAAATTTGGTGTGCTTGTCGCCATGGATGACTTGTACATACTTGTACTGAAAAGTTCACATTCACTATTAGTAAATTATATTATACCGTCCTCAATAGTTTGTTTGCTTGAATGATCTTTTCTCAGGCACTACTGGCAGGTCGAATTTGAAAAATTCTTTCAGTGTTAGATAGCCCATTTATCGAGGAAGGCTATGGGCTATATATTATAACACTAAGATCGAAAGGAGTGGATGACTAATGAAATATGTTTCAAAACAGGGGTATTTTTTTTATAAGACCCAGTACTTTTACCTAACGTTTTAAAGTTCCACTCTTGGTGATAAAAGCGTTATATGAATAGCTCCTTAACTTATGTATTATTTAAAAATATTTTCTTCTACGTAAGACGAAGTCGCAGATAGAAAATAGTTACAATATCTATGGTGCACTTTTATTATTTCATACAAATTGGAAAAACAACTTAGCATTACAATGAGCAAACATAAACAACTTCTAAAAATCAGGAGAATAATTATAACTTTTAAAGTTTTTTATAGTGCTAATCTCTGCACTTAAGATTGAACATTAAAACATGTAGAAAAAGTACGAAAATATTGTCGCCGCTGTGTATTGTGTTCTACATGTTTTAAGAATAATATTATAGCTTTTTTTATGTGAAAAGTTGCCAAGCGAGCAGGTGGTTCACCTGATGTTAAGTGAATACCGCCGCCCATGGACATCTGCTACACCCGAGGGTTATAGATGCATTGACAACCTTATGAAAATTGGGTTCTGGCTACCTTGAGGTTGTGCTACTTACCCGGGCGAGCCTGCCCGTTGGTGAAATAGCCGAGGCTTCTGCATGGCCCTACCACAATGAATAGTTATATTTATAGTTTGAACTTCTACTACCAATGTATAGTTTCTCTTTTAAATTATTGCTTTAAATTAAAATAAATACTTGCCTTGTTCTATATGTTTCTTCATCAGAAGAAGGCTCTTCTCCATCAGACCAAAAGGGATTACTTGGGTTTTGTGCAATGATATGCCTTTTGCTGTTAAAAGATTAAATAAAAATAAAAATTTCTGCAAAATGTTAATAAGAAGAAGTATTGGTTATACTGACGTTGGTGTTGGTAATTGGATCTTTTGTAAATTAGTTTGAGGTTCTTTTGAAGGCATTTCTTCTTCATCTTCACTGCTGCCAAACGGATTTGTGCTGACTTTTTTTTGTACTTCTTTAACTACTTCCTAAAAATTAGTTATATAATTAACATACCATTAAACTTAAACTGTTCTGCTGCCATAAATAATGTACCTTGTTATCATCATCATCATCATCTGAAAATGGGTTTAAATAATCAGGATAGTCAGGATCTTTGCTAAGCTTATTTTCTTCTTCTTTATTTGTTCCATTGGTACTTGTTTCAATAACAGCAGCAGCATGATGTTTTTTTCTTCTTGGAGGCACACTTATGCTTTTTTCAAGACCATCTTTAAGTGAACTTTTATCTTCAGAGGGAATGGGACTAGATATGTTTAAGTTAGATTTTGCCATTCTACTATCATCTGTTATATTACTATCGTCTTTAGGTTCTTTCCATAAATCGCTTTTTTTGTTATCATCTATAAAGGACCTCTTACATACATTCACGTCATCATTTTTGTTTGTTTCCATAAGTTCTAAATTATTAGAGGCAGTACTTGTCTCTATATTTACATCCGATAGTTGAGTTTGTAAAAAATTAAATTTGTTTATGTTGGTTTTATACAAATTTTCTGGCAGTTTTTTATAGAAATCTTCGGTTACTTGTTTGTCATCTAAATTTTTTTTGGTTATTTCATTATTATCAAAGTTAGCAGAGCAAGTTTGTTCTTGACTACTATTTTCAATACTCGGAGATTTATTTATTTTAAACTTATCATAGGTAGAATCTCTTAAACTCATACTAGCTAATTTTTGTTCAATACTAGGGTCTTTATCTATATTTTTTTCAAACATATTTATTTTATCTGAAATAAATATAACAAAGATATAAAACATTACAACATTTAACATTGTATTTAAAAAGAAAGAAAAGCAAAGTCTTTTAATTTTCTTTAATGTAACAGATAGAAGTCGATGTTAATTTCTTATTGTAGATTGTGATAAAAAATGTATGGGTTATGTTACTTTAAAATGTGAAAAGGGCAAATATAATTTTATGGATTATATAACAATATACAATTTATTCATTGATGCAACATTTAAATACTTAAAAAAATTAACACATTCTCTTTTTTTTAAATTAGCATATAAAACATGGTGCAGAAACATGCATAAAGAGGAAGGTGACAGTTATTAATGTATAAATTGTTATGTATAGTATATTCCTTAAATTAAATCACAATATCTTGCAATAGTTATGGGACAAAACACACAACATGGAAGAAACACATTAAAATACTTGCTTTAGTGCCACATAGAATAGGTAGAGATCGAGTATAAACTCACCTAATATAGAGTGTGGCCTCGGCTTATGTCTCTGACTTACTTGCTCTTCTTTATTAATATCAAGTTTTGTTTCATTTTCATTGTTACTAAATGCTACCATACCCATTTGATCATTATTATTAAATATTTTCTTAAGGCTCTTTTCGTTTTTACAAGAGTCACAAGAAAACTCAGATGTTTCATCGGCTTGGAAATTTTTTGGGTTCAAATGTCCGGAGCACTTAGAACAACGGAAACATCTTCTGTGGTACAGTTTTTGGGCCACTATTAATCTTTGTGCTAGATAGACAGGCAATCCACATGCGACACATTTGTCTAGACCTGTCTTTCCAAATCTTATTGGAGTCTACAAGAGTGATTACATACTAAGAATTAAAGTTATAAGAAAGTATAAATATGAATCTTGCACAAACACAAAAAGACCAGTGCCAATTAAAGCAGACACAAAGAAACATTCTATATGCAATAAACTATAGCATAATATACTTACAACTGGCTGCGTTGATGTAGGTGATGATGCTTTAGGCTCAATTTCAGAAGCTTTAGTATTTACTGCAAAAGCATAATTTATTCATATAAATATTTCTTAACCACAATATTATAACATATAAATAATTAAAATGCAGCAGTAATGAAATCTGACATAGGTGTGAACTAATACTCTAATATGATAATCAATTAGCAATTGTTTTTTATTTTAGAAAAATTAAGGTTGTTTTGGAAAACCTATTCTTAGTTTTTACTTACCTGTATGACTTAGCCGCTGGTAAAACTGTGATAAATAAGTCAATACTGACAACCTATCTGGAACATCATTTTCAACCATATCTTCGGGATCAAGTAATGAAGGTATACCTAAATGTTTTTCAGCAATACTAAATGCCAATCGATTATTTTCATATATGTTTTCAGGTTTAAGTTGTGACAGGTCACTAAAAATAATTTACATGTTTAAAAATTTTTAACATTTTTAATTAGAGGAAATTAAACCTGATTATTTGAAAAAATAATTACATTAGATCTGGTCTAAAATGATGAACTAATGCACAAAATGCCATTCCATTTCTCCATGATGTTGTCATGTTATCAATTTGTACATTGGGGCAATCTTTTACCAGACGTTTGCACCATAATTCCAAAGCTTTAGTACCTTTAACTTCCGACATGATTACGTTATTTGGCTAGCACAGATTTATTTATTTACACATCATACTTGTACGCATTTGAAACAATTGCTTCAATTGATTTGCACTGTTTGTATACACATTCATACTGTTATCTACCGTGTAATTTGTTCTTATAATTTGTTAATATGCTTAAATAATTTGGATGCAATAATAATAAAAGTGCAGACTCAAGAAAAGTTATTTTTGCTGTAAATGTCAAACTCAAAAAGTCAAATGAATTTGCTGATGTCTAAAAGTTTAAACGTAACTTGGCAATTGTAACAGATATATAATAATTTAGATATGATTAGAAGTGGGCGATACAAATCGTATACAGATACGAAAACTAAATATTGGTACAATATCTGAAAATCGCTTACTGACTCGTTCAAAATCTATGTATTTTACAATATCTGATATTTCCGAAATCTGATGTACCGAATACTTGCTCACTCGCTATACCAACACGAATCGCGATATCATACGTGTTTGCCACAATATCAGATTTTTAAACAGATTTTATGAATAAGTTAAGTAATTTTGAATCTTAACAGCATGCAAATAAGATCGAGATTCGATAGAGCCGAACATCATCGCAACCCTCAACACAACGCGTACAAGGTACACCCGCGTTCCGGGGCGGTTCTCACCGCTCCCAGCCACCGATTAGCTAATTGCACAGTAAACGGCCATCGGGGTTTCGGTTCGAACCGCGACCTCGATGGCCCTTAGATGACACACCATACTTAAACGCACGCATGAGCACATGCGTGGCCCTACCTACAGCAGAGGGACCATACCCATGGGTTCTGGCTAGCCCACCGGTTCTGCGTCAGATGAAGCTTTAATAGTCTCGGGACTGAAAGGAAATACATCAGTTAATATAAGATACCAGAGAGTAATCGCGTCGGAGATATGCGAAGGTGCGGAGGTACCGTTTTTGGCGATTGTCTTTTATAATAGCTATGCGTCGTGCCTTTTTTAGCGAAAATTAATTTATAACTTAGTTTTAACTTGCTTTTAACAAAAATGATACCAAAAAAGGTGTGCAATTTGCAAGAGTCAAAAAAATTATAGACAAAATCATAAATAAACACAACAGCACTGATTTAAGCCTCGGTGACGAGCCTCATAATCAAAATAATGACACGGAATGTCCAGTTATTAGTTACATATTTTCTCATTACATAGAGTTAAAAATTTTATTTCATTACCATGAAAATTATTTTTATAACCATTAATTAATTTACTGAAAGCCTCGTATAGAGGTGTAAAATAACATCTGCCTTTTTACGTAATTCGGTTTTCGTTATATCATATGCGCCTTTTTATAAACATTATATTTTTCGTAACTTATGACAAATATTTTACAAATTTCATTCATAACGAATATTACATAATATGTATCTTATCTTAATAAGCCAGACACATATATTATACGTGTCTGGCTTATTAAGATAGGCCCCGATAGAACAGAGATTGCCATAAACTTTATTAATAAAAACATTTTAGTATAAAAACATATATTAATATTGATTCTCGTATATGAGCGGAAAATCATATAGGGAGATTTTTTGAGCAGTGCCCAAATTTACACAGGAGGTTCAGACTCGTTAGTATATTCGTTTATTAAAACAAAGTTTTTTTTTCCGAAAAAAAATGCCGTTCTATTCCCTAAAAAACAGAACGTGTTGACAATGCTATAGTTATTCATAAATACCAAAATTTTACTGTGCACGAACTTGTGTGCGTGTTAGTTATGAATGATCGCGCGTAAAAGAAATGAGTTGCATATAAATCACGCACTTTTTGAGATAAGTTCAAATGAATGTAATTAATTACTTACGAGTGATTTTTAAAATAGTGTGTTAAACTAGCTGTTGCCCGCAACTACGTCCGCGTGGAATATCCTATTAAGATATTATCCTAGAAAGCGAAAAATTCAAACAGATACAGACAGATATCTATACATATAATAAAAATGTTACTTGTCTTTGTCTGTACATGGAAGATATTTGAGAAAAAACTATTATTAAAGAGCCCCCTTTATCAACACAATAGAACCCAAAACAATGGTTGTTAAAATTTTTGTCCATGTGTATGTGCGTTTGTGCGCGTAATCTCAGAAACGGCTTAACCGATTTGGGTGCAACTTTCACTTATGCATTGTACTTCACTTAACATTTAGTAACACTAATTTTATTCAAATCGGTTCATAAATAAAAAAATTACATCAACTTAAAGAAAGGAATCGCTCCAGCTGAATTGGATGACACTATAGTTAACTACAATTATATTATGGTCTGTAAAATGATGATGATTGTTAGATTATATAATTTTAAAAACAGCTAAATGCGAGTTGCAATCGTGAACGAAGAGTTCCATACCATAATCTATAAAAAAGGCAATAAAATTATGTCCGTTGTATGAGAGCCCCACTTAAAAAAATAATTCTGAATTCCTTTATTTGTTGTTATAGCGTCAACAGAAATAAATCATATGTGAAAATTTCAACTGTCTATATATCACAGTTTATGAGATACATGTATCAAACAGATGCTAGCAGTCTAGCTAGCATCTGTCTTTTTGTTTGAACTCGCTAATATCAGCTACTACTGGTCCGATTAGAATAATTCTTGCATGTTAGATAGCCAATTTATTTTTCAACAAATTAATTTTAATTTTTTATAATTAAGATACTTATTTTGTAGTATTTTCTAAATAATTGAATTTACCTTTTAATATTTATTACAAAAATGCCTCGATTGAGTTAAAAAGATAGAGAACGATTTGATCTCAACAATCTAATGAAACCATACACGACTGATGCCCAGTTTCCGAAAGGCCAATCAAAGCAGCAATCACATAACACTATGTCAAAAATGATCAGCTGTTAATCTCTTGTTAAACTGCCTTGGGTTTCTGGAAGGTTTGTTCAAGAAAAATTAGCTAATCACTGTATAACCAATGATAATGAATGAAATGAATGATTTACTTCAACTAACTCTTTCTATTGTATAGCTGTGTCTTTTGAACAAAACTTAAAGCCGTTAAATAATAGCCGTATTTAAGAAGCTTTAACCCTACAATTTGTTAATTACGACCACAGTTTGTTAAGTTCCCAGAAGATGTTACTGAATTACAAGGAGACTTTTATGAGATAGCTAGATTTCCTAGGCTCATTGGTGCCACTGATTGTACCCACGACCCAATAAAATCTTCTGTTGGTGACAATGCAGAAAGTTATCGGAATAGAAAACCCCAATTCTTGTTCAATGTTCACACAATTGCTGGTCAAGACTTGAAAAAAATGGGCATAGTGGCAAGATGGCCTGGAGCCACACACAACCAACAATATTTAATAATTCGTTTATAAAACAAATATATTGACAGAGAACTTGGTAATATTATTTTTTTTATGGAGAAAAGGGGCTAACGAGCAGGAGGCTCAACTGGTGGTAAATGATTACCGCCGCCCATGAACACCTGCAACACCCGAGGGCTTACAAATGCGATGCCGGCCTTTTAGGAAAGTTGCTCTTTTCTTGAAGGTTCCCAGGTCGTAACGGTATGGAAAGACCGCCGGCAGCTAGAGCCACAGGGTGGTTGTGCGAGGCAGGAAATGCTTTGAAAATCGCGCTGTTGTAGAACGCTGGACATCGAGGTGGTGTGGATGGAATTTTTAGTTGTTTGGTTTGGTTTAAATTAAAATTGACTGCAGAACAAACTTGTCTATAAACTATTTTTTCTAATATCGTAATATGTAATAACTTAACTTTGAAATCTGTCTATAGTTTTCGATGCACATATTACGTACTCTACTATTTGTGTCGGTGTTACATATGCCAACTTCTAGATGGAGGGAACTACACAAGTGTCAAGTGATCTTCTAAATAGGATGGAGATTGGAACGATGAGACTGTTAGCGCGTTCTATATAATTGTCTCAGATGTCACAGATTTTATCACCAGTACTTGAGAAGAATTGCCCAAACATTGATGGGTATGCATTTGATTGCTTACGCGACTTTATGTAACTCCAAAAAGCCTGAAGATTGTTACGAATGTTCGCTAATTTTGGTTATGCAGTCATTAAACATATATTTTTCCAAGTCCTTGGACAAAAGTTTACTCACTCGGGTCCACGATGTTCCTTTATTGTTTGAATTTATTCTGCTACCGAGGAGGAGTCGCGGAGGAAGAGGAATATCGGTATTGCTTTTGGCCGCCCTCCATATCCTCCGCGACTCGGCGGGGCTGTACCGTTGATGCAGTGATAGTGGGGCCGCGGGGGGAGAGGAGTGTCGGTATTGGCGGTACGCCGTTCTTTCTAACCCCCGCAGCTGAAACGTGGTGAGCGGCGGAGCTACTGAACAGGTCCGCCGCTGGGGGCTGGGAGGCTTGCTGCATATTAGCACTAGCTAGCTCTTCTAGCTCTCATGGTCACTTGTCAGCGAACTCGGGGGAGCTCGTTGGCCGTAAAAATGGGGCCGAGTAGGTAGCACGCTGAATGTTCCAGCGTGACTTACCTGGAGGATAGGGGAGGTGCTCCCCGAGAAGGGACTGTTAAGGCGGCTAGCGTTGACAGGGTCGAGAACATTTGCGAAAGCGTTCTCATGGCCCTGCAGATATGCGCCTGGGTGGAGCATCGTGGGGGTTTTAGTCGGTGCGAGTTTGACATTACCTGTCCTTGCCCTCGCGGGAGCCGGTATGCATAGGTCCACGTTAACAAAAAAGAAAAGGTTAAGATATGTTATTTGCGTTAAAGGAACAACCATCATTTGCACCGAAAGTTATTTATACACACATTCCTATAGATAACATTTGTTTTCGTTCGAAGTCCACGAACATTTTGATAATACTGTGGAAGGGCTACGCAACAGTGTCCACTGTTGCACGAATGGGCAGGTTCTTCCGGCTAAGTACCACGACCTCACAGAAGACCGGCGTAAGGTATAAGTGTTACACTACTGCGTTTCGTCTTGCGAGTGTGGTAGCCGGGGCCCACTTTATTTAAAGGGTGCAAGCCGTTTATTGGGTGTTGAAAATGTGTATGAGCTGCGATTATCACTTCACATCAGGTGAACCGCCGACTCGTTTGCCACTTCATCACGTAAAAAAAAATACATATTGCCCATTATGTAGCATACTGCCATAATGAATAGTTTAGGGCCCGAATCTACTCATATGCTCCACCGATGTGATATAATCGGAGCAATGACTTTCTATAAACATGTATAGTAAGTCATTGAATGGGAGGTTTGATTCAAATGAAAAAAGGGATATTTAAAAAAAAACTGTTATCTTATCTTTCTCTTATCTTCTTATTATGTTAATGTAATTTGTTTATGTGATTAAAAAGTTGTGAATAAAGAATATTCACAAACATAAATAAACAAAAAAGTGATCATTCGTTTAGTTTAATCAAAAATTGGCCGACAGATTCCGAGTATATCAGGTTTGTAGCCAATAGGACATTGATTTGGAACGCTTATAATATTTCTATCTGTGTTCACTTTGTCAAGTAACGCAAGCATTTCTTCTGCAACGAAGTCCACTTGACGTTTTTCACGTTCATACATGGTATATTGGAATCTTTTAATAAGTTCTTCGAAAAAATTGCTGAAACAAAAAAATATGAAATACATGAGTGTTATGCAGATGAATACATTTTGCACATTTTATAATATTTAAAAGTGTGTTGGACTTGTGTAACCCTGTCCTGTGTTCATCTAAAATTATATTCTATTCATACATGTCAAAATTTATGAAGCGGCAAATGGTGGTGGGATTTTTTTTTAGTAGTCTGTCTATTCTGTCTGTCTCTCCGTCAAAAAGCTGTATCTCATGAACCGTGATAGTTAAACAGTTGAAATTTTTACAGGTGATTTATTTCTATATACAACAAATACTAAAAAACAGAATAAAAAAATATTTATGGGACTTCCATACAGCAGACACGATTTTTTGCAGTTTTTATAGATAATGGTATGGAACCCTTCGTGCACGAGTCCGATTCGCACGACCAGTTTTCTATTCATATAATTCTTCGTGCTTTACAGCGAAGAGGGGGCGGCAATCTTGTGTATACCTATGGGGCGACCGACGGATCAAAACCATCACTGTTTATAATTAAAGAATATACAGGGTGGCTTTTCTAAGTTTATCCATTTTAATGTAAGTAATTAATTACATTCATTTGAACTTATCTCAAAAAGTGCGCCATTTATACGCAACTCATTTATTTTACGCGCGATCGTTCATTACTAACACGCACACAAGTTCCTGCATAGTTAAATTTAGGTATTTATGAATGACTACCGCAATGTCTACACGTTCTGTTTTTTAGGGAATAGAAAGGATTTTTTTTGGAAAAAAAAAAAACTTTGTTTTTTATTTCAATAAACGATTATACTACCGATTCTGAACCTCCTGTATAAATTTGGGAACTTCTCTAAAAATCTCCCTGTATGTACATAATAATATAATGAAATTCTTCATATGCAATAAAGTGAAAAGTTTGTGGAAAGTGGAAAACATATAAAAATGTACCTACTAACAATTTTCATGTAAATGTTAATTTTTTTGAAACATGGCATCTTCACATAATTTGTGAAGATTTGTGGGTTACTTTGGACAAAATACCAAATCAATGTCTTCTCATAGGTATGTGCAGTTTATTTCCCTCCGCCTGTCTCGGTTGACCATCTATACAGATAAATAAAATTGGAGAGTCTGTTTGTAATAAAATAACCGCTTTTTCTAATGTATACACGGTACATATACCAAAATATTTTTTTTTACATACTTGTCTGTCTGTCTGTCTGTTTGTTAAAACAAAGTTAAATAAAAGTTAGAAAAATAGACGTTTCACTATAAAAGTACGTATAAGTATCACAAAGCTGACTATAAAAGTATAAATAGTTCCCTTAATTAAGTGCAGTGGTAGTATGATTTTCAGTTAGAAACTCAAGTTCAAGTAGAAACTCAGTTAACAACGCAGTAGAAAAATTTTACAAAAATATTCGCGAACATAGTTATTGAGAAATTTATGCCAAAAAATATAAATTAAAAATAAACACTAAACGTGTATCTAATGTGTGTAGCATTATTGCACAAGTTAATTACACATAAACTCGATTGTCCGTCTCTAGTATTAATATTAATATTCATGGGATAACTGCAAGGATACAAAATTATACGCCTTTTTACGTAAAAACTAGTCGTAAAGAGCCGTGATAGCTCAGTGTCCGGGCGCTCGCCTTTACATCGTGAGGAAACCTGCATATTTTCGAAATAATAATAATAAAAAAATATTTCGAAGATATGTGAAGTCCGCCAATCCGCAGTGGGGCCGCGTGGTGGACTATGCCCTGATACCCTCTGTACAGAGGAGGCCCAGCAGTGGGACATGTATAGGCTGATACTTTACTTTACTTATTTTTCGTCACTGTTGTTATTAGTACTTAGTACTAATAACATCGGAGTCTTACTTCCGTGTGTCTGTCTGTCTATCTGTTCGTCTCTCACCAGGCTGTATTTAATGAACCGTGATAGTTAAACAGTTGAACATTTCACAGATGATGTATTTCTGTTGCCACTATAACAACTAATACTAAAAAAACAAAATAAAAAATATTTAAGTGGGGCTCACATATAACAGGCACGTTTTTTTTTTGGTGTTTTTAGGGTGGCGTACCCAAAGGGTAAAACGGAACCCTATGACTAAGACTCCGCTGCCTGTCCGTCAGTCACCAGGTTGTATCTCGTAAACCGTGATAGTTAGACCGTTGAAATTTTCACAGGTGATGTATTTATTTCTGTTGCCGCTATAACAACAAATACTAATAAATAGAACCAAAAAATATTTAAGTGGGGCTCCCATAAGACATGAGGACAGACATAATTTTTTGCCGTTTTTATAATTAATGGTACGGACCCGACACGCGAGTCCGACTTGCACTTGGCTGGTTTCTTTAGTTTAATAAGTGTTCTCTAATTCAACTTTGTTTAATAGTGTTGTGTTTACCTGTAATTTAAATATGTACATATATTGTTACATCTTTATGATTAAGTTAAACCTATTTGAGAGTCAATGTTCTGTATGTATTTAGTTGGTAAGCCAACTAAGTAACCGCATCGCGATAACCGAAGCAACTGTCAATCTTCTTTAAGCGTTCACTTGATATTAATAAAATTAAATTCGAAACACTGCACATTTTTATTTTCCTAAATCATTCAACATTAGAATTCAATTAATATTTTTGAGGTCAGCAATAAAAATTCAAAAGTTTATATTATGACGTGTAACAACTTATGACCCGACTAGGGATCTGATGTATATTGTATGATCATGTGAAGTTATCGTACTTGGACGATAAGGTAAGGTTGCTAACCCTGGTTAAACTGGTACTTTTGTACATTTATATACAGCGTGTCGTTACCATCGCGACAATAAATGAACACATGTCTAACGCTACTTGCCAATAATCATAAAAAAATATTAATGTAAAAAATCCACAATTAAAAAAAAATATTTTTCAATAAAACTAATTAAGTAAAAAAGCAACAAAATTTGTAACATCCTATACAACCACAACTGACTGATTCATACATTCAGAGACTTTTTCATTCGTTGCCACGGCGTCGCATTACAAGCCTCTCCTTCTAACAGTATGTTTTGTCTCTTTTAAATTCATTCAACCCATTCATATGCTTTGCGACCTTTACAAATGAACTTTACGTTACAGTTTTATACGTAAGGATATTTTAAAATTCTTTGTTTTGGAAAATTTAATAAATCTGTAAATATTGATGTTTAATAATGTATATTTTTGATACAGCTTTAAAAAGATATGTTCTATATATGTGTGTTTATTTATTGTCGCGTTGGTAACGACACGCTGTATACACACGTACAGTAGAATTAAATAAATTTTAAAATTCAAATAAATTTTGATGATAAGCATGGTGTTTCATTGTATTAGAGCATCGCCAGGACCTGCAGCGCGATGCGGTCGTTGTCAAAGTTTGGTTGGCGAGGGGCGGGCGGAGGGGACCGATAAACTTGAGGAGCGGGAAGTGGGGTAGTGACGTAACGAGGAGTGGAGGGAGAGGGGAATAAGTCGGGCGATCAGATGTATGCGTGTGTGAGTTTGGAGTGATAACACCGATGCGCGGTCCGTGACTTCTACAATCAGGGTTGTTACAGTTAATTAATTTTTAATTTTTATCGTCAAAAAATGCTTAGATTCGTATTTTAAAATTATGCCATTTGATTCATAGTCTGATATATACAGCGTGTCTTTACCATCGCGACAATAAATGAACACTCGTGTAACGCTACTTGCCAATAATCATAAAAAAATATTAACATTAAACAAAATCCATAATTAAAAAAATATACTTTTCAAACAAACTAATTAAGTAAAAAAGAATCAAAATTTGTAACATCCTATACAACTCGCGCCACAGCGTCGCATTACAAGCCACTCCTTCTAACAGTATGTTTTGTCTCTTTTAAATTCATTCAACCCATTCATATGCTTTGTGACCTTAACAAATGAACTTTACGTTACGCTTTTATAGGTAAGGGTGTTCTAAAATTCTTTGTTTTGGAAAATTTAATAATTCTGTAAATATTGATGTTTAAAGAATTTAAATGTTTAATACAACTTTAAAAAGTTATCCCCTATATGTGTGTTCATTTATTGTCGCGATGGTAACGACACGCTGTATACACGCTTTTAAATGGTACAACACCTTTCTGTAACACCCTGTATATATAAAGATATTGCTTATCATGCTTATTAAACATGTACAAATTAAAAACAATTAACATTTTTGCATCAAAGATATTTAATCAACGTTTTCAAATCTGCATCTTTAGAGATAACATTTCAGTGAAAGAATGTCTTTGTATTGTTTATCACTTACGTTTCTTCAGCTATTGGTGGAAGCGGACTTGTAGGCAAATTCCTCCAAATTTCGCGACAAACCCCATTGACCAGCTCTTGCCCGGGGGGACAGTTTTGTGGTACTGTTATCATGTTAAGTGGAGCGTTGTCCTTGATATGCTGATCACTAAAATATCATAACAATTTATATTAAATATCAGAGTTGGACAGAAGATTAAAAACAAAAATGAGCGAAGAAAATGAGTGATTTAATACTGTGGTTGTATATGTATATACGTATATTAGCGGATCCGACAGACGTTGTCCTGTACACACGACTTAAATCCGATAACAACATATAAGTTAAAAAAAAAATGTATGTAGTGGACCGAATTGTGAATATAAACCATTCTCGAATCGACCTGAAGACACACAAAATTCAAAAAATCGGCACAGCCGGGGAGTTTAGGGGGAGTTCAGTGACATACACTCACACAATATTTCTTCACAAATATATATATATATATATATATATATATATATAAGATGCACAGACGAATAAATGTGCCTGATATCGGTGTGATAGCTTTAACAATGAATTTATTTATCTATCGAAACTCAACTGTACTGAACCGACAAGAGGGAAGAACTGAATATTTAAACACGGGCAGTTAAATATTGTCTAGATGAAATATTGTCTAAATTTAAAAAGATACAACGGAGAGAGAGTGCGATGTATGCTTCATTCTATAGAATAGAATGAAGCAAAAAAAAAATGTAAAGCTTAAAATATGTAGGTACTTATTGATGCACTAATGTATGACGTTTGTTTTGGGTAGTTTAAGGTTGAATTATGTTTCACCGTTGCTATCTTTTAGTCATAGTAGTTTGAATCCATTTGAAACCTTATGAAAAATAGTGAAACAAATACGTGTAAACTTACATAGGATGAAATTGCCAAATGTCACGACATACTCCATTAACAAGTTGTTGACCTTCGGGACAATTCGTTGGAACAGTTACCATGTTCAATGGTGCTTTATCGACATTAGGTCGGCCACTTGCAAAAGAAATAGATGCAAGTATAGTTATTGCTAAAAACTTTATCATTTTCGTATATATAAAATACACAATGATATCAGACGTCAACAGTTAAGGAATAAATGTAACTAATTGATTATTGCCAACACAAATCTAGTAGTAATACTGTTTACTTATCTAGTTGATAAATCAATTACGTAGAAGATAAGCTATCTGCGTTTAAACAAGTATGTAAAGAATAAAGAAATTTGTTTTTTATAGATATTGATCAGTGTTGTTGTGATCAATGCATTATTTTAAAAAGCGGAAAAAGATGGTTTTGACTTTATATTCTGTTACCTTTTATCATATCTCAAAATATATGTAAGGAATAGATTTAACTCAAAGTTAATAATTTTTCAAATGTATGAAATAAAAATAGTAAATCTATTTTTACCTATTACTTTCAAGACAATACCAAAGATAAATATTGAATAATATAGACAAAGATATTAATTAACTGAACGGTATCAATTGTGAAGCAGTTCATAGCGAGGCTTTTAATATGCTTCTTTAAATTGTACATACACCAAGGTATTTTTAAATACATATATTGCAAACAAAAACTAAATTACAGCCGTTCCCAATATTAAACCTATCTCTGGTTTTGCCCTATTAGAGGTAGAAATAGTTATCTATCTTGTTTATATTTATTTAAATTTTTTTACCGGCTTCCAAATAGGAGGAGGCTCTCAATTCGACAGTATTTTTTTAATTACCTCAGAACTTTCGAATGGGTAAACCGGTTTTGATTATTCTCATTTTATTCGAAAGCTGGTGCTTCCCGTGGCCCAATTTGGTCCAGTTCTGACAATGGCATTCATGAGAAAACCATATAAGTCCATATAAGTATGTGCGTGACAAATGGACGAATAACTCAATATCACGCCAATCGATTTCGATGGAAAGGATGTAAAAAACAACTAGTAAAAATAAATTAATAGAACATTTATATTTTCATTAAGTTTGTTTGTTTCAAAAGAAATTGATTTTACTGAAGTTATTGAGAAAATACATATATACGTATTCAATGTATTCTACGTATAGCATAGCCATAGTATGCCTATAGTATAGCCATGAAAGAATAAGCAGAAAATTCTGAATAAAATTTATTTTACTTTGTAGTTCCCTATCACCTCAATCCACTTGTTTGGGCGGAAAAGTAACTTTTGAATACCCTCTAAAAATATTTTTCTTCCTTGTCTGGAGACTGATCATCCATTGCCGCTCTTCATTCAATCTCAATTCTCCAAGTCTTATTCCTCATATTACCTTCCTTTAAATTACGTGGCGTTTTTGCGTAAGATGCGACAGTAATACTTTGACCTTTTTTTGAGTATTTAATCAGGAAGATTCTTTTAGAATCCCAAAACATTGTGGCCATGAGTTATCTGGCGACGTTTAAACTTCTTTGGTGGGTCTGTCCCTGTTTTATGCCACTGCATAGACTCGTGCTTGCTCTCACGATCATAGATAAACGTGTCATCACCGGTAACGATTCGTTCAAAAATACTATGCGGATTTTTACCACTCCAGCTCCAATAATTCCTTGCACCACTCAATTAGCACTTGTGCGGCCCCTATTTTGCACTGACCCTTGACATAATCAGATGCTCTTGAAGGAAAATGTGAATGGTACCCACCGAAGCTTAGTCGTTTCTGTTATTGTTTTCACTCGTACACGGGCATTTTTGAGTACAAGTTTCTTAACGATGTTGACGTTTTCTTCAGTAGTGGCACTAACCAGCCAACCGTTACGGGGGTTGTCTTCAATAATTTACTCTACCCCGTTTGAATTCACGGCAACTACGTTGATTGATATGATCAACGTAGTTGCCTTTTCGTCATGGCATCTTGACTAATTGGTGACAATAAAATGAAAAAATGAATAATTTATATCTTCAAAAATTTTATTAATGATAAAAAATTTATTGCTCTCATTATTAGTATAATGTTACTCTCTATAAAGGTACGCAACTGACAGTGGTATTAATTTTGTTTAATATATTTAATATATTTAGTTATATTTAGGTATATTTTCTAAGTGGTTTAATACAGTAGGTTATTATTGTCATTTTCAAAATCACTGCTGTATCAATGGAGCCATAGTAGGAAAAAAAATAGTATAATGCTCCTACTTAATGGTTACGGCAAGGTATCTTTTTATTAATTATCTATTTTATTACCATCTATAATACATGTATTATCAATAATGATATCTTTATAATAAAAGGGCCGAGGAAAGTAAAAAAAAAAATAGGTGCAATACATAAATGAACCTAGAACTCAATCTGTAAAGACATTAGAAAGATTAATTATTAGTAATTTTATTCATAATTTGCGGATTACAGGGTTGAGGCTATATTTAAGATGGGATCGTGCAGTGCATTTTTAATCTGGTCTGGGCTCCCCAGGACCAAAGGGGTGGACCGCCAGTGAACCATAACATCTTACTAAATAATTATAAACAAAAAAAACCGACTTCAAACAGGAAACTAATAATAAGAACATTGTAACATTTGAAGATTGCCCTCGATTTGGATCTAGGACCTAGGTGGACCACTTATTTTTTGTCACAATGTAGATTTTATGTAGTTAGTAATAGTTTTAAAAAAAATGTAGTAGTAGTTTTAGTAGTTTTACCTTCAATATTTAATTAATTTAATATAATGTTGTGTATGATTTTGTTCTTGTTATTATTCAGGAACGAACGAAAAAAATTTGAATTTTACCGCCACCTTTCATCTGATGTTACATTTCGTGTTACACCGATACTTCGTGACACTGAAATTTACAATATAATCTTCGTTGTAATTTTAAAAATCAAAAAATCCCAATGCAAAACTATTGCGCGACACAAAATCATTGCGTTTTATTAACAGGCGTTTACAACAAGTTGTTAGCTATACTTTGTTTTATCGAGCTAAGAAGGTAGAAATATAAATACTTTTACCAAAACACCGTAGTTTCACTTTACACAACAATAACACTGTTATAATAACTTATTTTATCACTTTAATATCATTAATGCAACACCACTCTAACGATTCAATTTATTATACCGATTGGGCAGCACCATCGCGTATACTTCTTGTTGACAGCCAGAGAAAGATGACGAAGACGACAAAGACCACGATGACGGCCCCATAATGCTTCTTGCAGCTTCATTTATACCCCACAGAATGACACTTCTTTTAGTATTGCCAACAACCTCAAGGAACGACTTCCTTTAGTGTTGCCAACAAAGTAAATAGTAATCTTCATTACTTACCTACCTACTACTTTTTACTACATATACGTTTTATAGATTTTTAAAAGCTATAAAATATTGAAGAAGGGTAGCTAGGGGACACCCTTGTACCTCAAGCCAACCTCACCTGCACGCGGTGCTCCCTGCTAAACAACAAACGAGGCTCTGGCGAAACCGAACCGATGGCGGTATAACCATCAAAGGCCGAATCTAAATACCAGTTCGCGCGAGACTAGGCCTTGCGTTCACCAACCCGCATGCCCAGCGTGATGAGTATGAAAAGGCTTTAGCACCGTGGACTACTTTCACACAGTGAGACAGGTTATACAGAAGTCACAAGAGTATAATCAGTCGCTGTGTCTAGCATTTGTGGACTACGAAAAAGCCTTCGACTCAGGATGAACTTGAACAAGACTAAAGTCATTCTCAACGAGTTTATAATTCCAGAGCTGATTTCGATCAACGGCGAAGCGCTCGAAGTTGTTCAAGAGTATGTTTACCACGGGCAGACATTGCAGTTGAAATCGCTAGAAGAGTGCAGCTGGGCTGGGCAGCATTTGGAAATCTGCGTCATATCTTCTCGTCGCCACTAACACAATGCCTAAAAAGCAGGGTCTACAATCAGTGCGTCCTGCCAGTTATGAGATACGGGGCCGAGAGGTGGAACATGACGGTGAGGATAGCCCACAGATTATACGTCGCTCAGCGAGCTATGGAAAGATCTATACTCGGTATTTCGCTAAGTAATAAAATCCGAAACGAAATTATCCGGCAGAGGACCAAAGCGGTAGACATAGTCCGTAAGTGTAACAAGCTGAAGTGGTAGTGGGCTGGCCACATCTGTCATAGAACTGATGAGCGTTGGAGCAGGCGGGATCTCGATTGGAGACCACGTCTCGGAAACCCCCCCCCCCCCCCCCCCCGCCAGGTGGACCGATGACCTCAGAAAGGTCGCAGGTAGTGGCTGGATGAGGAAAGCGGAAGATCGTACTCTGTGGCGTGCCCTTGGAGAGGCCTATGTGGACTGCAAAAAGCTGGTTGGATTGGATTAAATTAAAGAAGCTTATACCGAAAGATCTTTTTCTACGTTACGATGAATAAAATCGTGGCTAAGAGCTTCTTTGTGGTAGATTATGACTATCGATAGATGAAATGTTTATTTCTTACTTCGATGAATAAATTATTTGATTTGATTTGAATGGTTGAGTTACGACTAACCCGACTGGCACTTCTCCATGTCCATAAAACCATTGAAGTAGATTTTTTTTTCCGAATCAAATCCAAACAATTCCTCGGAACACTTCCCGTGATAGATGCAGTAGAAGATGCAGAGTGATCCAACATCTCTACGCATAGTCAAAGGATCAAGCTGATCGGAAAGACCTTGATCGTCGATAACCCTAGCTGCCCTACGTTGGATGCGGTCTAATGGAAGAAGCTGGTAATAGGGGCTCCCGCCCAGAGGTGAGAGCAGTACTCCATGTGGGGCCGAATTTGCGCCTTATAAAGGTTTAGGCGTTGAGCCGACGTGAAGTACTGTCTCGCCTTGCTGAGCACACCGAGCTTCTTTGAGGCCAATTTGGCCATACTTTCTAATTGACCGCGGAACTGGACATTCCTCGAGATTTCGACGCCAAGTATTCCGATACTAGCTGTGACAGACAGGGGAGTTCTCAAAATGAGGAGTCACGACAAATGGGGACTTTTTAGCGGTTAACGCGCAAACTTGTGACTTATAGATGAAGTGATAACGCGTTTCGAGAGAAAACGTAAAAGGAAAATTTATTTATTTATTTAAATATAAATACTTAGAGGAGGCCTATGTTCAGCAGTGGACGCCTACAGACTGAAATGATGATGATGATGATTTAAAGATTTTCAAGTACAGTAAGTACTTACATACATCAATAAAATACCTACTTTTTACTTGAATCTATGATTAAAAAATTAAATTATAACTTCTTATCACTTGAGCACGATTATGTGACGCCCGTCCAAAGCTGGATCCGCCCTTGCACACGTAAATAAGAATTATACAGCGTGTCGCTACTAACGCGACCATAAATCAATACACATTTAAAGGATAACTTATTAAAATTGTAGTACCTGGAGGACCGAGAAAATAAAGACAGCATGATCTGGTATAGAAAAAAAAGTAAAAAAAAATAAGTGTGTAAATGATCGTGATACGAAACGCGGCCATCTGTTTTGGGGCCGCCGATTACCGACCGAGCTATTATAAAATTTTTTTTTTCGGCGAAATTTACCGTCATATTCGAACGATATTTTTCATTCCCTGAAAACAGGGATAAAAGGACATTTTCTAAAAATGAAACCTAGCTAGATCGATTTTTCGCCCCCGAATCTACGCACATAGGTACAAAATCGTTTTCATGAAAATCGCTAGAGCCGTTTCCGAGATTCCGATTATACAGCGTGTCTTTACTATCGCGACAATAAATGAAGACACATATAGAGGATAACTTTTTTAAATTATATTAAAGATTTACATTATTTAAACATCAATATTTAACGAGTTATAAAATTTTCCAAAACAAAGAATTTTAGAACAGCCTTACGTATAAAACTTTAATGTAAAGTTCATTTGTAAAGGTCACAAAGCATATGAATGGGAGGAATGAATTTAAAAGAGACAAAACATACTGTTAGAAGGATTGGCTTGTAATGCGGCGCCGTGGCAACGAATGAAAAAGTCTCTGAATGTATGAATCAGTCAGATGCAGTTGTATAGGTTGTTATAAATTTTGTTTTTTTTTTTTACTTAATTAGTTTGTTTGAAAAATATTTCTTTTAATTATGGATTTTTGTAACGTTAATATTTTTTTATGATTATTGGCAAGTAGCGTTAGACATGTGTTAATTTATTGTCGCGGTTGTAACGACACGCTGTATATATAATGATATATGAAAATAAAAAATAAGTTCCACGTAAAGAGCGAACTGAGATGTCGAACTCATGTTTAAGTAGTGATCTAGCTATCAATGAACTCATTTTAAGAAAAGTAATTATTTAATTTACGATGCTTAGCCAATGATATTATATACAAATAAGAGGATATAATGATATTCTATACAAATAGTAAACATTATTAAACATCATTGTACGTAGCATTTTTTTTACTGACTTCAAAATGAAGAGGTTATCAATTCAATCGGTTTTTTTTTTCGATGTATGTACACCGCTTACGCTGACATTTATGATCCGATTTATGTGATTCTTCTACAGTTTGAAGCAGAATAGTTGCCGTTTGGTCCCTTAAAAATTTATTAAACAATAAAAAAGATCTAATTTTCAATCAACTGTCAATGTCTATGCATACTTTATTTAATAATTTTATCTCCAATAAAATTAATATAAGTAAAATTTACTGTTAAACTGGAGATAGAAAACACCTATCTGTCATATTGGGACGGATTCTGAAGTTAGATAACCGAACTTGGTATATTGGTAACGGCCGTTATGATTTGGTTTGAAATGGCATATTTCCTGTAAAGTCTCGTCTACGAACTAAACATCCAGCATTTATAAACTAAATTTTTCTGAGTTCGGCGTGTATTTTCTCAGAAAAAAAAAAAACAAAATTATTATTCAGCTCAAAGGTACGGCGACTTCAATTTGCTTCAATTGGCCAGTCAATTGTATACACAGTGGTAAGAAGGTAATAAGATCAATAAAGGTAGCTGAACTATGTACCCTCTTCTGTACGCATGAAGACTTATGTGATTATAGCATGCCGAGTAGTACGTCTGAGTACGTGTAATAGGATCAAATCATATATCCTGTTGATTAATATTGTTGGGGCCATACCATTGTTTGATAAGCATTTCATTCTATGTAAATTATTATAAATATTTTAAATTACAAATCATAACTTCAAGTCTACAGAATAAAAAAATTTAAACATCGAAACAATCTGATGAAACTCGAATTGAAACAAAAATTTGTTGTCTTTCTGTACAAATATTGTGTTACTATATACAACTATATACAAATATAGGAAAGTTTTTTATTTTAAATTATTATTTAATTTTTTTATTACTTTGTCGATTTTTTTTATAAGTGTACAATAGGAATTCTAGCCACTAAAAAAATCTTACGAACATTTGTAAGTGTTACAGTTATAGTACCTAGTTAGAAAACGATAAATTTTTAAAATTAAGTAAAGAATAATTCAAATCTTCATTACTATGTATCTGGAATATTTAAAAGCATACCTAATATCGCTTTGTCGTATGATCATGGCGTATTCGCTTGTTTAACATCGTAGTGGTTCTTTATTGATTTAAAGAAAGTGTTTGTTTATACCCGTCTCACTCACAGTTCACCTTCGTACGTGCCTCCCTATAGCGTCGTTTATTAACCGGGGTGGGCGATCAATCACTGAACAGTTTTCAAAACGTTCTAGAACCATACTGTGTTAGACGCTTGCTGCGGTGGACGTATACGTTTTATTAAGATAACAACTGTGCTCTGAACAGTGATATTATTTACGTATTATTTACGTATTATTTGACTTGAAACTTTTTTCACAATGAAAAAGACTTTTATTCTGATGTTGCTGCTATTATATGCAGCTTTACATATAGAAAGCAGAAAAATGTCTTCGAGGGGTCGCAGTTCTGGTTCCAGGAGTAGCTCGAGCCGTAGGACCAGTTCACATCCAGCACCGACTTCGTTAAGTAATCCTCAGCCTTCGGCAGCTAAGCCTTCTTTGTTTGGATGGCAAGAAACGGCGGCCCGGCCAGCACAGAAGCAATCTAATAAACAGAGTCACTCATATCCCTCAAGCCAAACCGGTCTTTCTGGTAGTAATCCCGCTAAGCAACCGGCAACGTATCAAGAAAGTATTCAAAGGAGTCACGCACCGATTCCAGTACAACAGATTCCGCAAAGAGGCGCACCTCAATCTCAAGCAAGTGATACATTGAGCCATTCGTACCCAGTTTCGAACGGTTTGTCTGGTAACTCCAAGCCTAATAGTTTATCTGGTTATGGTGCTAGTTATCCTCAGCAGCAAAATAATGGAGGTTTATCTGGTGCCGGATATCCTCATCAACAAGCGCCGCCGCCATATAGCGCAGTAGACGCTAATCGACCTCATACCGGTAGACAACCAGTGAACAATATTGGAAACAATTACTACCACCCCCAGGGGCCGCCTCCGCCATATTCCAATTTCCCAAACAGCTATGGTGGATATGGAGGGCACGGCTACAATCCAGGATATAGTGCGCAAGCACCAGGGTATTTTGGTAATTATGTAAATACTGGTAAAAGTTTTGGTGGAATGAGTCGGACAGGTTCAGCACTCACAGGCGTTGGAATCGCTGGAGCCGGTGTCGGAACTATTTTAACAGGTCTAGCATTGTGGAACTTGGCTCGCTCAACAGGCCACCATCATCACACTGTAATTTACGACAACAGAGGTCAGCCTGTTGCTGTAGCTCCTGGTAATAGTACAGAACCTGTAGTTGATTCTGTATTAGGAGATTTGGTGAATTGCACACTTACTATTACTAACAATAATGTATCTGAAATTTTGGCCATCCCATGTGCAATAGCTACTTCATTTACACCGGACGCGGATGTTAAAGATCCGCATATAAATAATAATACAAAGGACAACACCGAATGCATAATTACTGTTGTAACAAAGACTAACAGAGAATTTATGACCACCATACCATGTTCAATACTTTTAAGCACCGCTGCAAGCAATAATGTGACCGAACCACCAATTCTTGAAGCTAGTACAGAAATTAATAATGGAACATTAACGCCTTTAGATAATGCATCTAATAATCAACCTGTAGCTCTTCGACTTTCTACTGACAACAGCATTGAATACAATACAAAGCTGAATTGCATTCCCGAACTCGGTGAGTTAAGAGACCCAATTAATCCTTGTTTTACTGTAGGAAGTAACTTGACGGTTATTCCTCTCACTCCTACAGATAAACCAAAGGATGAAGGTGATCGTTAAATTTCCTTTCTGATATAAACCAAAAATATATTTTAAAGTACTTTGGAGTAGTTAGTAGATTTAGTTATATTAACATAAAAATATAATTTTAAGTGTATGTACATTTATGTGTGAAAAAATTCAAAGTATGTTGCAGTTACCAAAGAGTTTATGAAAATAACGAATGCTTAGTTAAAGACTAAACTCTCAAAGAAGTTTGAGATATGGGTTTTAGGCAAAATAAAATAAAAGAAAAAAGTATTTGAATATTCAACTAAATAGTAATTGTAATCTTGATGTAAATTTCATTTCATTATTTTAATTTGAATACCTTATATTTACTCATTGATATGATTCCAACGTGATTTTAGATTACAGATTTATTTTGCTAGTACCTAATTACATTTTTAATTTTCTCAATTGTCTCAAAGTATTCTCAAAGTATTTAATATACTTTTATAAAATAAAACATTATATAAAGATTTGCTTTGCTTTTTTTTGTTTCTAGTTACTGTATATTTGACATTAAAATTTTATAGTCACATGGGACTTGTATAAATATAAAATTTCTGTTTTGAGGGTGTCAGAAGTTAAAGTTTCTTAAAAATTCGACATCGGTAGACATTATCGATAGGTATCGAAAACAACATTTAAAATATATAAAAGTATAAAATTTCTGTTTGAAGGGTGTCAGAAGTTAGAGTTTCTTAAAGATTCAACATCGGTAGATATTATCGATATCGAAAACAATTTAAACATTTAAAATGTAAATTAAATTTTCTACTAAAATGAAAATTTTGTTTTATAAATTAGGGAAGATTTGGGTAAAAATTATATTTGATGATCCTAGGTTGTCTTTAATTATATGTTTTATTTTTCACATTTCCTACAAATTATGGTATATAGCATAGAGCGCAAAACAAATTCATATTGCTTAAAATCACATGGATGATTATTATTACCGTAGTCGCGAACTCCTCAGTTACAATAAATCGGAGTTAGTTGCTATACTTATATTATAATTATTAAATTTAATTCCTAATCTAAAATTGAAAACTGAAAGGAAATGGATTCGTTGATCGAACCTTGTCTGCCCTTGCCTTGTTATATTACAAAGTTGTTGTATTGCTGTAGACTAGACATAATGTTAATGCGGGTTTTTACGGCGCTATTACACACCAGGTGAAGATAAAACCTAGCCGTTATTTATCGCCTTCATTAAATCGATTAAAAGAGAGTTATCGCTAAATCGAAAATCTAAGTACAATGTTCCAATGATGTCATGTCACATTAATAAATAAGATTAAATGACGAAACTAATTTACGTACACTGTAATTATATACTTCGTAACTATTAATTAATATCAAATTATATAATGTATTTTATAACGAATATTTATTGTTGTTGTATTGCCCTTTAATTAGATTAAATAAAAATAACATCAGGTGAACCGTCTGTTCGTTTGACAACTTTTCGCATAAAAAAAAATTTCGTCATGTATTATGTAATTTCCAATGATGTTACATTTTTGGTAAGTTTTTAAAATTAGAACATACATGAACAATTTACATTCACTGTATCTATTATATCGTCACAATAGGACTTTTCTATGTTTGAATTCAAACTGCTTCAATAGGATTTTTTGATTGTTGGCTGTCATTACCGACTCCAAAATTACACTGGTGATGAATGTACTTATAAACCTTAAAAGGTTCTGGCCTTGGTCAAACATATAATTGTATCGCATTGCCTTTTTTTGTAGTATCGCAATCACTGTTGGACATTTTTTGCATAGGAGAAAGCGGAAAGACGGGAAATGTTATTATTACTCGCCATTGATATCGCCGACCCTATTGCAGATTGGCTTAGTGCAGGGGTCGGCAACCTGCCCGCTCCGACTGGGTTCTCGCCTTGACATGGCGGAGGGGCTTAGTAGCCGTGCCTTGGTCACCCACGGCGAAGCTAAGAGGAACCCACACTGAACCCCACGAGAGGGCCGCTCCGAGTGGGCTCATGGAGCCCACTCCGGATGCATGCTGGAGGGTGCAGGGGCCAGGTCGAGGGTGGTAGAGGTGGAGCCACTCTCCCTGTTTTCTGCTACCGGGAAGGAGTCGCGGGGGAAGAGGAGTACCGGTATTGCGTTGGCCGCGCTCCCTATCCTCCGCGACTCGGCGGGGCTGCACCGCTGATGCAATGGTAGTGGGACCGCGGGGGGAAAGGAGTGTCGGTATTACGGTGCGCCGTTCTCCCTACCCTCCGTGGTCTAAACGTGGTGAGCGGCGGAGCCACAGACCAGGTCCGCCGCTGGAGCTGGGAGTCTTGCTGCTTTTTGGCACGGGCTCTCCTGGCTCCCATGGCCTGTGGTCAGTGTACTCGGGGGAGTTCGTTCTGCTGGCACGGTCGAGGAAGTGTGCGAAAGCGATCCCGTGCCTCTGCCGATATGCGCCTAGGTGGAATATCGTGGTGGTTTTAGTCGGTGCGAGTCCGACATAACCCGCTCTCGCCCCCGCGAGGGCGGGTATGCGTAGGCATTACCCCCACGTTAACAAAAAATAATTATAAAAAGGGGTCGGCAACCTGCGGCTCGCAACCACATGTGGCTCTTTAGATGTGAAGCTACGGTCCTTTAATTCCATAACTAAACAACATTTATTTATGAAAGAAAAACTTTTTAAAATCTTTCTGAATCGATTAACGAGGATAATAGGCACTGTTTCTATCTCTCAGCTACTTGTACTCGCTTTTCACCACACCTCTCCCCCGTGACATATGTTGGCACTGTCAATAGTCCGTCGGAAGCTTCTATTTAGATTTTAATTCGCTTTCGATGCATGAAAGTTTAAGCTAAAAAACTTTGTGCCAGTGGAGTTAAAAGAGAGTTGAAAAGTAATAATATAAAAAATTTAAAAAGAGTTTGAGGTCCAGAAATGTATGTACGTAACGCAACAAAAGTGGACAGCTTTAAAAGAAATGCGCGAGTTGCGGCACTTATATTCGACGCATGGAATAGTCTTCCAGATTGCTATAGTGAGGTGGCATTTGGAGTGCTGACTATGTTCGGATCGACGTATTTGTGCAAGCAAGCGTTCTCTTGCATGAATATAATTTAAAGTAAAGTAAGAAGCCAACTAAAAATTAAAATTGAGTCGTGTTTGAAACTTAAAACGACAATTAAAACATGTAGAAAAAGTACGAAAAGATTGTCGCCGCTGTGGGAATCGAACCCACGCTGGCCTGACGCTCTAGCCACTGAGCTAAAGGGCTGATAGCCACAGCAACAAAATCTTAACGCCTTCCTTCTACATTATTTTTTAGCATTTGAAACAATGCTTGGCGCATCTATTATTATATCCTTTCCAGCACACAAACAATTTCGAATATCGTTTTACAACGATAATTCGAACGAGAGATGTCGCCATTGCTTTTTTATAAATTTTTAAAGTTTTGCTTGCTTTTTGCTTAGTAGTACTAAGTACTTATAAATAAATGGATTAGTTTATTTAATTTGGCATGGAAAATTTTTGTGGCTCTTCAAAAACTTTAAAATTTTATAAATTATTATTTTTGGCTCTTCCGACTCAAAAGGTTGTCGACCCTTGGACTTGTGGGTGCTCCTGCCCGGTGACTACCAACCTCTACTGGGAAAATATTGTGTGATGAACATAGTATTTTTCCAATGTCTGAGTGTTTATACAGCGTGTGGTAACTTTTTAAAATTGTATTAAACATTTAAATTCTTTAAACATCAATATTTACCAAGTTATAAAATTTTCTAAAACAATTTAGAACACCCTTACGTATAAAACTGTAACGTAAAGTTCATTTGTAAAGGTCCCAAAGCACATGAATGGGTTGAATGAAAAGAGATAAAACATACTGGTTAGAAGGAGAGATTTGTAATGCGACGCTGTGGCAACGAATGAAAAAGTCTCTGAATGTATGAATCAGTCAGTTGTAGTTGTATAGGATGTTACAAATTTTGTTTCTTTTTGATTTTTTTTTACGTTTATATTTTTTTATGATTATTGGCAAGTAGCGTTAGACGTGTGTTCATTTATTGTCGCGATTGTAAAGACACGCTGTATATTTATAATATGTTATTATTTATAAAAGAAAAGCATGTTTAAATATGTTTTATCTAGTACCCATAGTACAAGCGTTGCTTAGCTTGGGACTAGAGAACATTGTGTCAAAATGTGTCCTGAAATGTTTATTCGTGGGACACTCAGTAACTCATAAATCATTTCAAAGACCTCTCCACCAGCCTCTATACGAAGTTTCATGCACCCGAATCAATTTTTGATCCACTTTTTCCAGTCTGCTGCAGACACCTCTTCTACGGCCTTCTCACTGTTAGCGCAATTTCCGCTTTTGAGTGCTGAGTGCGCGGGCGCGTTGTCATGGTGAAGCAGTACACCACGGAGCTCGGTCGCTTGCTGGTCATTGCAGTAAAAACTTCTGGCAAGCATTTTGTAGTATACCATTTGGTGTTGATTTCGTAATGGAATTGATACCAGATACCCAGTCAATGTGAAGAAACTAGCGATCAAAGTTTTCCAATGGAAAAGCACCAGGAGAGGATGGAATTACAGCCGAGCTTCTGAAAGCGAAGGAGAACTGATACTTATGGTCCTTGAGAAGCTCTTTAATCTCCTCCTTTAGGATGGCACTACGCCGAAGGCGTATAGCCGGGCTGATGCGATATTGTTTTTCAAGAAAGGCGATAAAAGTCTCTTGAAAATCTATAACCATTTTTTCGAGAATCATCTTGAAGCGTCACTCTTCAAAAGACTTCAGTACCATAAACCACTTTGCGGCAGATTATACGGAAGACCGAGGAGTATAAGGAGATTGTCTGGAAGAGATCGCTCTTTAACGATATCACCGCCTTATTACATGTACCTCATAAGTTTATCTTTTTGTAACATTTCTTTATATTGTGGTGGTCAATAACGCATATATACATACATACATATATATACATTTAACCTGCTTTTACGTCTGGCGTATATGGACT